GAACGTGCGATGGGCAAAGAATAACAAGGGACTTTGTTTTATTGTATTTCAAAATTATCACTGTCTTCGCTCTGGAATGCATTGGCTTATGTGATTAAATAGATTAGATTGAATGAGTAATTCGAAGTGTACTTTTTCTTAGTACTAGCTTGAAAATCAATATAAAATTTAGCGTGATCTGCCATATGAATATTATTACGTTGTCGTTTCACTCTATTTATAGTAAAATGTTAACCCTTTTAGTGCGAATTATTTTATATGGCAAAAAGAACGAAACAAAGTCGCTAAGCAAATTTCTTCAGTAAACATTTTTTGAATGTCAACCTTATCTATGTTATAGTCAACGGACGAGCACTCAATGCACCTTATTTAATGGAGATTAACTGTTTGGAATAAGGGCACGAAGAGTTGCTAGTAAGTTAAATCGCTAAATCCTGAGCAATGATCTCGTTATCATGTCAGGTAAACATATTTTTATTTAGCAGGTCAAGTTTCAGAGAGGAAAACTGCTCAGCACACTGAGTTTATGCTTGACATTCTATCGTCAAAGTTTCGAATAGGAAACTGTATAGGACGGATATACTCAACAAGTAGGGAACAATGGAGCACTGAATATGGATGGCTTTAACCTCACATATACCACATGAATAGATTGGTACGACGTGTATCAATAAATAGTCAGTATATCGAACTATTCAAAGGACTTCAAGTCTGAAAATGTAAGGACTGGAATTCGTGTCATTCGTACTTAAAGGGCTAAACCTGTTCAGTATCACTGTCTGAATTATTTGCATCAAGTTTGAACACTTCGTTAGACATAATTCGTCGTTATTGCATACGCATCCCGAACTGTCGAGTATCGAGAAAGAACACGGCAGCCTACAAAATCAGATGACTACAAACTACGATTAAGAGCGATATCACGTGCTGATCATAACACCTTACTAATACACGAGGAAACTGTCGGACGAGAATGGCGTTCTCGCAATGCGTGTGTTACTCATAGTTATGTTTACATGACTATATTACTAGACATAGGGAAGCGACTGGAATTCAGGTCATAGAGGAACTCTATTACTCTTTCAACCTGATGAGGAGGTTGGTAGTGATGCGAGAGCCCTCATTGTATGTCATCAGTTTAACGCTCCGTTGCGTCCTGACGTAGCGTATGCAGTGCACAATCAAGCGAGATATTCTCTGAGTTGAGATAGTAATCTGCGAATGAGCATCTGTATGTGTGTATATGGTCGTTTTATTCATTGTGCTCATCAGGATCAAGGTTCTACCTAAGCCTATCACCGAGAATCTCCGATTATTCATAGAAGACTAGGCGATGCGGCGTTTGGTAAGTTACTTGACTTACGATAATGCTACGATACATTGGATACAGGAATGTGAAACAAAAATAACAGCAATGCCTAATAGGGGTGTTACTTTATCTTTATTTTATAAAAAATAAAGATTGACTTTATTCTTTTTCTTTATTTTTAAAGTAAAGATTATCTTTATTCTTTATAAAATAAAGTTAAAGAAAAATCTTTATCTTTAAAAATAAAGATAAAGATCTCACCTTTACTTTATTCTTTATTTAAAGAAAACTAACGAAAAAGTGACATACCTAATTTTTCAGCCAAGTGTGAGATTGTATGTTAAGTCAGAAAATGAACCTAATCTTAGGTAAAGTGTAACATCCTGTCTCACGAAATAACTCCCTGTTAATTTAATTTGTGAATATCAAAAATTTATTGTGTTTTGTCAAAAATTGTAAAAAAATTCTTTATTCTTTATTTTAACTTTATTTGAAAGGTAAAGATTTTTCTTTATCTTTATTTTATAAAGAATAAAGATTTTCTTTACTTTAAAAATAAAGGAAAAAAAATAAAGAAAATCTTTATTCTTTATAAAATTAAGATAAAGATTTTGCCTTTACTTTATTCTTTATTTAAAGAAAAATAAAGATAAAGTAACACCCCTAATGCCTATAGCTACGTTTAGGTGAAAATTATAGCAAATTGTTTTTCTTTCTACAAAAAATGTTTAGAATTTCGATATCTGTTATATCCTATTTTTAAAGTGCATCAGATGATATCACATTTGATGTTTTGAAATATCTCGTTAATTAGCGACGTTCGTAATTGAACATTGATCACACCTCTGGCGCCTCCTAATATTTGATCTCTTACTTCTAAATTGATAACATCATATGACTTTGTTTAATGCAGGTCTGTTTATTTGCCCTTGAAATACTGCTGAAAAGTTTGATACGACGTCACAAGCGTCATTTTTCTCCATGAAACCTTTTATGAAATATTTACAAAGTAATGTTTTTTTAATGTACGGTTCTGATTCTATTCATATTCTTCCAGCCATGATTAATTTCTTATACTAAAAGGCATTTCAATTATCTCACATGGCTATTTTTGGCTAACGTGCAGGTCGTTCATAACGTAAACTACACGATTTTTCCGACTAGTATACACAAACGTCATCACTAAACAGACGAAAATATGATAAATGATAATATATAAGGCTGTTTGATGCATTAGAGAGACGTAAACTGGATGTTTTATTCATTTTGTCATAGTTAGAATTATCAGAATTTTGATCCGAATACATAATTAGTTGTACGCAGTTTCATAGAGTATACGAAATAAAATTTTCAGAGGACAGAAATCAATATTATACATGTTCATTGAACTCAATGCACATTTGTCTCCTGTGAACTGAATCTAATTCAAAAAGAACTTCTGATTCGAGAAAAAGCATGTAGTGTCAAACATTTTTAGCACTCATCATTACGTTTCTTTCAAGCAGTTCTTCTTTCATAAATATAGAATATTCTCCAATAGCAAAAGAAGAATGGCACCGCATTTCTTTCATTTGCAGAAATACCTGCGTCAGTTCTAGTTTTCATCTAGTTGTTAGTTGGTAACAAAAACTATGTCGTTAAATGTCAGCATTAACACGACGAGAATTTCGTATTATCAGTATACAACATCATTCGACGCTAATCGAATTAAATTTGGCGTCTTTCTCGCACTCCAACTTATTTCTGTTCCTTGTTTTCTTTGGATATTTTACCAATTTCTTCGACAACGTCAACTTCGTCAACTTCATCATCATGTCATTCTTCTTCTGCTTCTTGTTTCATTTTTATTCGTTATTATCGTATTACCTTTAACCGAATCGTACTTGTATCTCTCACACATATATCCTGAAGTACAGCAATTTTGTTCATTTTGGAATTGGCTGCATTATTCTTTGAACATTGTCAATTGTTTCTTAATGGCATTTGCAAGTATTGAACGGAATTGGCTCGTCTTCCATCCATGGCTAGTACGAAGTCAACGAGGAAAGTTTTTCTTTCATTATTGTCCACTTGTATTCTGCATACTCTATCCAAGTGTATTCTACGCTGCGGCTATTTTCATTCATAAATGCACGTTTTATTACGATTATACACAATTACTATGTAAATGGCCTTGCTACTTCTATAACCTGAAATGGTCAAGCGTTGATTTATTTTTCAATAATTACGTGCCATTAATTATAATTCCTTTGTTTTGTGCTGTACTTTATATTCGAGTATATGTTCAGAAGCGTAAAATGAAACAACAAGCGTTCAAATGGGTACGCGACAAAAAGATGATTATACAACTATGGGCTATTTCAAGTTTATATTTATGTATGTGGTTACCAACACAATTATCGGGATTAATAAATGTCTATTGGGATCAATACTTTTTATTGCAAGCGCAAATTGATTACATATATTTATTTCCATATTTCATTCATTTGATTTATCCATTTATAATCTTGATGACATATCACAAAGAAATGTTTACGTGCAAGAGAGTTGCACATCGAGGAACTTTTGAGCAAAAACAGTAATTACTAAATTGGGCTTATAAGACTCTTGAACTCGATGTTGTTCTTCTCTGTTGTTATTGAAAATAAAAGACACAAAACGATACAAAGATTTTCATTTTGGCCGATGTTCTATTCTCAGCATCACCCTATCATGACAAATGTTTCTTGTATTTTTATTTAGATACCGATTAGACTTCATAACTCTCGAATGAACTCAATTTCAGATGTATTTTGCTGCTCAACGAATTCCTTTAAATCAGATTGTACGTCGGACCATATATCTCCCTACCTTTGCATACCCAATTTTCGTGTTCACGACTTTTCTACTTTCATTTTGATGTCTTGCTAAGAAAAACTATACTTTCTATATTAACAAAATGTACCCAAGATGATAATTTAAACATCGCTAGTATTGCCAGAGTGTATAGTTTCATGAATGTTTTGTGTAAATACCGTTTGACTGTCATCAACACTCGCTGGGCCTGTACGCAAACTTACAGGATCGATGATTGATGGCTTTCCGTGGCTTTCGAACCAAAGAAAAAAACGAGTAATAACGATATTTCGTCGTTCGGCGAGAGTCTTTATATAATAGTGATATGTCTTCCAAGTTAATTGTGAAAGAAGAAAACCAAGAAAAACATCGACTGTATAATGAAATCGAGTTGCGATAATAAGTAAATAACCAATGACAGTAAATACCCAAACAAGAATCGATGTCAGGTAGAATGATAATGGATCACCTGTTGAGTCCAATTTTGGATAGAACCATCCGGATCGATGGGATACTGTTTCTTCATTAGTTTTCTTTATTCGAGACCATAACCAACGTATTGGATAATACTCTTCTCCCTTCGAATAAGTCGTCCAAGCTAGAGCACACAAGGTCACTAAAGCGAAAAGAGATGTCTTTCAGTAATTGCACGTGTGTTCGTCACTTACATGTTACTGTATGACCAGAGAAAAGAACATCTCCGCATGTTTCATGAATTAAAAACATAATATAAAATGCTTCGACAGGCGGTGAACCTGTTGCTGTTGTATTACAGCCAGGTAATGGTACACTCAATGAAGTTACGTATATGGATACACTTCTCATAATAAACATAGCGGCTTGAAGGAAGAGCCATCGTCGAAATACAATCAACCGGATATCGCGTTGAAAAATATAACGAATAATAACTAAAACAAATGATGCTAAGAGATAATAGTTATTCACTGGAAAATATGTCCAGTATGGTAATAAACGATGACCAATATCGGGTAGTGCTGGTATCCAATAAGGTGAATTTCGGTCTGCTAAGACTTGAACAAGGGAATTGATATAGAGAGACACGAGAAATAAGAAGAGCGAAACAACTAACGGTAAATACAATCGGAACATGCTTTGCTCGTGTCAGTCTTGTATAAAGAGCGAATGATGATATTATCAGGGGTTGAAACGTGAGGCTTCGTTATCACCGAGTACGCGTTAGCTGATTGCATTAAGAAAACAGAAGGGGTCGAAAAACGAAGCAACGAGTAAAAGGAACCTAAGAAAAGAAACGGCATCATGAGGAACACGGTAGGTCCACAAAGATCGTAGATGTTTAAAAAGTGTAATCTTGCGTTAACGATCACAAAACCGAAAGTGTAATTCAAACTCATGGAAATGGATTTCGTTACGTAAAAAGGATTTATCAAGCAGCAGCGTGGCGCAGTGGAAGCGTGCTGGGCTCATAACTCAGAGGTCGGTAGATCGAAACTACTCGCTGCTATTTACCTTTTTTCTTTCCGTTCTCGCCGCTAAAATCGCGTAAGACAGCATAAAACTTTTTCTCTGTATGCAAAACTGAAGAATCTATGACATTATGAAACAACGTAGTAAGTCATAAATTTCACTTGTATTTTTAGAGGAATGCATCATATGGATATCTAGAGTATTTTCAGTAAAACCATCGCTATATCTGTATTAATCTTGATATTTTGAAATCTCTTTTTAATGAGTGATACTATGCAAATCGAAAGACTAACTTGACTCAACTCGTATTAGTTATGTTATCTATGATTAAAAAAAAGAACTATATCATCACTGCTTCGTTACAGCTCGTATCTAATACCACATTGATCTTTTCGTTCTGTACATTGAAAAAAAAAAGAAAGTCAGCGATGAAATCACAATCGGATTATCTTCGAACTCGCTCCTAAGTATATTTCAATTGAATTCATATGTCACTGTCCACAGAACTTTGTTCGCTAAGAATATTTATTATTTCATTACACTATCGTTCGATAAGATAAGACTTTCTATCTCAATATAAGCATAAGAGAGAGAAAGTAATATAAAATCATGTGATTCGACAGCAAGTATTTACAACGTGTGGCATACTTTAAAAATTCTGTAGAAGCATGGCAAATATTTCAATATATCGAAACCAAAAGTTGGAAGAGAAGATAAATAATTGTGAACTTCGTACACGCGTCGATTTACGAAAACAAAAACTAACTGATTTCGATATGGAATTTGTCATTCAAGAAGGAATTCACAATAAACAGTGTACAATGCTTTGGTTAACAAATAATCAAATCACATCACATAGCATTTCTATGCTCGCTTCTATACTACGTGAAAACACAACCTTGGAAGGTTTATCCATATGCTACAACGACCTGCTCGATTCTGATTTATTTTATTTAACACAAGCATTGTCAAACCGAACAAGTGGATTAGGTCGACTTGCTTTAACGTCAAATAGAATAACAGATAAAGGTGTAGAATATCTCGCTGATATGCTTCGAACAAATTGTTCTTTAGTCCAACTTTGGCTTGGTTTCAACAAAATAAGTGATGACGGAGTGAAATTCTTAGCTGATATCCTTTCATTTCATAATCGAACTCTTCAAGTCATATCACTTGCATGGAATAATCTCATTACCGATGCATCTATTGATTATTTTATTGATATGTTCGAATCCAATCAAACTTTACGAACTGTTTGTTTATCAAATTGTAACTTCTCAGATTTCGGTAGAAAGAAATTGCGAGAAGCAGTGAAATTGTATACCGAATTTTATCTTGATCTTTAATAATAAAATGAATATGTTTTGATCAGATTACAAATGATCTCAGTAAAATTCAATAATGAATAGTATGACATGTATAGTGACACATATTAGCAAAACGATGAGTTATCAAGACTTTCTAGAACCTATGAAAACGTTCATAAGGAATGACTAAAACTCACCATTTGATTACTCATCAGTACTGAATTTTCTCGAAAGAATAAATGCAAATCAGATAGCATTATTTCCTCACCCATACTTGACAAGTCAATTAATACGATCACGTCCTATATATTATTACCCGTATCATATCTCAACCATCAATGATGAAGAAAATCTAATATTGACAATTGCAAACATATTGTAAAGGAAATATTTATCACATCACTAGGCGGTTTTTTTTCTCTAATAAAATTTATCGTTGGACAAAGTTATTGCGTTGTACTGTGATGTAAATATTCCATTTTCCATGGCTAGAAGCTCAAGGACAAAAAACTAGCATGAATATAAGTAGCAAGTCGAACAATCTTTTCTTACGGGAGAATTCACGATCGATTGTCTTCTCGTATTGCGAAGCATTATGTGCACTCTTTTCCTGTAGAGCTATCGCTAATGAGAAATAACATTTCTTTTTTTGAAGATACGTCACGTGAAGACTACCCACATGGTTAAAGATCGTTTCCAAGAATTCCAAGAAAGTGTAAGTTTGATTTTTATAAATAATTTCCACTAAAATAATTCTCCTAATTACTATTTTAGGTGAATAGGTATAGAGACGATGAAGATTCCAATATAGAACGCTATTTCGCCGTAATTGACATGGAAGGAGATTGTTTACATGATATTTTCTACAGAATCAATCTTATCGAAAGTAATATCAATGATTTAGCTAGACTTACGCAGTTAATCGAACCATTACACGATGCTATGTTAGCACCATTACCTGATAATCGTAAGTTGTTTCCATGTAAAAGAATGATTGTCAACTGTAGGACTTTTGTTTAGAAATCAAACACAAGCTGGATGAAACGATCATGCGTATCCGTGAAAAAGCGAGTATCATCCGAAAACAACTAAGCGGTAAGAGAATAGACGACTGCTGATCTCTACAAAACAATAGAATTCATCTTCTTATTAAGAAATGAAGCATCATCAAGAAATGAAAATAAACGCTCGACATCGTATTATTCGCGCTCAAACGGAGATTCTATCCCAACGATTCTATGAGATTCTGAATCGACATTATCAAGCAGTAGTTATTCATCACGAACGATGTAAACTAAGGATTATTCGACAGATTCAATTAGGTTTCGTCAGACTTGTGTAATTGTATTTTTCTATTGAGATTCAATTTTTAGTTGGAAAAGCGTTATCCGACTCGGAGATTGACAAACTGTGCGACTATGGCCAAACAGTTTGGTGTTTACAAGTACGTGCACGAACAAATGAAATAAAAGGTTTTAAAGTAGCATACTGCAGAGCGTGGCAGATTTACGAGAAGAACACCACAAATTGAACGATATGGAAAATCGTCATATGCATTTTGTTCAACTTGAAGAGGAAATCAGAGAGCTGAAAAATTTATTTGATGAATTGGCTCATCTCGTTCAAGAGCAGGTATCTTTGTTTCTCTGTTGGATGGTTGTTAAAATCTCGTCTATTCATTGTATTAAGGGACAGAGCGTTACATCTATTGAACAATATATGGAAAATATCAAAGATTATACGGAGCGAGTGATTCATATCCTGCCGTTAGTCATAGACGAAACGAGATCTATGCGAAAAGTAAATGAAGAATATTTTGTCTTAACTTGAATTTTCAGTCGATATATTTTTAGAAAAAGACCTGCATGATCTTCGCTTGCATTGTTTGTGTTATACTTTTTGTTATTTGCTTACTAATCTTCACTAATGTGTTGTGATATATTTGTATTTTTGATTACAACGTTCTCATTGTGGAATATATAACGGCTCAATTCGATAGAAGAAGAGAGTCTAAACTAATCTTAAAGAATATGAAACTGAGTTTTATCTTACTTCTGCTATCGTATATAAGTCAAAGTGACGTCGAATGGTTGTATGTAACAGATGCACTCACTGATCATAAAAAGATTCAGGTCATATTGTGCTTAAAAATCAATTAGATTGAGTTGCTTGAGACAAATTTCATAAGACGATTCTCTCTTTTAGCATCAATTTTGTCATCGAGAAATTCATTTCTGTTCATCCTTTATCATTGAGGCCAACAATGACGCAACAACGAAGTCTGTTCCGGTCATATGTTTATTTACCTAATGCCTTCTTTTTTGATTTGCACTACGGGTTCTTTTTCTTGTTAACTTGAGTATCAGAAGTTCAGGCTGTTCTAAGCGTAGATTGAAGTCAAATTTCAGATAATCTTTACATCTCAACTCGAATGCATGACTTTCAGTCGAATGCTACTTTCTTTTTATCCAATAAATATCAGATCAAAATGCATCTTCTCGAGTGTACATGTGACAGACACATTCAGTTCCTGCTGCTGTAAAAGAACCCGTTTGATTTACATATACTGAATATAGACACTATACATTGTACGAAACTAGTATGCAAATAGATTAGATTAACTAGAAACACTGTTCAATGTTTAGAGACAGTCATGCCAAACCGCCTTCCGCTCTCGAAAGACTCCGCATGTTTAGTAAATACCAGTTATACACCTAAACGATTTGTATGGAAATCAATCATATCTATTGTTATGTATTCAAAGTGCAGAGTTCGTGGATTTAGAATGATCTCGAGGAAAAATATTATTTAAAAGATTAGCACACGCTGTTTGTCATACGCATCTCTTTTATATGATAAATTTCATTATCTCGTATTCATTTAGAATATCAGCGAACGTTCAGGAAAATATTTTGAAAGAGGATGCGTAAATGCTTAGCCTGTTTTAGAAAATATGTCCAAACAGCGCACATGACTATGACATTTCAATCTTCCACTGTGTTAAATATAAATATTATAATAATTCTTCTTTTTCCTTAGTTACAATAACATATCTCGGAACTTAAGAGCACACAATACTTGTAGTTTGTTCGGCATCGGTGAACGTTGATGATCCAAACTTGATTTTAGTCTATTAAAATGTCATTAATAGCAGCTTTTTCGAATGGTACATTAGCTCAGATTCAACAGCAATTAGTCCATTATGGTTATTCGTCATATTTGGTTATTGGTGTGACTGGCTGTAGTCTAAATATTTTACTTCTAACTCGTCGGCAATTCCGAACATCATCATGTTGCACTTGTAAGTAATAGATGAAAAAGAATTTCATCTTTGTAAATGCACCACACGTTTCGTTTATTACAACATTTAGACTTTAAAGCAATGTCTGTCATCTCACTTATTCATCTAGCCGTGGCTCTTGGTTTATATTTATATACTCTCCATTTTGAGGATCCAGTTGGAACAAATCTTACCGCTTGTAAATTACGTTTTTATATCGTTCAGTCGACGGCTATGATGTATCGTTGGTGCTTAGTCATCGCCTGCTTTGACCGATTTGCTCTTTCATCGACAAACGTACGACTGAGAAGCTTTGCACAGGTGAAAGTCGCACAACGTGTATTACCGATCAATATTCTAGTTTGGCTAGTACTTACTATTCATATTCCTATTGTGTATAGTGTACGAAACAATATCTGTAGTATTTTCTCAAATATATCTGCATCACTATACCAAAGTGTTTTCATTGCTACCGGTGGTTTTATTATTCCAGTGTCTGTTATGACTATCTGTGCTCTACTAATTCGTCGAAATCTCGCAATCAAGCGACAACGTCGTCAACAAAATACTATTCAAGGAGTCGAACTTCAAAAACTGCAAAGCAGACGCGATCAGCAAGTTTTAATCATGCTATTTGCACAGATGTTATTCTATGGGAGTACCATTACACCTCTTTCGGTGATGTCGTTCTACAGTGCACTAACAATCTATAATGCGAAGAACCTCGATCGTATTATTCGAGAACGATTCTTGTCGTTTCTTTCAGAAATGATCAATTTTCTTTTTCCGGTTTGTTCATTTTATTTGTACACCATATCGTCACAGATTTTCCGTACGGAATTGAAACTGATGTTCCATTCTCTATTGAGATGTCAATGGAACAATACAAACACACGTATAGCACCGTCGGGAAACGAATTGAGAAATCGAACAGTACCAGAACCCATAGGTTCAATAACACAGGGAGCACGGGCGAAAAAACCTGGCATGAAGAAAGTGAAAAGCATTACTGACACCACTCAACAGAAACAACAACAACAACAACAACAAGAGCATTTAATGTAGAGTAGACATTCAGTGAAAACATCCCGATGAACAAGAGCTTTGTAAGCATCATTTGAATATGAGATTGATTTGCTCTTCAGCAATATATTTTTCCTCGTCGACAACAAAAATAAATAGTTTTTTTTTTATTGTTTTTTTTTCTTCTAATTATTGTCAACATATGTCTGTAGAAATATCCTCAGTCTATTTTAATCAAATTCTTTATATGTTGTAATTAATGTCCATTTGTTTCGGATTGTCAACAGCGGATTAGTTTGTTTTGATGTTGTGCTGAAAGCTCTTTTTTTTTCTTACAATGAAACACGAGTTTTCTTTTGCTTGCCGAAAATTCTTCAAACAAAGAAGAGAAAATTTGAACGTTTTCTTTCGACAACAACTACACAATGGAATGTTTATCAGTAAAAGGCATTAGTTCTGTTCTTCTTCTTGTTTTTCTCGAACGCAGTTTGGTTGTTGTGGGCTGCTTATTGATAGCATTTTCGAAAGTCTGATTGGTATGCATTAGGATATGCGTTTATTGATCGGACGTAGGCGGAGTTTTTGAATCAATCAATTGAATGAGAAAATAGGATTGGAAATTATTTTCGGTAAATCTCCATTTCTGTCTTATCTTTCTCTTTCCGTATTATTAATTCCTTCTGACATCGTAACTAAATCCAAGCAACACACAACATAGTGTGAGAACGAGAAGAGACGAAGAAAAAAAATAATAATAGTGTCTAGATTAATACGAAGGACAAATAGATAGAAGAGCGAACAGAAAGGTTGGACAATCTCGAATCTAATTGGAAACGACACAATCGTGATGTGGATAAATCAAAACATGCGTTATTAGTTTCAGATCAATTGACACTTGATGGTGACATATTCCGATTGACACAAGCGACAAGTTTGAAAACATTTTAATTTTCTACTTTATATGATTATTCTTTATTTTCCTTCCTCGACTTCTTCTCCTCCGTCTTCTTAATAAATGAAATATTAGTAGTTTTGATCGTATTACATTCATTATCACTCAGGACAATGTTCTACAACTTTCATCGTCTTCTTCTCTTCCTTGTTTACACCCAAGTTGTTCACGGTCATTTATGTTATTCCAATAGTACATTTTATTATTCTCAAAAGAACTTTTTTTGGAATAATTTCACAAATTATCTTCAACCAATATCAACAGTACAACAATCGTTCTCAACTCCATGTCATGTTCGAATAAGCGTGGATTATAGTTCTATGCATAATCGCTCTATTATTATTAAATTTGGTTCGCCGATCATTCATAATCATACGCATATTGAGTTTGGCTCTCAAATCGAATTTCTTCCGAATAATCGTCAATCGATTGTAAGTTATCTTGATTATACTTGTTTATCCGATGATATATGTGAGAGGAAATTTCTTGATTACTGGCCCAAGCTTTTACTCAATAATCGAAATAATTCGTTACATACGAGTTTTCTTCCACTATGGGACAAATCGAATAGTAATACAAGTAAATGTCAAACAGATAGAGTAACAAATACATGCGCAAGTTATTTATGTTTTATGATCTATGATGAATTAAAAAATCTCAGTTATGGTAAATTCCACTGTAACGACTTATCATCAACAAATCCGGTCTTAATTCATGTGAAAACCTATTCAGGAAGTCATACGAATGATTATCAATGCACGAAGAATCTTTGTACACAAGAACTTTCGTATAATTTAACCATACAGCCCGATTATGATGAATTAATGATGAAACGAATCAGGGATGAAACAAATAAACTTATTTTTCAACGTGCAACACTTATCGTTAGTGTTCTAGTAATTATTGCTTGCATTGCTTGTTGGTTCCAATGTCGAAATTATCGACGAGGATATCGCTTAACAAAAACAACTGCTTGAAAAATGAATCGGAAATATTTTTTTAACGAAAAACATGAAAACTGAATACTTGTATTCGTGTGTGCGTGTGCGTGTTTTTGAAATAAACAAGAAAATAAGATAAGAAAAGCAACTTTCCCTACGATGCTTTCTTCTGATCATCTCAATGTTCATCAACAAGGAAATCTTGTCTTTCTTTAATTTCCTGTCGATGTTAAATAACTAACTTTACTGATCAGATTGACTTCTGATAAAGATAAAGAACAGAAAATGTTCTCTTGAGAATTTCATAATAGATTGTTATTTGATTAATACTTAAGTGAACAACAAACTTGTTGACTATTATCTGACATTGACAATCCCGTGGAGAGACAATATTTACTTGTTGTCCTTTTCTCCTGTCAAGATCAGAAAGATCGTTGATTATGAAAACATATCTGAAAAAGACTCTGTTCATTCTTCATTTTCCCGAATCGACCTCGCATTGTGCTTTTGATTCTATTCCCTAATTTCTCATTCGAAAAACATGTTACGAGCACTTCTTCTCCATGTATCTCTCGCATTTTTCTATCAATCAACATCTGCGCTTGAGCATTTACCAATTCAATATACTTTCTCCAATATTTCCATTGCTTTAATGGAATGTCGCAATCAATCGTCGCTATTCCCCACATCGAATGCGTGTAATATATTATTAACCAATAGTTTCTATCAAGGACTAGGTAGTTGTGTTGCTCTATGTTTAAATCAAAGAGACATTCCTGACAATGCAATGCAATTCGATTTCATCTTGAGATTATTCAATGAAACTTTTTCTTTCTATAGCAGATCCTGTTTTACTTGTACATCGAGTAGTTCACGTAATTCACCGTTTGTTACTGATTGGATACATTGGCAATTGTTTGCGATTAATGAAACTATACGTATGAATGCGAGATTTAATGATAGAATACTTCTCCATTCCAAAGATTATCAAATATATGGTTCTTCATACAATAATACTACTCAATTATGTACGAATTATTTCGATGGGAATATAACATCGTCAATGACTTCGGCAGATTCGTATGATTCAGGAACAACTTCGTGCTCACGATTTGACCATCGACATGCGAATGTCACCGACAAAATCTCTCTTCTTATGAAACAATTGATAGACTTCTACGAACCGAATCAATATTCTACAAACACACAAGATGATACAACACAGACAACGGTATTTACAATGAAATCTCAACACAAATCCAGTGGACCTAAAATTTTGAAAATAGTAGGCATCGTGATGAGTGCTATTCTTTCCATCATACTTTTCCTTTTGCTAATTGTTTGTCTGGTTCATCGTAATAACTATAGGCAAGGATATCAGTCTGCTGAAACGTCAGCAACGCTTTAAATGTGTTTTTTTTCTTCTTCTTCTTACTAAATTTTCCTATAAATGAAAATACTAGGCACGAGAAAATAAGAAGTGCGAAAAGAAGTGAATCGGTGCTGGATGTTTTCTATAACAGAGAACTAAGTGTGATGCATGTTGTCTAGCAATATGAATTTTTTATGTTTCATTTACAAAAGAACAGAATTGGATAGTACTGAATTATTCAGCATATCATTTGTTGAATAATTAATAATCCTGTTTCATGATGATTTATCGACATTCTTTTATTAACAACTGAAAAAAAACGTTTGATTTATTGTTGGCGTCTTTTTCTGTTTAATACTTCTGTTCTAAAACAGCCATCATTCGCGGCGCGACATCAATAAGAGCTGCATTCCAGCACGAGAATTCATGTCGTCCAGGGCAATTATGACCGATTGACTTACCATTGCCGTAATCGTTATAGTGATGAGGAATATTCAAAGAATTTAACATGTTGTGCATTCGAATAGCAGCATCGCGCATTGTACTCTCCACAATACCTTGATTGCCTGTATAAATTGCAACGTGAACATCGCGTAATGTTGCTGCATGTGTAATGGGATTTTGTGCAAACCATCCGCTTGATGTCCATGGAAGGTAAGGAGTACCAAATGGACCGTTTAAAGGTTTTTTATCGATAGTTTCGGAGCCGAGAATGACTGTTTGAGTGCGCCAATCAAGTAGATCAAGTGCACCGGAAAAACTGGCAGCATAGTTGTAAAGATGTGGATAAACTTCAGCATAACGAATGGCTCCAAATCCACCCATAGATAGTCCTGCTATAGCTCGACCTTGCTTTTTAGCAACTGTTCGTAGATTGGCGTCGATCCATGGTATCAACTTTTCATTGTGGAATGTACGCCAATTTTGTGGTGCAGCATTGCCAGGATTAACCCAGTTTGTATACCATCCGAATGGATCACCATTAGGCATAACAGTGATTAACGGTAAATTGCCAACTGTCCATCGAGCTGTGCCACCTTTTGCAGTCCAATCATCGGCACCTCCCATACCTCCATGTAATAAATAAAGAACCGGATATCGACGTTTTGAGCCACTAGTCATATAGTCATGTGGTAAAAGTATACGAATCTTCTGGTCACCACGTACTTCTCCTGATGTTATGATTACATCATATAATTCGTTGTTCACCTTGGATACTGATCGAACAGTTATACCGTTACCCGAGACGAAATTGGGAACGTCAGCAACGACATATTTTCCGACAGAAAACAGGCATAAAATGGTTTGGATGACTACAAAAGCGTATTTCATAATCGTATTCGCTGCACACACCTTTAGAGAAGTTTTTCTGTCTATACACTCAAAACCTTCCCTTTTTATATACTTATTGTTATCTCGGAGCAGCCGCTAATATTCTCATAGGCCTTTGTGAATAAACACGTGTAACGATCGATATTGCGATTCCCACGCTATTATTAGTCTAAGTAAATTCGATATCGCGAAAACAGACTTTTGATCGATAAAAAGTCGATTTCAGCTACATTTCTCAGGTCAAACAATTCAGTCGTCTTCCGACATAGCGCTATACTTATATTTCTGAAAAGTAAGGAGCAAATTTTGTCGTATTTTCTATTCTTCACTGAACTAAAGTAAAAAATGCTTCAACATATCAAGACATATTCATCGAAAAATTTTCGTTCGCATATGAAGCCATAAATATTCAAAAACTGATCTCTTCTACTACAATTCTTTTCTTCTGCTTCTCCTCCTTCTTCAACAAAATTCAATCAATACATTCAAACAAATAGATGAAAAAAAAGAAAGAAACTTCATGTGTACACAAGAACAAATTTTCTCTTTCGTTTTCGTTCTCATGTTGTTCATGTAACTTTGCAACCATCAATTTATTGTCAACAATCTTTCTGTGTTCTTCAATGCCACATTTGAATCTTTCTCGCGAACAAGTCGATAGCCAACTCAAAGATGAAAACTCTTAGTACAATATTTATCGCCATCTCCGTAATATTCGGTGCAATTGCCCTAGTTTTATCATGTGTTGGCATCGGTACACCAAATTGGCAAACCACTTACGCAATTCTCAATGGACAAACGCAACCTGTGCGAACAGCAAACTTCTTCTATTCATGTGTATTTTACCCGAATGGGACAAGAATTAGTTGTACGAGTCGTGTTTCTGATCGAAACATTGGTCAGTACTATCCAATTGATGCGCGAGGAGATCAAACGGAGTGGAATCAACATTTAGATAATGCAGCCGGCTTGTGTATTGTTGGTATTATTTTTATTTTCTTCGGCACAGTTGCAACATTACTAATGCTTCCTGCTAATTGGGGTCTATGGATATATTGGATTGGACCGACGTGTTATTTTCTTGCCTGTTTGTTTATGCTTGCTGGTATGAGCGAAGGTGCATATGTGTTGTATTACAATGATTATGCAGCAAATTTGTATCAAACTGGTCATTTGCTGACGATTTTTAGTTTTGCTATGAGTTCCGTAGCAGCTGGACATCTCTATACTTTGCCAGAGATCTTAAACTTTGAAATGCCGCAGAGGGAACAATATAAATAGATCAAAACTATTGTGTAAAAAGCCTTCGTTTTCTTTTCATGTAAAAATTTAGAATAATTCTATTGTGATATAATTTAGTTGATTATATCTAATTTTTGTATACGATTAGTAGAATAGCCAATGAATAAACCAAAGAGCATAACTTTTCAATATTTAATTACATATGAAAATAGTTAATATCGTCATAGTCGAAAAGTGATATTTGCCTTCATCGATCGCTAGAAGTTACCAGTTTTCAATTCAATTCATCGTATAGGTCTACACTCACACACTACTTTTCAGCGCGATTATTATCCAAACGGCCTTGTCTTCCATCATAGATTTCAGGAAATGGACCATGGTAACATCGTATCTGAACATAAGACTTTACTGATTGATCCGAATACATTTGATGTCGTCCAACGAGCTCAAGTAGTGCTGATCAAATGTGTATCTTTTCACCAATTATTTTTTTTCTTGTTTGGAAAGTTTAGGAAAGGAAAATTTTGAAAAACAAATGTTTTCCTCCTATATGGAATTTTTTCGAAAATTCATTCATACAAGTAGGTGAGTGTTCAACCTTAGCTGCTTTGTTCATAACGTCCAGTGTCACACAGATAATTGTATTGTCACGTATCTCATTGGTAGAATATATTCTATTTTGTGAAAACTCTTTTTTATTACAAAATGCATGACATAATCGGCCTTCATACACTCTGTGTTTGCCTCTGCTCTGTGATAAAACTATGAAAGGACTTGCAATCGTCGACTGTTGATGTAAATCTACATTGTGATGAACAAAAAGCTTATAGATATTTAGAGACTTATGACGCAGATACGCTTCCAGATTACGAGAAGGTCGAATAGAAAAGGTTCAATACGCAAAATTATTCTTTCTTCCTAGTAGAGTAGAAGGTTATGACTTTCGAAGAAATAGTGTAATATTATTGTGCAAAGAAATGTAGTAAATATTTCAGTTTTACTTTCTGTCTCTTTCTCTTCCTACTGCTACCTCTACAATTTGGCCAGAGAGCGAAATCAAGTAAATTGAATTGAGATGAAAGTAAAATATTTCGAACAGACAATCTCATTGCGTATTTTTCTATCGAATATTCGTTACATAACTTAATCAATAGATGTTCACGATTGGAGTGGATCAGTCAAGTTGACGAATATAGCTCTCGCGAGCAGCAGTATCTATCCTTCTATGGTATTCTGCAATACATCTAATACCATATGTAAGAGAAGGAATGTATTACAGTACTAATGATCGACAAGACTTTGAAAAAAAATGACACAATAGTGAAACGGGTAAGAAAGTTTTTCATCGCAAACTTCCATCTGTAAAACATGAACCAAATCCATTGAAGTACACAAAGCATATATTTATTCGATATTCTAATTCTTGATAAGAAAAAAAGCATCACTGTTACTACTTTTGATGTGTTCTAAACAGATGAATACGAATGTTTAGTTACTCATAGAAACAGTGTAATATTTCACTCGCTGCTAGTAAAAGTTCTAGAGATCAGTGTTATTGTTTGGTTGATCAGCGTATGTAATACGAATATTTGTCGGCGCCAATTGATCATGGTGTTGGGATGTTACGGGATGATCTATTGTTGTCAGTTGTTGATTAGATCTATCAAGGGTCAAGGTAGAATGATGCTTGTGACTGAGCGAATTAGCTCCTAAATAATTAAAGAAGAATAGAACGAATCGTATCTATTTATTTAAATAAATTTAGTCCTACATGACTCTCCAATTCTCTCTATAGAACTAAAAAACTGAATAGCTTACGGGATGTATCGCGACTGATTGGAGGAGAGAATTTGCCTATATTCGAATTAATTAGTGCCGTCATGATCCGATCCAATGTTGTTTTGATCTATATCCAAAAATGAACGAAGTGTGCAGAACAAATCAATAAAATTGTGTACATACATCGTTCATTTGTTTGTTTGTTTGATTAGAGCTAGCTTCCATTCGAATAACTCTGGTTTTAAGATCGGTAATAATCGATTTTACGGAATCTAACTTATCATCATTGTCATTAAGTGTGTCTTCTAAATCGCTCTGAAATTCACTGATGGTTTTTTTTATACGGCTCAATTCATCCACTTGCGTTGATGCAGACTGGGACCTAAACATGCATACGTTTTAGAAGTCATGTCCCTTCCACATAACCTACGAAATGTTCGTGTTTATTCCTTTAGCAAGTGCTGTATTTAGGTCATCAAGTAATTCCCGAATATAACCATTCGTCGAATATCGTTCGAATTCTGACCATGCATAGTCAACATCATCATTCATTGGAATCATTTCTAAAATAACGACGATTCGATAAAACGATACATGCTTCTTAATGTAAAATATTCTTTACTGAAACACTGCGATTGATCATTATAGGGTGCCCCTCTTCGAAAACATATTCCATACAGCTTTTTACAAAGTCGGTAACCAACGTGTAGAGACGAGATCAAAAATGTAAACGGAGGAAATAACGCTGGTCGAGCATGATAAGTACGGATGATGTCACACCGGTCATAAGCCCAAACATAGCGTGCTTGTGTTTGAACATCGTTTATTTTAAAACTGTATGAAAATATATACAATCAATGCCCATCACAATACCGAAATTCTCATACCTGAATAAGGCAATCAATAAGTTGATCAGTAATACATTGACAAAAAGCATATGAAATGCAAATATGATTTGTGTTACAACCGTCGTGCTAATATCTGGTTTGGCTACAGAAACAAAGGCAGTAGTTAGCATAGAGATCACTGCTTTTATGTACCATCCAGCTGACTACGTTCATTATCGATGCTACCATGAACGAAATAGTAGACAGGATAGATGATATCATTGAAGAGTTTTTGCACGCTGAAAACAGTTGAGCCATAAGCTGTCATAGATCTTGAGGTGACTCCATAGCCACAGATAAATATAACAATGAAGATAATAAACAAGAGAAGATCGTTCGTCTGCAATAATAATGACATGATGCAAAATTAACGTGGCAAAATTGGCTCGTACCATTTTTCGAATCATCACAATTTTAGGACCGAGATGTGAAGCGATGCCAATGAATAGCACTGAACGAATAAAACACAATTCTAAATCTATCGCCATTACAATTCTATGGAAAATAAAATGAGAAATATTTTGAATATAAAAATATACACAGAATTTACCGCGCGGATTCAAAGCTTTCAGGGGTGTGACATGTAAAACGAAGTACCAGTCCCAAATAGAACAGCAGATATGCCGGGAGTACCAGAACTAAATTCGATATTCGATTTTCCAAATCAAAATAAGATCGAATCTTCCCCATCAACGATCGACTATCTTGAGAGAGTACCTAATCAATCAAAGAATTAAAGCCCATCAGACTACGTTATTTGTCAAAAGAAAAAACAAATAACAAACTTGTCGGAATTCTTCGAAAAGCATCGTAGTAACTGTAGTGATAGTCAAGATCTCAGTCCAATGCATGTGGTTCGTTTTTGTCAATGGGCCAAATGCAAAGAGCATGTAATAACTGAAGAAGGTCAAAAAGAAAATATAACCAATCTAGAATGAGTCACGTGACATGAATCAGGCCTATTGAGCGTAATCGAACTTACACAGCTATAGCAATATTTCACAACGGGTCGATTGTGGAAATGAGAAAAATGTTGAAATACTGTTCCATGTGCATCATAATCATCGGTATAATCAATTCCGTTTTTGTTCAATCTGAATTAGATTTCAGTGTATGCTTTACAAATCTATCCTGCTAAATACATACAATCGTTTTGGTTTTTCTGATCTGATCATCTATTGATAAGAAGCATACAGATATGCGTTGTGTAGATATTTTCAACTTACATAACTTTCTGGTTTGATACCTGAATATTTTGAGAAATGTTTCTGATAAATTGAAAGGAAAATTTGAGCAATTCCGAAGGTAAGAATATTAATAACAAGAATGTTTTGTTCTCGAACAGGATCAACCTTATCGTACCAGATATTCGTTAACAAAGCTTGACAAGCATCTTCGTGTAAGAATCTTTTACAATCTGCAGTGACAGCCATTTGTAGGCACGTGACGCCTCCATAAATTTTCGTACATCGCATAATTAATTCACACGCTTGATGCTTGTCGTTCATATAAGCATGTCGAACGAATTCAATTGCATGAATTTCGAACTCATCCGCTCTGGAATACAATGTATCTTTAGCGACATAATCAGGAGCATAAGCTGACAACGATTTAAGAATCTTCGCAGCAATCAGTGCAGAACAGATGCGAGTTTTCAATTGACCAAGAAATATTTTCGCCATATCAAGTCGATAAGTTAAGATACACCAAAGAAAAAGATCGCGATAAATATGTTCCGCATCGGTATTGTCTTTGTTTTCCATGTCGATTTCGGTTCCCAATAACACTAATTCTATGTCTGGTTGACCATCATACAGAGGACGCATGAAATCACCGACGAGTTTCTCTAAGACAATAACCAAGTGCTTTTCTTCGGTAAACGTGAGCTTTTTACTGATCTGATCCAACAGATACAATGGATCGTACTGTATGAAACAAAACAAAATTGAATATCTTTCATAGAAGAAAGATAGGAGAGAAAACTTCGTCTTACGTTGATGCGTTTTGCATCTGAGTACATTTCTTCTAAATAATGATATTTACGAGACCAACGACTAACAATTCTTTTTGATGTTGTAGTCGCAGGAGGAAACAGAACGGTAAAATCAATGTCGAGTTTCACGAAATTCATGACGAACATGAGCATGTTTTTGCTAAGTGCATCAATCAAAAGCAATCGATTCTGTTGAGCCTAGAACCGAAATCACGCTGTTGAAAAGATAACAAAACTAGAATATAAAGTTTACTTTGTTTGTGTCATTCCAAATCTGGGTAGTCGCTACGGATTGATTGTCGGTTGCATCACCAATACTCCAACGAAGTGCCAAATGTAATTGTTCATCGATAGTTGTGTAAAATTTTTTCTTTATTTGTGAAAGATTATTGCGTGCTGAGAATGCAAATTTTCAACTAAGAAGTCCAGTGAGAGCGATAATCTAGACTTACCTTGAACAAATGTAGGAAAAATCGTTTCTTTTAGGGATTCCGATGATTCAGTATGAAAGAGATGGATGTTATCTCGAAAAGGAGCATTTAAACAGCTGGCCATTTGGTATAAATAATTTTCGAGAGCCTTTTCTTCTTCCACACTCAATAATTCACCTGCAGGTAATCGTCTCCCTTGAGATTCATATTCTTGCTGCCGAACGATACTATAGAGTTGACGGACATCATTGATAAGCTCCTGACGATAACGACCAAGCACTTTCAACAGTCGTTTTAACCTACATGTGAAATACGGTAAATCTGAAGGTATAGTGAGCTTGACGGAAGTTACTTTTCGTTTGTTAGAGAAGATGGACTAAGATCACTATGATCTTTAGAGAGTACTTCATCGAACATTTTTGCATCTGTGTCATCATCTGAGTCAGAAGATGAATTGTGTTGGACTTCATTAAGCTCATGATCCATCACACTCATATCTTTATAAGAATCTTCGATGAAAATATTGGATTATATCGAGTGGTAAGGAAAAACATCCACTTACTCTCCGTCAATTTCAAGTATTTGAACAATAGATCAGCTAATGGTCCACATTTCTATCATTCAATGTAAAGAAAATTGATCAATTCCTGTGCGTTCTGCATACAAGTAGCTTACGCTAATAATCACGATTGGAATTTTATTTTCCAAATCAGTATATATTGATGAGAGAGAATGAGGAGTGCCACCCGCGAGGATTGTAATCAAGGGTACTAAATTTAAACAATACGTCTAGAAATAGTAGGAGTATAAATGCATACTTCTTCGTCTTGCTCCACGTGAAATCTGCCGAGCCAAGTTCGAAGCAAATTCACCGGTGTCCAGTGAATCACACGTTCCATCATCAAAAAACAAGTATTGTGTATGATTTAATTCAAGTTTGTATCGTCCATGACCTGTATGTGCCATCGAGTCCATATTAAAATTTCTAAAAGGCCAATATTTAAAGAGGATTCTGCAGCAATAATGATGTCTAACCTCTGTTCAAGCTTATGACAATCATGAATATTACCCCATTTACCAACACCAATTGCGCTGAAAGCAGTGCATGTATTTCTAATTCGACTGTTGTAAACCATTTCGCCGACCAATTCTGAAATGCTTTCTTCTTTGTAACCATTGGTAATAATCCATGCATCTGAAAGAAATTATCATCGAACGTAAAGGTATTCATCGGTATTTTGACTTACCAGAAGCAAGAGCAGCATCGGATATGCCTTTTAAAAGTTCTTTCTCTATTTTAATATTTGGAGTTGTATCGATATCGCCAATCATTCGCATAATAAGACCAGGCACGGGCATATTCCACACACCGAATAGTACGAAACAAAGCTGTTCAAGGTCTGTTTCTATATCGCATCGTAAGTACTAAAATTAAGAAGGCAAACAATATCATTTGGCCGATTTCACTAATAGTCACATAACGTACAGGACTATTTGATCGAGGTAAAATTCCATAAGAATTCGTGGTTTCTTGCTTTGTATGCTTTTTCCAATTCCATTTTTCATTGAGTCCAGGAAGATCACTTTTGGGATGATTATAATTGCAAACACAGCATTCTTTATTTGTTCTGGATTGGTGAATTACATTATTAAGAAAGATTTTCGTCTCATAATATATACTTACTCCTTGGGAATGAAGGTTGTACATACTCGATTTTGAAATTTTAATCGCTCGATGGCACTTCTCCAAGGCATCAACTGCAACCGTCAAATATAAAAAAACGAATCACAAATGCAAACAGCAATACTTACCTCAATCGGTAACAATGGAGAATTAATTAATGAATTCATATTTTATTACCTATTAAATGTATTTTCAAATAGATGTCAATTGTGTGTATATTGCTAATAACCTTGAGACTAACGAACGCGGTTACAATAGTCGGCAGTAGAAAGAAGCAGGCGACGTATTTCTTCACTTTGCAGCGTCCTTCGCGCGACAACGTTACTGAAGAAGAAAATATGCTTCTATATTCTGTTAGCAGCTCCTTTCTTTTACATACCTGGCAAAATTTTTATCGACATGCGTCTGTTTTGTTCACTTTCCTTGCTTTTCTTTTTTTTTTGTAGTACTGCGTGGAGCTCTTTCTGTTCTATTTGCATTTTTTTTCTTTCACTTAAATGCATTATGAATATCTGTACTGCCTTGCATCGCATAAATCCATTTTCGCCGATTGAATTCAATATATTGTAAATTGCATCTCGCATCAAATAGAATTTTGTTTCAGATGGACGAAACGAGCTCAGTATCGTCGAAATTAATAAAACCACATTATCTAAGTCTCCTTGAAGAACTCAGTAAACTTTCCGAGTTATCAATTACCGTCGACATCGCCAAAATAGATACAATCTTCGATAATGTAACTGAAAGTATAGAACACATCTTAGAATGTATGCCCTTTCAAAAGAGTGCAATGGTTTTGATTACGATAATGAATTCCATCGTACGTCTCTGCGTCACCGATCAATCCAGCGTTTTCATATCGCGCGAATCGTTTCAATTGATGTTCGAAAAATTACATAAGTTTATAATGAAGGTTTTTAAAAGTGAAAAATTTTCCCCGGTGTGTGCAAGTGATATTTTGGATTCAATATTTATGAATCTTATCGCCGATGATTTCATCGAAATTTTCCTCCGACGATTTCTTTTCGAAGACAACCTATCGACCAACGGTGTGTATTACTATCTTAACCTTCCCATTTCATCCTTTGAATTAAATACTTAGATTCTCTGCAACAAGATAACAAATCTTCTCAAGGTAACATGGTTGATTTGCATCAAATCCTTGAACAATACATATCATATAGTGACTCGTCTCTTTTGAAAACGCCCATTGTATCCGTCGATGCATTTAGATATCACTACCGTCCTCTTCTGCTCGCTTTGCAAAAATGTATCGATAGCTACTTAATCCGTACATTCCGACAACTTTCAGCACGTCAACTACAAGGAATTGAGGCTGTTCTGATTTTTATATTGAGTATGACCGATAAACTTTCGTTACTTCCTGTATTAATTGATCTTGATTATATTAAAAAAAGCGTCGAATGGATCCATTCCGAAATATTTTTATTTCATATTGCAAATCTTGGCCTATTAACAATTACAATCGTTTATAATTTATCCCGAGACAAAGTAGGCTTTAAAAAGCTTCGTGCGGAAAAGGCATTTGACGTTTTAATGACTCTGAAACAGTCCATCGATGAAATAAATAATAAAGAATTGACAGAATGTTTCGCTAGAGCTTTGATAGCAGTTTCGACCAGCGATGAACAATCAGAAGAGAACAAAAAGCTTATTCTTGAGACCAGTGAAACTCTATACAAAATCTGTAAGCAAGCTGATAAAGATCCTGATTTAAGATGTGATGGATATCATTTATCAGAAATATTGGAGCTGTTACAACGTGCGTTCGCAAATACTTATGTAATAAAACATATAATGGAGGATATCACTGATGGAAATTCGCTGGCGATAGATTATTTTGCTGGACTGTTCTTATCTTTCTACGGGACTTTATTGGATCCTGATCCGAATGATTTGGAAAAGCGTGCTATTCAATATTTACTCAAGGTTCTATTGCAAATTTCCAGTTATCCTGCATATTTACAGCAGTTGATTGATAATGATCGATTTTGTATAATTATAGAAGCGTTAGCTACCCGTCCGAAACAGGACGATGCTAAACGCATTTGGTGTCATATTCAAGAAATAACTTTACGCGACATGCCGAAAAAAGAAACAGCATCGAAAATTTATATCAGTTATCATTATACTGATGAAGAAATTTGCAAAGAATTTGTGAAAGAACTAAGGAAGAAAAAAATAGCCATTCAAATTTGGGTCGATTACGAAAACGTTGAAGTAAGTGAAGATATGTGGGAAGCTGTATCTCCAAATATCAGATCGGCATCGACTGTGATTGTCTTAGCGTCAACTGCCTATGGGGAAAGTATGGATAAATTTCAAGAGTTATCATACATAATGTCTACTAACAAAGCAAGAGATCCACAGAAAGGTTTAGTTGTGATTACAACTGAGCCGAATTTCAGTTCGAAACGATCATGGATGAATAATTTATTAAAAGATCATACTGTAATTCCATATGAGAACAATATGGGTCACATGGTATCGAGATTATATGAACAAATTGGAATAGCGAAGAAATCACCGTTTAGCTTCTTGGGAATTTTGGGCAAAAATAAACGAAGAAAGAGAAGTCAATCTGAGGACTCTTCACGAAGTGACCTCAATCGACTTTCCACCAAAACCGATATTAAGAAAGAACTCCTGAATTTCAATAACAAACTGGATGGTACCGTTCCGAAAGCATATAGCTCGTGTTCTATTGTCAATAGCGTAATAACGGTAACTGGATCTGCTACTAGTGCAACCTGGGTGTGAAGATTAAGATTTATACCATTTGAATTTGACAATAACCTATCTACTAGATTTTATAATAAAACTATGTTAAACTACATTTAAAAGTAAAGCTAAGCATAGTTCCTTTAAATAGTTCTTTTGACATCAAATATCACTCGTGAATGCTTTTGTTATAGTTTAGAAGTAGTTATTCACATCAATTGTCTTGTCGAAAAAAAAGTATGCCTTATTTTCATTCGCATACATAAAATACCGATTAGACAAAACAAACTTCATCTAGTCTCCTTATTTTGCTTCGGTATTGCGACACTACTTTCGACTCATATTCTTCGTGACTCACATGTGCAGTACAATGAATGCATTATAAGGAAGAATAAAAAAGAGAGAGAGGGGGGGGGGAGAGTATATTTATCAAAAACATATTATTTCATTTCGTTTCTATCAGTCCATATCTAGTCGTTATGTCGTACAATAGAAATGCAAACTATGGATATTTCCGCGGAGGAACCGAAATCTCACGAAATCGTAATTATCCACTTTGGCATTTAGAAGATGTTCTATTGCCCTTATTTGAAAAAGATTACACATATGATAGTTTGCGTGAAACAATACGAAGCGCTAATCATATCTGGTGTGCTTACGAGCATGGAAAATGTGTTGCTTGTGCATTGATTACCGATGTCGGAACAAATGGTGGACTTTATGTAATGCTCTTTGGTGTAAGAAAGTCAGCACAAGGCCGAGGTATTGGGAAACAATTGCTAGAAAGTATTATTCGATGGTCACGTCGACAAGGATATAGTTTTCTCTATCTACACACCGAATATGATAATAAGAAGGCGATTGGAATGTACGAAAGAGCTGGTTTTCAACAAGAAGTTTTTGGAAATATTTTTCGAGAACAATTGCCGCAATTCGGATCAGATGTCTTATCGATGATATTGTTTTTAATGTAGACGAAACGAGGAAGATGGTATTTCGCATTTGTAAAGATTGAAGTAAATAAATAAACAAAATGATTATATTTTATATCATTGATGAAAGAATAACAGTAATACAGTGTAGTGATGATTCTTTGTTCTCAAGGATTTCACACGTGAAAGAATATCACAGCTGTATTATTGTTCTTTTCTCTGTTTTTTACAATGAACATGTGTATTTACCTGTTATTCTTATGATGTTATGATTACATTAGTTATGATCGTAATATTTTATCAAGTCATGGCCAAAATTTGTTTGAAAAAAAAAAGAAGATTCTCTGCAAACGATTTGCAAATTGAAAAACAAAAGTTTATTTGACTAGTATTGATTTCATTTAATCGATATTTTTATTCATTAACAGATGCACTTTCTATTGGAACTTGAAAAAGTGCGACATAATACAGAAACAAATTTTCGATTCGATGAGAAACAATGTCATTTGAAAATATTTGATATTAATTAAAAAACGCCTACATTCTTATTGATGCAAAATAGAAATATATATATATATATATACAGTTTACTTACAGATTTAAGTGTAAAAAATGAACTAGTAAGTTTTCTTTATCAAGAGATTAATGGGAAAATGTGAGTGATATCAGATATCATTGTGAAACGTACAGCGTAACTATAAAAGCTCTGTCCAGAAAATAATGTTAATAAGAAAAAGAAAAAATGCACGCACTAACACTTATCTCGCTTGCTGCAGTTTTATGCCTTGCTTTGGCTCATCCACGTAAGCAATGAATGCATTGTTGAAAGTGTTCATCTTGTCGAAACTGCATGTCATTGTAGATGGTGATCGGCGACCTGAGCTAAAACCTGCTCATGAACTTCTTCACAGACCCGATCGCAAACCTGGACACGGTGATCATGATTCTGAGTAAGTGTGTGGATAGATTTGTCATCTGAATATAAAATAAATAATTGTACCATTTACTTTGTAGCTCAAAAGAACATGGCAAACATATACTCTTCCCCGGATTCTGGTTTGGTGGTCACCATGGAAAACCACGTCCTCCACGTCCATCACGTCCTACGCGTCCACCATGCACAACTCGTCCTAAACCAACAAAACCTACAAAACCCACAGAAGGGTAAGAAATCCAGCATCTATGCTTTGAAAACATAAGTGTGAAAACTATATGCTGCTTATAACTTTTTCAGGACAACTCAACAACCAACTGAACCCACAGAAGGGTAAGACAACCAGCATCTATGCTTTGAAGACATAAGTATGAAAACTATGTGCTGCTTATAACTTTTTCAGGCCAACTCAACAACCAACTGAACCCGAAATTACTACTACAGAAGCAATTATTGTTGAAGTCACTACTCCAGAACCAGAACCACAACTTGTCGAAGAAACAACTGCTGCTGAATAGACGACTGAAAATGACAAGCACAGTAAAAATTACTTTAAATAAGGGATGTCAAATAGTTGCTAACGTAAATTGATTACGATTACAATTCTTGTATCACTTATACTTGTAATTTGTCATTTTGAATTTAAAATATGTAATACATGATCGTAAAAAGCACTATCGTTCTATCAATATTTTGTACGAAGAGTAATGAAAGTTCCGAAGATTGTCAATTTTGTATCAGTGAAAAAAATTCAAGATACGCTCAGCGATATCAACTACTACTTGCATACTCCTTCTAAAATTGCCGTTCTATTCTTATCAGTGTATAGAATATCAATCAATCGATAAACAGATCAAATCTTCGAACTATAATCTGCCTCACTAAGTACATTGATGAATAGCAATATTGTTGGATAAAAATATTTAGAGATATTCTTTATTTCTGTCTCTTATAGAAGTTGTATTTGATGAACAAGGGTTACTAAAAATAGTTATATTCGGGGTTTCAGGAATAATGTTAAATAGACGCATTGTGCCGTACGTATTTCGAATAGGCGTTGAATAATCATATCTACAAAAAGAAAAAGAAAAATGTGAACATTCTACAATATAAAAGAAGATTGATTTTGAGCAGCATACCTTATGAGTGTATGATTTCGATTGAGATAAAACACTGCATTCTCGTCATTGGTAATAATCAACTGCCACGCTTGCAGTGCGCCATGATCAGTATAGAAAAACTCATCTCGTACTGAACCAATGAATATGGCACCGTAAACCGATAGAACATTGGGCGAAAATAAGGGATAAGATGGTTTGATATCCAAAATTTGACAAGAAGGTTGTGCAGCAGTTGTTGGAGTTAATGAATATCTATACTTTCGAACATAGAAAAAGCAAATATGTAATATTTAATCGAAGCTGACTTACATAGAAGCTGGAACAGTACCATCCACATTCGTTTTGTCATAGTCTAGTAGTGTACTTGCGACAATACCTCGGTATGTAGTATCTAAACGAAGAAGTCGAAGTTTGGAACTTGCATAGATCATTCCAGTGGTAATTTGTGATGTTTGATAACGATCCCATGTATGTTGAATAAATGAAGCCTGGTATTCGGCGACGATTGATTCAGGCGGATCTGGCGTTTGGAAATCCGCTTGGAAATATTCGTCTGATGCCGTGACGATTTCCCAAAGCAACATTAGCTGGAGCAAAATGTATAGTTTTAGCATACTTTCAGATTTGTCGGGTGAAGGTTATGTGAATAAATACTCAATGATACTGATATTGCAATAGGACTTAAGTTTAGATGACATTAATTGATATTTGCTTATCTTTTGACGTTTTTACGATCGAACAATATGTTATCAAGATGTATGTCTTTAATAAAGCAATTGAAACGGTCAAAAAAGCACTTATGAGTCAAGTTTTTCTAAACACTTCGACGTCCACTTGATGATGTTGGTGTCGGTGAGTCTGTTGGACATGGATTTGCAAAAAGATTCGCAGTAGGTGAACCTGGTACAATATTGAAAAGACGCGTAGTTGTAAATGTACTACGTGCAGGTGATGAAAAATCCATTCTAGCAAAAAGAAAAATATCATTTCAAGTTCATATATTTCGATGACGTTGATATTCTTTTACCTGACAACCGTATTGTTACTGTCCAGAAAGAATGTCACACTGACCATTCCGCCAAATAAAATATCCCAAGCTTGTAAAGCTCCCCGGTTAGCATAAAAAAGATCATCTGTGATCAGGCCAGCAAACGTTGCTTGATAGTCAGCAAGAATTGTCGGTGGAAATAATGGATAAGCTGGTGTTGAATTATAATGCGCACATGAACCTGCCGTTGCTGTTGACGGCGACAAAGTATATATATAATTAGGAACTGTACCATCGCTATTTGCTTTGGCATAGTCAAAAAAAGAACTAGCAATTACACCTCCATATGTCACATCCATACGGAGACGATTATTAGCTTGACCGGCATAGATCATACCCGTTGAAATATGTGAAATACCAGTTGCATCCCATTTATGTTGAACGTAAGAAGCTTGATATTCGGCTAGAATGGCAGCTGGTGCCTGTGGTGCACGAAAATCACCAGCAAAAAGATGTTGTGATGATCCACTTGAAGGATGAAACAGCAGTGTAAACGAGAAGAAGCTACACAGAATATACATAATGCTTGATGGCATATTGATCGATTTCTTTGATCCACACCAATCGAAAACAGAACAAAACACGATTAAAATAACGTATTAGATCTTTAACTCATCCGGTATATAAAAAGTTTTTTTCTTCTTTGCAGAAATCAACGTACAAAATAAATATTTACTTCGTACGCTCTTTATCGGATGAATACCTCTATTTGTCCTTAGTCATCACGATGATTAATCTCAATACATATGGTATCGATGGTCGAGATTTTGCAGTTGATTTTTACAGACGTCAACAGAAACATTGTTTTATATGCGTTTTCGAATGTAAAGTAAGAATATTAGATTATCTGTGTTAAAAACAATCCCAAGGAACTATTTTTCTTGTACTACAAATCTTTTACTCCAAGCAGGATGACTAATTTCTTATGAAATATTTTACATTGAACTCTAAATAGAGTAAAATGACGATGTGATAATATTTGTACGAAAGATCACTCTACACTTTATATTGAATTTCAAACTGGTAAACACGCCTGCGGTCTATCGTATGTCTTTAATGCTTACAAAAAACAATCAAGCATGCGCTTCAGATTACTCATTCAATCTAATCTATTTAATCACATAAGCCAATGCATTCCAGAGCGAAGACAGTGATAATTTTGAAATACAATAAAACAAAGTCCCTTGTTATTCTTTGCCCATCGCACGTTCAATCATTTCGACACATCTCATCACCTTTTCATCATCAAATCGCCGGCCGACTACTTGTAAACCAATCGGCGCATTTGCATACACTTCTGGTGACGTGTACNATTACTCATTCAATCTAATCTATTTAATCACATAAGCCAATGCATTCCAGAGCGAAGACAGTGATAATTTTGAAATACAATAAAACAAAGTCCCTTGTTATTCTTTGCCCATCGCACGTTCAATCATTTCGACACATCTCATCACCTTTTCATCATCAAATCGCCGGCCGACTACTTGTAAACCAATCGGCGCATTTGCATACACTTCTGGTGACGTGTACAAGTTATAGTTTTCCCTATCCAAAGCATTTCTTGGTTGGTAATCGAGTTCGACTTGATCTTTGACAAGATCGACTGTTGTTACCGGAAAAACAGCAGCAGGATAATCGAGTAGATTCCACACAGAAGTATAGCCCCACCATTTAGCTGTTCCATGGAGAGGAGCTGCTGAAGGGCCGACAGGAGTGAGAAGACAATCGATAGTACAGTCGAAAGAAGCTTCTCGTTCGTTCCAAGTTCGTGCATATTGATTTCGATAAGTTTCTCTTGCAGAAATTAGTTCATTCATATCTATCCAAGTTCTTTTCTTGACATTCGGTTGATTGAAAATCCAGTCAGTTAACGGTAAGAGTTGTTCATTTGCTGCTGCTAATAAACTTCGTTCTTCTTCGGCACCGTTGCAGTAATAGAGTGCACTAATGAGATGCCAACTTGTGAGATGATCAATAGGTTGCCAATCGACGATTCGAATAGCGGAGTTCTTGAGATGTTGTATAGTTTCCCGAAGTGCACGAGTTACAGGTGGATGAGGATGAACAACAAGATCATCCCACATGACAGCTACAGTTAGACGATGAGATGTCAAGGCGATCGATCGCCAAGGAATAGGCACGAGAGATGGATCTGTTAACCATGGTTGAGTGTCAAGTATGGTTTTCATAAACAGATGAATATCATCTCGATGACGTGCAAGTGGACCAACAACACCGAGAATACTTTCTCTTCCTGATTGTATTCCCATGATGCCTTGCTTTGTGATACGTAGAGTTGTTGGACGTAGACCATACATTGCATTGTTTGCAGCCGGAGAACGAATACTTCCTCCAATATCGGTTCCGATACCCATCGGAGTTGCTTTCAAGCCACCGAGACTTCCTTCGCCGCCTGAGCTGCCACCCGACGTCAAATTCCTGTTGAATGGATTAACAGTAGTACCATGGATGGGACTACTACATTCTAGATGCATCAGAGTCTGTGGTTGAGTAGTGCGAACATAAAATATAGCACCAGCATCAGACAGAATCTTCAAGACAAGAGCGTCATGTTGAGCGATTCTGTTGAGCCATGTTACATAGCCTGCACTTGTTCGATGTCCCTTCATGGTAATATAATCTTTGACAGAGATAGGTAGACCATGTAACGGTCCAACAGGTCGTCCATGTTTTCTGAATTCTTCATCTAAATATTTAGCACGAGCAAGAGCTTCTTCAGTGAGAAATTCACTCACACAATTCGTCAGCTGATGAGCGATACCGGCTCGTTTGAGATAAGCTCTAGTCACTTCTTCTGCCGTTAAGTGACCTTGAGCTAACAGATTAACAAGTTGGCAAGCTGTGTACTGCTCTGTGATAGTGATTTCACTAGCTGATAAAAGAGCACACTGACACGGGATGTGTGTTACATCAAGAAGCGATGGATGAGGAAGTAGGCCATCCGTTAATATGCTATCTCGAGGAATGGAATCATCTCGAATCTTGCGGAATTCTTCAATCGTAAGAGCGGATGTCATCAATGTAAATATATCCGATAAAATGTAATTTGAAAGCGGTAAACAACCAACAACAAAAATAGATAAGGAATGGAATGTAAACGAAGTCTCGAATGATTCATATAGTAGTCTTTACTTTTATCTGACTAAATCGTTTAACATATCTATGCACTGCAGTGTGCATTCGATAAACATCTACTCTCTCAATCACATAAGATCTATGTGTTATAAAGCATAGCGTGTCATGAAAACAAGTATGAGTTGAGTAGGATCATCGCGGTTTATTAATAGCAAATAAAAATCCATCGTAGCCCTTTTCTCCGACAGTTCCCATGGTAGTTGCTTCAACTGTAGAATCATTATGAATATATTGTAAGAGGCGACGAACACCGTCAACACTAGGATCACTTTGTATTGGATCAGCTACACGTCCACTACGGACGACATTGTCAACGATAATCACGCCTTGATTTCTGACTAATCGCTTTGCTTGAATGAAATAGTCGACGTTTGATTGTTTGTCAGCATCGATGAAAGCTAAATCAAAGGTTTCATCGGAATGGAGACGAGAAAGTGTGTCTATCGCAGGACCAAGAACGATCTTTACTCTACTAGTTAAACCAGCGTGGTCGATATTTTGTTGAGCAACCTTCACACAGAATATGTGTTAATCTCGAATCAAACAAGCGACTTCACTAACCTTTGCATAGTGTTCAGAGATTTCACAAGTGATGATTTCACCATCAGGTGGAAGTGCCTTTGCAAACCAAATTGTGGAATATCTATGTGAATGAAGAAGTGATCGATTGGAATTCTAATTATTAGTCGTCGTCATCGTTCGTATCATTTCCTACCCTCCGAGTGTTCCTACTTCCAATATACGATGAGCTTGAATACTTTTAGCTAGAAGATACAGAAATTTGGCTTGTGCTGCACTAACTGCATACGGAGGAAGTCCGTTTTGTTCGCTCAACTTCAAAGCAGAATCGAGAGTAGCATCCGGTGGAATGAGAAAACTGTTGTGATAGATATCAGAACGAGTCCAGTCGTTCACATCACTCGTAGTGGATGACATTTTCGAAGAGAGACAAAAAAGTTAGTTTTGCTTATCATGAAACTATGAGAGTGTATGATAAGGATCGAAAGAAGAAGAAGAAGAAAAACAAATATTCTAAGGTGATACAAAACGAAGTGCACTCATTACTCTCTCTCTCTCTCTCTCTCTTTCCCGGTTGTCTTTGTTCTTACAGAACTACGAATGTCTTCAATATCGAACAATCGTTCGGATGGTTTTGGTATAACTTTACATCATGAAGGTCAAAATGCTGACAATTCACTTGCTCCTTCACCATCCGGTGGCACAGGTGATTCGAATAAACAAACTACTGATCGAACAAGTGCACATCAAATTACAAAAGAATCGAATAAGCAAGATCCAATAAGTGAACATGATATCAAGAATAACAGACCATAGAACCGCCTTTTTATTTATTTTCTATATTCCAGCAAAAGACTAATGCTTTGATAGGTGTAAAGTCACTAATGATGGATCTTATTCTACGAAGTAAATAACAGAATATTTTGTATTTGGAAAATATGATCATTGATTTCTTAATTTATGAAAATAAAACAGACAAAAAGACTTGATCGGTTTAACGAAATAGAATCATTTATTAATGAGTGTTTGTTGTCGAACGTAGAAGACTAATTTGATCACCTTGTCCACCGAGACTAATGTATAATTGCCATGGAAATGGACATTTATTGATATCGATGTCTAATTTTTGTTTTTTCTGTAGACGTTCATTTTTGTAACAAAGTTGATGTTTTGAACAATCTAAAACTAATTCGATGACATCTTTTTCACGTGTATAACTAAAAAGCACATCACTATCAACTTTCTGTCGTTGACCAACAATGAAATAATCATTGTAATCACCCCAACCATAGACTGATGAAGGGATAAATAGATTTCCACCCATTTTTGCCGTTTTGGAAATGATACCAATGAAAATGAGTATTTTCGATGGATTATTTTCTATACGAAAGTGAAGACTATGTTTACCAGTCGAATATTCCATTCGTCCACGAACTTCAGTACCGAAGAAACTTTCATTACCATTTGTGACCAGAAGACCATTCTGATCAATCGTAGCATTTCCGTAACAATACTCGAATCGATCATTGCAGATCGATGTATATGGAGTGTCGGAAGTCGAATCAGATCGATGATATTCATTGTTGTTTGTGTCGGCAGATGATGAAGTCATTCGAATGTGATAGATGAGAGGCTTTNTGTTATTTCTGATAGTTTTGTGTGTTCCGCAAGCGATTCAGAAGTTCTATTCGACTGTGAGACCGTTTGGGGCAGGATCTACAGACGAGGATGCAGTGAAAACGCTTCTATATAATATCGACCTATTATTAGCGTTTATCGCAAGTGGAATGCCATTTTACATATACACACTATTCGGTGAAACTTTATTCCGGAAAGTATTGTTGGCTGTACTACATAGAATTCATCGAAAACTAATTTGCTTTTGATATACCGTGTTAATAATCATGCGGTTATCATTGAATAAGGGTTTTTTGTATGTGTGTTCAGTATTGTTTTATAACTTTTCTACCTATCCATTTTCTTATACTTCTGCCAGGAAGAAGCTTGACCAGCATGAATGAAGAAATATCATTCAGAACTTGTATGATGGGCGTCAACTACATAATAAAAAAAGTATTCGAAATAGACTATCGAGGTATGTCTTTGATGCGAGTGAATGTCGAACACTTCGAGGAAATGTTCTTGGTTTAGAAGAAAAGATCTCAAAATTCTTGGCATGAATAGAAGTAATTTATATTCATCTACTGTTTTAGGTCTTTTATTAAATGGTTCTTTACCAGTTGAAAGAAAATAATCTCTCAGCTGTTTCATACAAATAGTATGGACTCTAACGCGATTGGTTTACATGACATTAAATCCTTTAATTGAAATATTCTTCTGCATTTCTGTACAATAATCGAATTTCACGGAGATTTCTATGATCAATATAAACTTCTTTCAATATCGAGTGTGTCATTCTCTTTGCGCATCACAATATTGACTAAGTCTTTCTCTGATGTCTCCGAGTTAGAAGGTCAGTATATCAATGTAGAAACATCAGCTTGTAACTATTGTAAACGTTAATCAATTACTAAGACTGATGAGACAAATCTAGCGTGATTACGTCTCGTCTTATTTACAAAGACATAATCTCAACTAATAAAGATGGATGATTGCTTTCAAGAATCAAGTTTTTACATTCTGTTCTACGCTGAATTCCACGTTCATTTTTGTCTACTTAGAAAAGGCACTAACATCTCACTTTTTCCTAATCAATCTAAGAAGATTATGTTCGAGTAATTAACGAAGAGATTACTAGAATAGTATGAGAGAGTGTGAGAATGACCCTTGATATTGAGCATACTTCTGTGCAAGGGCTTTTTTATTCAACATTAAGAAACAAGACGGCTAATTTCCTATGATCTTCGAGAAAAGATTGAATGTTTTGCGCATAATTTCATATAAGGAACCTCGACAAGATTTTGTCCTTGAATTCCACACTTCCATTCATTACACAGAGGATATCAGGATCTACTAGGAATCCTATTAAAATGAGGCTAACTACTCTGTAATAATATCGTTATAATAGGGCCTCATACTGCCTATTTTCTCCCTTTCAAAAGGAACTCACATTCATAATGTTGAGGAGAACATAGTCTAACCTTCTACTAACAATTAAGAGGTGTAGCAAGTCCGCAAAGCTTTTTAATAAGTTCACTTTCGAAAATCTGCGCACATATACAGTAATACAGACAATACCAACAAATTTTATCTCCTACTAAAACAGAATCGTTACAGATTATTCGTATATCTCTCGAGAAATATAATATATTCTTTTCTTAGATCCATTAAGTCTTACTTTACTACAGTAGTGTTTGCCAGCAAACAGCTTCATATGGCATCCCTTGCTGGCACCAATTTCACCATATATCTAGACTATATTCAAGTGCAAATGAATCGGTATCTGTCACCAACCATCTTTATCTTCGGTGTTATTGGTAACACTCTCAATTGTATTGTTCTCGGACAACCGACACTCCGATCCAATCCATGCGCTCTTCTCTTTCTCGTCTCATCGTTCGTCGCTCTCATTTCTATTCTCGTCGGCCTTCCAACACGTATCCTGGCCGGTTGGAATCTCGATCCAACAGCCGCTATCACATGGATATGTCGATTTCGAGCATTCGTAGTCTTCACTACAAGAACAATCGCAGCGTGGCTTATCATGTTTGCCACCGTCGATCGTTGGCTGCTTTCTTCTGTCGACATTCACCGACGACAACTCAGTTCGATTAAAAACATCAGAACACAGATCTTGGTCACTTTTGTTCTTTCTATCGCAGTCTATGCACATATGCTCTACTGCTATGAAGCGNAGGAAGACAACAATTTGCAAATGACATTCTACCCGTATTTTATGGCAGATATACTTATGTTCGACATGGAAAGGAAGAAAGATTATTCAGCGCCATATGTAATCAGAGAAACGAAATCGATCAGTACCTCAAGCAGACAAATATTGGGGAAAAGAACGCGTAAAAACGTCAAGCTTGTAACTATATAAATATTATTCGCGTCTCCATATGTCACATGGTCATCGATTCTATATCCACATATTTGTATTTTAGATATGAACTACTGTAACAGATTAAGTACATAGCACCCTCTACCGTTCACATCGATTAATGGATTATCACCATGCAAATTGATTTTCGTATCTTTGTTGCGCTTCATACAGTCCATTTTCAACAAGGAAATCTTTCGCATATAGTCAGAAAAGAAAAACAGTTTCATTCAAATTAAAGAATTCTCGAGTTTCACTTGATATCAATCAAATTGTATAAACAATGCTTGAATACTTTCCTGACGAAATTCTTCTTCATGTTTTCGAATATTTTGACATACGTGATTTATATGATTCATTCTACGGGTTAAATTCTCGATTGAATTCGATAATCTGTGCGAAGAAGAATCTCTCCATAGTTTTCTCATCTCCTGATGATATGAATGATTCGTTTTGTGATGCATTTACAAATTATATCGCCAAATTAGTCGTCGACCATTCAAGTTATATCGATTTTCAAGCATTTCCATCGTTACATTCTCTTATATTGAACAGTCCATCAGATGATCAATTAGAACAAATATCTTATTGTAAATTCCCTTATTTGGTCCATTTAGAATTCGGTATTATGAGTAATACATTGGCCTATCGTACTTTATATGAAATTCTGCACAGTCAACAATTCCCTTGTTTGAAAACATGTATATTTCACCATGAAACAAATGTTGTTTCACTGAATCGCTATCGACAAATTTGGTCTAACTCATCAACACTTCGAACAGTTTGGTTGAGCTCGGTGGATTTATCTCTTCGATCAAATCCTGAACTGCTTAATCAGGCGAAGATTCTCTCCACGGATGTTAAGCATTTACATTTGAAACGATTGGATATTTGCTGCACGTCAGATGGCCCATCGATTATTGAAATCGATCATTTCCTTTATCAAATGCCAAATTTAGAAAAATTTAACATTGCCTCGAACGAAGTTTACTATTCATACGAGTTCTTGCAACAATTGGCTTCTATTCTTAACCGGCGACTTCGTTATCTGAACGAATTTCATTGTGAACTTCTATGTTTAATGACAAATGAAGAACTCGAGCAATTACCTCGATTGCATGCATGTTTTAAACATATTCAATGTGAATCGAAATACGGTGGTCAATGCATTAGATTATTCACAGAATAATCGTCCAAGCAGTTTTCTCTTTTTTTTATGTCCCAGGTTATCTAAATATTTTACTACTGTGGTAGTAAACAAAGTTTCTATTTCAATACTTATTTACTTATTTTCTTTTTACAATAAATAATTACAGATACAAAAGAAAGAATTTGCTGTTGCTACGCGTATTTTTACATGTTTCGACGACTTCGTTCGAGTTGCAGTGTATGTGTGCTTCTGCTTTCTTTGTCTTGGTGAAGTTTAAGTGTTTTTTGTTCTTTTGCAGTCGTGATTCATAGAGATATTTATCTTTCGCTTTCGATAAAATTTGAAAGTAGTAGACACAAACAAAGTGCTTCAGTCGGTTTTTAGACAGGTGGGAATTGGATAATGACATTGGCTGATAATGATACAAGTAAGACTTATGATCGCTTTCTCGATGGAGATGAAGAACCACGACGAATGTTGCAACCAATCGAAGGATTTCAAAATTTTCCGTTAGTTTCTCTCGAAAAATCAGTTGAACCTATCGTTTCGATCTGTCCTGATATTCTTCGACGAGTCTATATCGCTATGGAAAACTGTAAAGATCGCACTCGTGAACAATTAACAGTAGATGAAGCTGCATCAATCTATCTCTACACTATGTCATGGAAACCGAAAAAAGAATGTCTTTACGTAGCGTTGAATTCGGTTCTTCGCACAGAAAACCGGGATGAAATTACTCCTTGGTATTTGTATTTGAAGTTAGTGCTGACCGCACTAACTCGACTACCCTCATGCGAAGTGGTTGTTTGGCGTGGTGTGAAACGAGATCTAGCTGATCAGTATGAAGTTGGCAAGACGTATGTTTGGTGGGCATTTAGTTCATGTACAAAATCACTTCAGGTGCTCGAGTCAGAACATTTTCTAGGTAAAACAGGAGAAAGAACTTTATTCAATATTCAATGTGAAAATGGTAAAGCTATTGCATCGTATTCACATTTTCCTGTGGAGGAAGAAATTATGATTTTGCCAGCAACACAGTTTATAGTGTGTGGAAAATTAAATCCATCGCCCAATCTCCATATTATCCAATTAAAAGAGATCAAACCACCTTTCCCACTGATTGAGTTACCTTCTATTCCATTGGAATCCAATGCATTAACACATATCAATGCCAAACTCGAACAACGAATTTCCATGTGTATGAGAGAATGTATGTATCTAGGACAATTCAACATCGTTGATCGTGATATTCCACTTATTATCCAACAAGCGATAAACACACGGAAGTGCACCTTTCTCGATTTAAGTCATAATAACATCACGGCGGATGGTGCCAAACTTGTTGCTGATGTGTTGAAGACGAATCAGTTTTTGAAAACTTTACGGTTTTGGCAAAATTATATATTAGATGCGGGTGCTAGTTCCATTGCACAGGCGTTGCATTATAACAAAACACTTACTGTGCTATGTCTAGCAAGTAACGGTTTGACAAATGTTTCCGCTATGGATATCGCTTGTATGTTAAACGTAAATAAGAGTTTGATTAGATTGTACTTGGATCACAACGAAATTGGCGATCAAGGTATGATTAGTTTAATGAGTGCGTTGCAGAGTAATCAAACTCTGCAAAAAATATTTCTACATAGTAATGTTATCTCTGACCGATCGATCCTCAGTGTCAGAGCAATGCTCCAACAAAATCAAACTTTACGATGGCTATCATTGGACAACAATGGATTGTCTTATCAAGGATGCGATACTCTGCTAAATATTGCTATTAATTCAAGGCGTTGTATTCAATTAAACTTATGAACAACGAAAATATAGACATAAATAAATTAAATATTCGTTTTGAAATGTATAAAAAGAACTTTGAATACAACTTAACGTTTTGGTCTAATGATATAACTGATCGACTAGTAGAATCTATATGTCGTATTGTGTTTGAAGTGATATAGAAATGAGTCATGCACAAGGTTAGATTTGAAAATGAAAACTAAAGAGTTTCAATTTATTAATAAATGACAATTACATAACTGAACATGCTTGACTCTCGGGAACTAACGATGCACTTGATATCCGCTTTGATCTTTGATGAATATGATCAACGTGCTCTCGAGAAGCGGACACAGGTCGTTGCATTTCTAACAAATGTCGTGGTTTATCTGCCTGTACAGTTGGCACAATTTTTCTCAGATGAGCAAGCAGATTTTCAAATTGTCTTCCTTTCCAACGATCACATTCATTCGATTGTCGCCAATCGACAGCCGATACTGACCACGCTGCAGTTTCTTCTAATAATACCGGTAAGACTGATTTTTGAAGCATATTGGCTTGTGATAATTGATGTTGACAATGTATGGCTTTCATATATGCTGGAGTGATGCAAGCAAGTAGACATGAAGCTTGTTGAATTGTCTCATCGAATTTTTCAACTAGAGTATCTCCACCTGCCATTTGAAATAGATCCAGCCAGACTCGATATCCTAGCTGTGTCAGGTGTTTGTAAAGCAGAAGAACATCTCGTCGAGAATCCCACTGGTAAGAAAGAACGATCTGTGGATGAAGGACAACCAGTGGTAGATTATCCAATGAGATCTCATCGGTTTTGTGATGTTCATTGGATAGATATTTTAGAAATATAAGGTCGTTTAAACGTGGTACAAACCAATGATGATATTTATCGGTAATCGTGTGACAATCAGGTGCGACATAATAACGAATATGCGCAAGTAATTCGGGGAATGAGTTTTCTGGCCAATCTTCGTTGTTCTTTGAGTTACCAAACTTTATGTAAGTAGAATCATGGAAAACAGACTGACATATTCCTTCACATGGAAGCCAAGACGCTTGTTCGTCGATATGCAAAATAATGAATGGTTTTTTCATATCTAAGAGCATTTTAATCATCTTCGAACAATGTTCCGATTGAATATAGAATCTATCGATACAGCAGATGATTACTTTTGCTCCGCGGATAGTTTTCAACTCAGTATGTTCATCATAAAGTTGACAAAGATAACCAGTGTTCGCTAGATTTTCCTTCAAAGTCGTTGTGAATTGGATGTTACTCGAATGAAACGAAAGATAAATTGGCGGTCGACGTTTTGTATCGATTGAAAGATCATCTGGAATCACCTGTCCTGCTTCTAAAGCAGCTTGGCGAATAATTTGTTCAGCGTCGTGTCGGTCGATGTTAGCGAGTGCTTTTATAAGACTAAACACAGCCTCATCTAGCTCATGAGTTGTAAACCATTCGTGAAAGAGAGCCATACAAGGATCTTTTTTCATCATCCAGTGTTTGATTTCCGTTAGCGAATATCCGAGTTGCTTAGCGAGTGAACGCCAATCTTTATTACTCCGACGATTCAACACTTCGGCTACTTTGGATGCCCATGCGGGAATGTCACTGTAACTAATCGCAAGCTGATTTTCATGCATCTTCACTCTCGTTTGATGAACAATGATTTCTATTTGTTTTAGATCCGCCTGAGCACGTTGAATGTCTGCTTGCTCGGCTTCATGGACGATTGTATCATCCAAATAGTTCAGTAATAGAGCTCCTTCTGGTATCACAAAGTCATCACGTCGATCGATTAACAATCGTTTGTCTTTTAATGCGATCAAGAGACATGTATACACGATTTCTTTTTGCATTTGCTGGGAACATTTTTCATTGGTTAAAATTTCAATAAGATGATCGATTTGTTCATTCGCCTTGCTTTTATCGCTAGTTAGAATAGATATAACTAAATATTTTTGGAAACATTGATAAATGAGCAAACTTGGTGTTCTAATGATAAATTGAAAGAGTTTATCGCGATGAGAGTGAAATAAATAAGGATAATAATTCACTACGGCACTCAATGACTGAATAAATGCACACAGACTACTGTTGAATGGAACTGTTTCGATTACTGTAAATATTTGTTCGATATGTTTCGAAATAATACGTTCCGGGTGATCACGCATCATTAATTGAAATAAACAACTTAAAGACATCAAATGTTGTCCGTAATCGCTCAATAAAAAGTTAACTAATTTATCTATGTGTTGACAGAACAGCTCGGGATGGAGTTGATACAAAGTCTAAACTAAAATATATTCTATCTGTATATTGAATACTTCGCTACTTACTGTTAACAGCCCACAAAAATCCATATCTTTGGTATTGAAAGTGTGCTCCAAGAATTGTTCGATGTGATTTACGGCAACACTTGGTATTTTTACGCCCATGATCAGCCAAAACTGGATCCACCATTGGTATAAACTAGTTTGTTCATCATTTTGAACCATCTGATATACTCGATCAAGATACGGTTCATAAAGACGAGCATCGTTTTCGTTGCAGACAGTCATTGCTACTCGTAGTGTCATAATTGCCATGAGAATATGTCCAAACGATGGATTTTGATCTTCATCATACGATGGATAATCCAAAAGAGATGTAAAAAGAGCTGACAATAATGAATGAACACGTGTCGATAATCTTTGATGCTTTTGGAAAAACATCGCAAGACGACTGGAGATTTCCTAAATGAATTCATAATTGTATAACAAAAGCAATGAGAGAGTAAATTATTTGACGTACTGTAAAAAAACAACTATTATCTCTAGTGAATTCTCCATTTATTGAATGATTAACACGATTTTGTAATGCAGTAATAAGTTTTATACATATTTCTTCATTTATTTGTTCAACATCAATTAAATCAAGAATCCGTTTCCCGGTCCGATAGACATGCGTATCGAAATGCAAATCTGAATTCGACCATCGAAGAATAGTTTCCACAGCAATTGGGTATAAGACTTTACCAATATTTGAATAAACTTGTCCTTTATCAACGATAATCTCGACGATATCTTCTAAACAGTCAAGATTGTTGAAATTTTCTGTATTGTTCAATGCATCATATGAAATGCATCTTTTCAACAATTCAGCAAGACTATCGGCCATTTCTGTCCACGAGTAAAAGTCTTTTAGTCGTAGCAAATCACGTGAGAATCGTGGCGCTTTGATTGTATGTAGTTGTAGAATGGCCATGGCTAAATCAAAGTATAGTCCAGCAAAGATGTTCATTGTATTTGATATTACTAATTCGGACACGAGTTCGCCGAGAATTTTTGTACATAACGAATCGCGATCTGTAACCATCGCGCAAAGAGCTATCATTTTGCGTAGAAGACTTTCGAGATCGATGGTGGACAAATTTGGAGTGATTAATTTCATTGTAAATAAGTGAGCATATTCGTATTGATTGCTGAGAACTAATTGTTCGATTATGTTCAATAGTTGACTAAAATTCGTCTTAATTAGATCAATATTTTCTTTGTAGGTTCGAATCAAATGATTAACGTAATCAGGTGATATGCATTCTATTGGAAGATTTATGTCGGGAGGGTAAATTTCTGGCAAAGACGTCTCGAATATCCGAACAATATCCATCCATATTGAACACTGACCAGATTGTTGTACAGCGTGTCTTAACAAAAGATTCGATTCATGGAATAGTCGCTTTTGACGGGGAAGGACTTACTGATAAAATTGTTGAAAAGCTGTTTTCATATTTGTAAGAATTTGTTGTTTGTTGAGAATATTGTGATCATGTATGGAGCGGGAGAAAAGTATGTGAGACAAAAAGGCTTGCCATCGCTGTTTGTCGTCATCGGATGTGAAAACGAAAGTTTTCTGTTGTAAACTCCTAAGAATTTGTTCAATTAAATCGTTTCTCAATGGATCCGTTATTAGCTGTTCACCAATCTGAAAATTCACATAGATCGTTTGAAGCAGATGTAAACTCCATTCGTCTGTTTTCGATCGGTTGATAACATTGACAAGAATCTTCACTAAAGCTTCACTTTCAATCGAGACATTCTCGTCGATCATGCGTCGAACTACCGTTGTGATCAATATATATTTAGGAATCGATGGTGATGAATCTTCAAGAACATAATCAGCCAAAGCATTTAAAATTAACTTCGAATTGACAGTCATTGGCGTTCCATGGATAAGTTTGAACGTATCCTGCCACTGGTCATTGAACAGATCGTTATCATGAGTTAATTTCTGAATGATCGCATCCATTGGATGTACGTTAATGTTCTGGATGAATAAGACGTATTACTCTCTTAGTAAAAATATGTGTGTGCTGCTGCAAAGAAAAGAAAGGAAAATGGATCTTTTTCTTTCATAACAACGGTTGATAATAACAATGAGTCATTATGTATTCGATAATAAAAACGGCGTTATATAATTAATTTTTGAAAATCAATAAAGACGAAAGTTGTTCTCATTCGTCTAGAGAAGAAGATCATATTTCGATTCGATTTTCTCGAACTCTTTTCTTAACTACTTTCGAGTTCGGACTTTTGTTTGCTTGTTTTCGTGAAGAACTGATCGATTGGTGACATGTTGCTTTGGAACAGAACGAAGAAAATACCTTTTCTTTCTCGCCAAAACATTTAACGATATAAAGAGTATTTTTTTCTTCTAAAACAAACATTCAAGCGAGCTCTGAAATGGTGGATGCATCGTAAGTTTCTTTACTATAATCGATTGTTCAATGTAGATTTCATTAACACTAGAATCGCTCAGGAATCAACCAATCCATATTTTCATGATAAACGTGTTCGGCGGCATTTAATCGAAGCTTGTCAAGTACGAATGCCTCTTGTCGAGAAAAAAACAACAAACCAATCGCTTTGTCTTTTTATTTGGTATAAGTAGATCAATAGACGAGGAAATATTTTGCCGAAAACAACGTATGAAGTTATTCTCGCTGAACGAGTTAAACCAAAACATATAAAAGCGCGACCATTAGTCAATGTGACAAACTAGTACATGATATGGTTTACACAATGTTTTGTTATTGACTTTATTTTTGTATAGTGTAATCGAAGAAGAGAAAAAACATCGATTTACTGTTCATAAGGAATCTAATACAAACATTGGTCGCTCTCGTGGATGGGTAATCAGTTATGGATGAGTTATTTTCTTTTCTTAATTTAAAAAAAGTATTTCATAGATGTCAACAAGACCGCAAAAGCAGCACGTTATGGTCAAGATTTCTACTCACAACGATGGGAATAGAAGAAGTGAAAGCGTTCGACCGTTAACAGCAGTTAGTATCAAAACGATAAAGATTTATTTTGTGTGTACGGTGCTGTTCGATTTTTTATTTTGAAGCGAAGTCCGAAACGTTCAGTCGGACGAATGAAATCAGCCCATCGATCACCAACAAATGTAAAAACTGGATTAGTTCAACGCTCGATCTCTGCAAAAGTGAGAAAAAAAAGTTTTTGATAGTCAAAGCCATAATAGCGCACGAGTTAGATTTCAAATGATCAATACTGTCGAGTAACAATGATCTACTATGGTTCACAACTAAACCATGATCGGCATCGATCGAGTGGAGATGAGATCGTTATCATGCAGCAGTATTCAGACGAGGAGAATCTTCTTGTGTTCAAAGGTTTTGTCGTACCCAATGGTAATTGATAGAGTTTTTTTTCCTACAATATCAAAGTACATCTGAATCAATTTAGAAATCTTTACCTTCGAGTCGTGTCGTCATCCAGGCTATCCATTTGTGTTGAGCTTGTACATCAATAGTTATATTGATAGTCGGATATCTGTTTGTTGTGAAAATAAATATAAAGATAATGTTCGATTGTGTGGCAGTCGCGGTTCATTCGGAATCTACAGTGTACAAAAAGCCAAGCCGTGCTCACGGTATACTACTTTGGGAATATTATTCGTGCATCTTCTCTTTATAGTTGTATATTTGAGGAATATAAGAAGAAAGTAATATCACCGTCAACCAATACTACTACTCGTTCTCGTACGAGATCAGCTCGTAAATCATTGAGTCCTGCATCGAAAGGTAATGGAAGATGTTTGTCGAATTCTGTAGGCAAAGAAGAAATATCGAAATCCCGACGTAATTATGCTTCTAAAAAGGTAATTGAAAAAGAGTTGATCTTTGGAAAGAAGAAAAACATTGAATTTAGACTACACGAAGATCGAAAACACTTGGTCGTAAATCGTCGTCATCGCCAAAGCGAAAGAAGTCCAATAAGTTGACGAGTAATTCTATGATAACGCTTGAAACTAAACTTAACTCGTACACCGTCGATGGACAATTACATAATCGTTAGTAAACTATATTTTAACACAGATTTATGACGCGATACTTCTTTTATTACAGCAAGAAAAATTAGCTACGAAAACTCATTAAATTCTCGAGAAGAATCTCGTCCATCAACACCAATGATTCCGAATGGATACGGATATTACCGTTGCTCATCACAGTCACTATCTTCTTCGGCATATGACAACAATCAGCAACTAACCATTCAAAGTCGACCGTTCATTTCTCCACTTGATCTCTCAGACAATGATGAGCGTCATTCAATAAACGAGGGTTCCTTCCAGAATGCTCGACACCGAAATGCAAGTGGACAATCAACGGCAACGTCACCGTCGAATACTTCAAACTCTACATCGATTCCGAATTTCAGTTATGAGAATGACAGTATTACTGCAAAACAATACAGTCTATCACCTTCATCATCACTGTCCTTATCGCACGAAGGACAGAACTCAGACTCATCAGATACCATCGGTCGCGAAGATAACAACCGGCAAAATGTACGTTCGATGTCAATTTCATCAACACAATCGAATGTTGATATGATTTGCAAAGAACTTCAACATCATAAATTATCAACTTCCATGACTCACGATAAACACATCGGTCTGAAAACACTGAAATAAAGCAGCACAACAAGGAGCATTGAGTTAAAATATTCAAAAGCATACAACTACGAAAAAGATTAACTAGTCACGCTATATACAAGATGAGTATTTTTAGATCATTCATTTGAGATTGATATGAGAAAAACAAAACCTTTACTTTCATCACAAAAACACACTTGAAACATTTCTTTCTCCCTATACTGAGTAAACATTCGTCATGGCAGGCTTATGCAACACTGACATGTGTACAGGAAGAAAAAAAATGAAATCAAGCATGTCGGTACGTAAAAATTGATACCTAATTCGAAAACATGTTACTTGAATAATTATATTAAACAAAATTAAAATTTCGTTGAATAGATTTTTTTAGAAATCATCGCATTCGATTTCTTCGAATACTATTATGCTCTAAAATAAGTTTAAACACCAACATATCCTAAGTTTTCCCCTACACATGATTAACGAGAAAAAAAAAGAGAAAATATTTGTGTGGGATGATAAATACGTGCTAGAAGGTAAAGGTACCCGTTTTGAAAAGGAAAAACAAGTATTCAATCGAAAGTTTCCTTTAAACATAAACGCACACTTTCTACTTGCAAGATTAATCATAGTAGTTTCCTTGGCGTCACAGCTTGTCAGCATATATGTCTCCTACGAACGAGTATGAATATGAAGATGAAGCAACAATCGATGCGAAACTTATTTGTTCAATATGTTTAAGTCCATTTATCAAACCAACAATAACCATATGTAACCATATTTTTTGCCGAAACTGTATTGAGATATGGTTCAAGAAAAGTTTAACATGCCCGTTATGTCGTGAAGTATTAACAACTAAACATATCAAATCTGTTCGTGCGCAAGCGTTTCTCGATAAACTTGATGATATAGAAGTGAAATGTCTTATATGTGAACAAAACGGAATCAAACGACGAGATTTTCAATATCACCGAGAGAAATTCTGTTTAAAAGAAAAGCATACACATTCACTCGACGAAGCAATACATCAATGGGAAAATTTACAGTCGGATCATCAAAGTCGTATACCATTTAAGTCGTTTTATTCGCGTCGACGACGACTTGCGAATGTTATCAGTCAATATCCTCTGGAATCTACAGTAACTCTGCGTAATTATCAACTCACCGATGCTGATATGTCCGCTGTTGTTCACTACGCAGTAAAAAAGCGACAATGTCGAATACTTGACTTGGGAGTGAATCAAATTGGTTCCTACGGTATTATTGATCTTGCCGATAGTTTAGAGAGAAATCAACGGTTGAAATTGCTTTCTCTTTATCAGAATTCGATCTGTGACAAAAGTATGAAACATCTCGCACATAAACTGGCAACGAAACATTCGTATTTGAAATGGTTGGATTTAGAATCAACTAATTTAAATGATCATTCGGCAGAATATTTAGCTAATATGCTTGCGAAGAATACATCCATCACTGGCTTATGGTTATCGAATAATCATATCGGTTATGATGGTGTGCTGAAGTTAACTTCGGTATTGATGTCGTCGAATAAAACGTTGAAATATTTGGATTTAGAAAACAATCCATCGATTGATGACTCATGTTTGGAATGTTTAGAAAACATGTTGAGACAGAATCGAACGTTGAAAACAGTTTATTTAAATCGATGTCAATTGTCCACGACAAGTAAAAAAAGACTGCGGGACGTAGCGAACTCCTTACCAAACTTTCGTCTATTTCTATAACGAAGTATAAACATTGGTAGAATTGTATTTTTTTTTGTTAAACAATAAAATAAGTAATGCGCAATTTCAACTCAATGTAAGCTACCTGCAAATTTGTACGATTAGGTCATACTTTGCCATTGCGGCGAAGCTTTCATAACTTATTGTGTTTATGAGAGATGGTCCGTACTGCTCTAATTTGAAATCCATTTTAGTTCTTGCGGTGTACTATGCATTATTCAGATAAACCGTGATGCTCTGACGCATAAGGAGTAAGATGACGTTAAACTTTGCACCATTTTATCTTTGCATTACTTTTAATTACCGGTGAAAATATCGAAGTCATAAGATGGATCTATCGTGCACGAACGAGAAAATATTGTCGGGTGTATCACAAAAGCTGACTAGCTATGTGAAATATAAAGTCGGTCGCTCTCCATGATACGCATGTACATCATTGTAGTTCAAAACAATCTTCAGTACATATGTTGAAATCTCGCTTGTTCAAAGTATAATACATGTCAACAGAACGAACATACTTCAGTGTGATTTGCATGGTTTTTGTGCATCTTAGCAAATCTTGTGGTGATGCGAAGGAAAGTTCAAGTACTCTTATCTCATATGTGATAGAAAACGGTAATTACTAGTGGTGATCCGGAAAATCGAAAGTTTTTCTCTTGCTTCATCCTTCATCAAGCAGTACAGCAGTATTATAAGTGACTCACGTATTCATTGTTATATAAAATTACAGTCGTATTATGTGAATAGGTGAGGACGGTCTCAGATCGGTAAGGAGTTGGTTCATTCGCAATCGTATATCACGTAAGAGGAACTACTTTTATGCACAGATAGGAAAACTGTTATATAAACGCCATTGAACCATTTTCTTTGCTTTTAATGCATCTTCAGTCAACTGCATGCTTAATTATAAATCCTTGAGCTAATTTCTAGACGAAAGATTGTGTTTCCAGCGATTTTATTAATCGATGCATTAAAGAATATAAACGTATAAAAGAAATAACAACAAATTGAACTTTGTCATGAATATTACAAGCGATATGTGCGAAGTGGCACAGTGAATCTTCAATGCAACGCACTTACAACATGCAAGCATGTTTTGCAGACTTTTTATAAGGTGATGAAAGAGTCCTGAAATAATTTTCTATAATTATACTTTCTCACACATGGTTCGAAAAATTTCATTCTCACGTTAAAGCAGCTGAAAATATAGCTGTTTGTTCTAGATATTTCTGCTTGTGGGCTACAGACGAATCTGATTTTCTAATTAGTTTCATTAATAAATCATCACGAACCTTCAACGATATAGAACCGAATCAAAGGACGGTGACGTTAGAACACAAGGAATTACGAGAATTCACTTTCAAATATAGAACGTCCCTTTGACACTAATAAGAATGAAAGCGTAGGTGTAAATGTCTTTGTACACTCTTGAAATTGAACGAAAAAAGAATTGTGGGCTATCAGACAAAGTTTGATCGATATTTCTCTGATATCGAATGATAGAAGCTCAGCTGTGTTAGTACGATATAGATTAAATCAAGCGTTTGACTGTAATTAATGTACATCCTGTTTAATTTCATGATAAAGTTAAAAATGGAAAATCTAGCTCGAGCCCTGACAAAACTGCTCTTCTGTGATGTTTACATACAGCGAGTTTAAATAGTGTCGATTAGAAGTTAAGTCGATATTGCTGCTACCCAATAGAGCATTGCAAAAGTTTTCGACGAAATCATTTTCCATCTGCTCGTCCAGAATATTTGACAATTGAAAACAAAGAGAATACTGTCACGCGCACTGTCCCATCATATCCGTAGATATCACCTGATGCTTCCCATGGCCTACCAGCATACTTGAAAGATAAACACGCGACCCTATTGGCGTGGGTGAATGTTTTCAAATTAAAGCGAAGAAAAACAATGTCGTCATCAAGATCATATTTCATTTCCTTCTCGCGTAATGTGAAAAACAGTATTAGTTAAAACAGATAGAGACTCAATGTAATACCTATAACATCGAGGAGTTCTAAGTTAGGTCTGCACTCGAAGAACAACGAGCGGGTTAGTCAGACATTGCTCAAGAATAGGATGAATGTTGGATACCGACGACTCTTTTGTCCTTTTTTTAGTTTCCCGTTCATCCGGAAGTCTATTAATTGCATCAGAGATCTTCTCAGGATAGTATCTGACAAAGCGAGAAGGCTGGGTAGAAATAAATTAATAAATAGCAAATATCTTCTTGTTAGAATAAGCTTAGAGTATTTTCCAGTTCTTCTTGAGTTTTTTTTTCATTATTGTGATCACAATTATACAGTTTGATTCACAAAAATTTGTTTTTGCGCATAAAACGAGTCAAACTATATTTCTTTCAGAAAGAATCCTTGTTATCTTTTTATCATAAGTAGATTTCATTAGATATTAAAGCTATATACAATTTGCCAACAACATTTTAATTATTATATCGTAGCCTATCTAGCTGTTCGTCCTGACATCTCGAGTAAATCTTGGTATGAATTTAACGGTGTATCTAGACTATGTTCAAGAGCAAATGAATCGGTATCTGGCACCAGCCATCTTTATCTTCGGTGTTATTGGTAACACTCTCAATTGTATTGTTCTCGGACAACCGACACTCCGATCCAATCCATGCGCTCTTCTCTTTCTCGTCTCGTCTTTTGTCGATCTCATTTCTATTCTCGTTGGCCTTCCAACACGTATCCTAGCCGGTTGGAATCTCGATCCAACAGCCACTATCACATGGATATGTCGATTTCGAGCATTCGTAGTCTTCACTACAAGAACAATCGCAGCGTGGCTTATCATGTTTGCCACCGTCGATCGTTGGCTGCTCTCTTCTGTCGACATTCACCGACGACAACTCAGTTCGATTAAAAACATCAGAACACAGATCTTGGTCACTTTTGTTCTTTCTATCGCAGTCTATGCACATATGCTCTACTGCTATGAAGCGAATCTCAACGATCAACCACTGCAATGCTATGGTAAATCAGAGCAATGTCGATTCGCAACTGATATGATATATGCTTTGGTAACGATCGTCATTCCATTGATCGGAATGATGACATTCGGATTGATGACGATTGTCAACGTTCGACGTGCTCAGAGACGCGCTCACCCAGATCTTAGAGCTACTAGTGATGTAAATCATCATTCGCGGCGTGTGAATAATCAGCTACTGCGAATGTTATTTGTCCAAGTGTTATTTCTGATAGTTTTGTGTGTTCCGCAAGCGATTCAGAAGTTCTATTCGACTGTGAGACCGTTTGGGGCAGGATCTACAGACGAGGATGCAGTGAAAACGCTTCTATATAATATCGAACTGTTGTTAGCGTTTATCGCAAGTGGAATGCCATTTTACATATACACATTATTCGGTGAAACTATATTTCGCAAAGAATTTATCCACGTGATTGAAAAGATTCGAAAAAAAAGAATGGGAATGGTTCGCACAATTGATAGAACACACTGCCGAACATAGGTCGATACTAAAAGACAGTGCAATAGAGTAAAACGAATAAAGCATCACATTATGGAAGCTGAACACTATAAATCGACACATTATCAATAAGTAGATAGTTATATTCGCAGACAGTTCATAAAATGATTGTTGTGCTGTGCTGCCATTGTTCTAAATATTGTAGTAATTTTTTATGTGTTTCATTATCTTGCGAATGTAGTAAATATGTGTTCTTAGCTATTGAATGGTTAGATAGCATAGCGAGCTTGGCTTTGTGAAATAGTTATATCTAGCCACGCTGTTGTTCTTCCCGTATTCATTAATAATAATAATAAATATAAAATGAGCGAATAGACCGGCATACTATTGCGCGCACAATCTTTCAGTTTTTTCTACATGGTTGGTATTGAAATGTATTTTCATTATTCCACAAGTAAAAGAAAGACAGTGTGGTGCACAAAATCAATCACTTTGAAACAGTAACGAGCAATAGTTTTAATGTGTACTAAGGCCGCCATTGAAACAAAACGGATTGAGTAACCTGAGCGAAAAAGTAGAAGAAAACCTCATGTATAAATAGAATATTCTAATCAAATTGAGAGCACTTTTGCATGACTATAATCGTTGAATAATTGATGATCTTTGTTCAAGAACTACCAAATGAAATGTCTAACCGATTGAAGGTTTTAAACGCTTTCTAATTATTCCTCCGCTTCCTAGACAAGTCAAGCAGTTTGACTCAGTGTCTCGAACAATTCTTTCACATATTCTATAAAAATGAACATGGTCGGATATTTATTATCCGAAATCAATACAAATATGAGATCAAAGCGCACATACAGTGACACAAGAAGAAAAGATAACTTAATGAAGTATTGACAACTGATTACGGTGACTTAATATATACATATTTTCCTCGGCAAAATTTCCCTCGGGATGATTTTCAGATTAATCAGCAAGAATTAAAAATCATGATTTTACCGTTGACATTGATTAAATTAAGCAATCATCGCACAACTGCATTTAGCAAGAGACAATTTCATAAATATTTTCAGACAAAGAATGCTCTCATTCAATATTCAACAATTGTTCACAGTAACATATGGTTTTAATCATCGATCTGTACTCTTTGATCAGCTTGATTATAGATAAATTTCTTCTTCCGTCCTGACATTACTTTTTATGCATGACCAAGGCACAAACTATCTTCTTTCTATAGTACGAGACGTGGCGTATTCTCAAAAGCAGACAGCCACTTACGCAAATTCTCTTAAATTAAAACAAAATGAAGAATAGAATTTGAATCTGAGTCTCATCACAATCTCAAACAGAAGCTCATGGTATTATTCAATCAGTTCTTTACTCGTTCGAAAATACACGCAGGCGCAGACAATGATTTATTCATATGTTATGACATTCCCACAGGAGACGAAGAACGTCGGTAGTTGTGTTATCATAGCATGTGGTCTTTTAGATCTAGACATTTTTATATAAGCCAGATTACTTCAAATCGTTGATATAATAACGATGAACCTCATATCGAGAATGTGATCAGATTGATTTCGAATAGATTAATGGCTGATAATGAGGAATACATTGAAAGATTAAATTCTATCTCCATACAAATTAATCGTTATTTTGCAGTACTCATATTCGTCTTTGGTAGTGTAGGAAATATTCTTAATTGTTTAGTTTTATCTCAACAATCATTACGTTCCAATCCATGTGCTGTACTTTTTCTTGTTTCTTCATTTATTGATCTGATTTCTATTCTTGTTGGTTTAACACCACGAATCTTAGCTGGTTGGAATCTCGATCCGACTGCAACTATCGACTGGATGTGCAAACTTCGAACCTTTATCACCTTTAGTACACGGACGATGGCGATATGGTTAATTACACTGGCTACACTTGATCGATGGTTGTTGTCTTCGCCTAATCACCGTCGACGAAAATTAAGTTCATTGAAAAATGTCAAACTTGGCATGCATATTTGCATAATTCTATCGATTCTCTTCTATGTTCATATGTTTAATTGTTATGAAGCAAATCTTATTGATCAGCCGTTGAAATGCTATGGGAAAACAATCGCGTGTCGTCTGGCCACGGACATAATTTATGTCATAATGACGATATTTCTTCCGTCAACTCTAATGGTATTCTTTGGAATATTGATTGTTTCAAATGTTCGATATCTTCGTATGCGAACGCACAAAGTTTCATTGAGATCTCGACATTCAAGAACAGGCCAGTTCAAATTAAAGAGAACTGATCATCATCTGCTTCGAATGTTGCTTGTACAAGTTCTTCTTTTAATTATATTTTGTATTCCACAAGCCATACAGAAGTTTTATATTACTTTTAAGCGATTCCTTGTTGTTGATGAACGTGCGGAGGCTTTAAATCGATTTTTATACAATATTGAAGTTTTATTAGCATTCATTGCTAGTGGAATGCCGTTTTATTTGTATACACTCAGCGGTGGAACTGTTTTTCGGGAAGCATCGAAGAATTTGTTCAAGAAGCTTTATAGAAAATTCAAATGTTGTTCATGATTTCTTTCTTTTCATTTATATATTGTCAAATTTTGAATAAAACTCCATAAAATTCACCATAATGAAAGATCTAGTGAGTAGACAAATGCACAATATACTTAACGTATCCATAATCGAATGTCCTTATGTGCTTCACTGGTGCGAGAAATTGAGCATACGTCTGGTAAGTGTTCTCGTAACCATTCAACCAAATTTCCGTCGCCGTTTTCTAATGAACTTGTGTCAATACATTTCACGACTAACGCACGAAGTTTACTCATGTTGTTAACAAGTTTAACAATATCAGTGCGATGTTCGACTCTTATACAAAGAACTTCGCATTGCTGACCAATCGAAGAAGACGCTAGTTTGTCGCATTTGTCTGCATTGTAAACGATATTCGAACCTAGTAAATAGAGTTGTCGAATCTTTGGATGAACAATTTTGAAAAGGAAATCGTGTTGATTAAACCATGTTGATAATTTCAATGAGCGAAGTTGAGATGATCGTTGGCACAAGATGTGTAAATTTGCGTGTACCTTATCCATATTCATACAATCATATGGATCAACTTTCAACGAATCTAATCGATCTAATGATGATACTAAGGAATCAAACGACTGATCATACGGTATGGTAATGTCCAGATGGCGAATATTTTCTAAGCGAAAGTCCGGTAGAGGTAGATTTTCATATAAATTGCGTCCATAGTACAGATTTTCGATAGAATGAAAGGTTCTATGATGAACATATTCGGGTGGAGCTGTAGATTTCATTCGAACATTCCCTGAAAAGAAAAAACTCTCAAATGCATATGGTAATGTGTAAATGAGCATAGTTCTTGAAAAGTCATTCGGAATCCAATGGCATTGGACGAACCATTGATATTTGTCAATCCAGAATTCGCTTCGGAATGAATTTAAGGCTCGATCGATTTCCTCGTGTTTGCTCTTTTCACGAGAAACCATAAATGCTGTTTTGAATTGGAATCGAACCAGCTTTTTAAGACGGTTTTCAATGAGTTTCTCCCATTGACATCCATCGATGAAAAATGGATGAAAATCAACTTTGAATTCTTCTAAATTAGGCATTGCTGGTAAGAACTTCATGAGATTGTCAGCATATCCATAGAAAATTAGATTTAATTTTCTCATCGATTCGAATTCGATGGACGAAATTTGTAAATCAGTTGGTTGATCAACGATCGATATGGTTAGAGAAGAAAGGTTTGGAAGCTGCTTGATCAAATGGATCAATTGGTTTATATCACAGTTTAACTTTGGAAAAGATAAACAGCTCAGCGACGAAGAAATTATCGACAAGACTTCGTAAGAATTTTCATTATCGTAGAACACGTCGAGATAGCAAGACGTCACTTTGGGGAGATGTTCAATAGTTTTGATCATGTCGATATCGTACTTTGCGTTGTATGTGACATCATATCGGGTTATTTTCAGATGGTTCAATTCGGGAAGTTTGACTAGTTGTTCTAAGATAGTTTTTAGATAATCAAATGAATTGAATCGATGAATCGATAAAAATTTCAAATAGGAAAACTGATGCAATGATAATCCATGTGAGAAAAACAGATGAACTTCTTGCGGTGTATCGTCATCATCCGAGAAACGAAGAGAATGAACGTGATCTGCTATTGATGAAAGATATCGTTGAGAGATGAAATCAAAGTCTGATTTTGATATTGATTGAAAGTTTATTGTATGCGTGCGAACGTAGATATGAATAAGATCAGTGAAACGATTGTTCAATCGATAAAAGCTTCGCAGAAGATCAGCGAGTGAGAAATACTCGACGAATTCCAGCAATAATTCATTGGGTAGTGATTCGAATATCATCGTTTAGTACGTAAACATGTTTTTGTTAATACCATGTGGAAAGGAAAAGGAATTCTGCTTTGTATTTGTAGAGAGGAAGAAAAAGAACTTATTTTTGTTTTCCTGCTCTTTTACAGAACAGAAAAACAGCATCAAGGTCATATTTTTCTTTGATAAGAAACAACTAGACTGAAAAGAAAACTTTGTACAGATCGATTTCTTTCAGTCAATAGATTCCCATTACTTTCAATTACATATTTCATCTGTTCATGTTCGCAGCATGTATGATGATGGAGATGCTAAATATAATATTGACAAAAAACAACAATCGGAAAGGAGTTTTTCAAATCCTTTCCACGGTTCATTTCAATAGTATCACTTGTTCAGAAGAATGCCGTTCTGCTTCAGTCCAATTCGACGATGGGCAAGTGTTGTCAAACAATTTCTTCTCAGTGGCGAACTTATCGATTTATCTATTGCGATTGTTATTGGAGATACATTTATTAAATTGGTAGAAACATTCGTCGATTGTCTTCTCACACCTATTTTAGGTTTTCTTTTCGATGGAGTTCCTATTGCTGAACTGTCAACAAAATTACAGTCAGACCGTTGGCCAGAAAAAGCTCCGGTTGTTCTTGCTTACGGGCGAGTTCTGCAACAGCTGATTTTCTTTGCTATCATCGCAATAATGTTGACATTCATCATAACAATTATTCATAGTCTTGTGAAAAAACAACAACAAAATCAAATTGATCCAGAACAACCACCAACCAAACAAGAATTAATCCTTATGGAACACACAAAACTACTGCAAGCTATAGCACATTCAACGAAAAAATAAATGGCTGCTTTCTGGCCGTTGACATATTTTCACTGATATGTTCGCTTTCTAGTTGTTGTCTTTGTGATTGCGTATGCAATATCGAAAGAAAAGTAGAAATTCTTTTGAATCATCTGTATGCTTTCGTTTTGTATAGAAATAAAGAAGAAAATATCCTCTCGGTTTGCTTATTCACATAAATGAATCGAGAGGTGAGTAAGTATAAATAAATACTTGAAGTGCTAAATATGCAGCATCAAAATCGAGTAAGGAGAAATTTTCCGTGTTACGCAAGAGCTAATCGTGTGTGGACATACACGCGTGTAGTGTTATTGATATTGTTTATGGGACGAAAGGAGAGAATGAATAAACAAGATAAAAATGATACGTCGTAACGACTGTCGTATACAATAGGTATCATAGTCATGCGCGTCGGTCAGGATGGGATTGCAAGCTTTGTTGAAAGAAATCGTAGGAGGAGAGTAATATGGGAAATATTTCAAAACAACGTCGTATATGTAACTTTAGACGTCTTTCTAAAGAGCAAATACTTTCAGTACTGTTCTCATGTTCGAGAGCGTTATCTATTCAATTCATACGACGAAATGACTGTCCTTTTTATTGATGTATTTGATCAAAGGCACAGAGCGATGAAAAAAAAAATGTCATCAGTAACCGTACCTGGATACAGATATTGACATAAATGTATTCAATATAATAGTTTAACAAGATTTTATCCTGTCTGCATGTGAAATTGTGTATTTGATAATATTTGTTTTTTCTTTGCAACAACGTTGTTCGTCACACATCGACAACGTTGCTCTTTTTTTGCTCGTTCGACGAAAATATATTGAGGTGCACAACGTCGTCATTAAGATAGTGTAAGTGGCTTCTTTAGCAAATAGATACATAAAAAGCAACAACATCAAAACATGATACCGGCTTGGATAAAATACTTTTTGGTTAGAATACGATCTAAAAAGTCCGCACGTGAATCCAATCAGCGTTCATCTACGAATCAATCAACAGGATTTCGAATTGAATATGGTCAAATTTATGGATATGAATACGTTTTACAAATCAATGATAATAAACAGAATGATTCATCTGTTCATAGATCGATAAATGCAAAACAGAATTCCAAACGTACGAAACCAAATTTCAATCGTTCTAACGGAGGACGCAACACTTATACCAAAGCAGATGCAATTTATGTAAGTGGATACACTGGTGTAGGTGATGGCAGCCACGATGCAGCGGATTTGCTCTGTAGCGGTGGCGATGATGGCGGCGGGTATGGTGGGGCCGGAGATTGTGGAGGGGATGGAGGAGACGATTGAATCAAATTCATTTTTTCATTCATTTTTCGCTTCAACTATGGTTGCTCTTCGAGAAAACGTTTCTTTAAGTGTAAATACAACATATGTTTGTTTCGCTCGTCCACTTTCAATATTTAAAGTTCTATTTTCGAGAAAGTCTTGTTCTACATAAAATAAACAAAGTGTAACATGTCTCTTCTAAAGCATAAATCGATAATGTCATTTGCTTTCAAGCATTCTTTCTTAGCGATATGTCATTGCGTGTGTTCGAAGATTGCAAGATGAATCACATTGATGGACAGTAACATCAGCTGACTGGAGCAAACAAAAAATATCTTCGTATGTTTGTATATGCAGGCATACATCAGTTGTTCGAACATTTCTGCGATGAAGATGCATTCGAATCTAATTAGCGGATATTATTTAGCTAAGCAAGACTTTTTCTTCATTTCCTTGATCTTATTTTCATTAATAAACTCAATAAAAATGGAAAATATATCAATAACCGATCTTGATGTTATTCAATTAAATGTCGGCGGAGAATTAATAATGACTAGACGATCTACGCTTACAAAGATTACAAATTCGACGCTAGCAATTATGTTCAATGGTCGATGGGAAAATGAATTAAGTCGCGATAACAATGGAAATATTTTTCTTGATTTTAACCCGATATTATTTCAACATTTACTCGAACAATTAAGATTAGTTCACAACGATAAGTCAGTTGTATTTTATTCACCTCCCTCATCTTCCCTGAAAATTCCCTTTGAAAAAATGCTTCGAAAATTAGGATTACATGCAATGAAGAAATCCAAAGAGGATATTATTGAATTGAATGTTAGTGGAGAGATCTTAACAACACGGCAGAAAATCTACACACAATTATCGAATTACACAACAGATCTGTTCGTCGATTCGAATCCGCAAATCTTTCGTCGATTAGTAAATCAATTACGAGAAGAGCATATGAATGAAACGAGCGAAGAAATCGAATTAGAAGATAACTATAATGATGGAATTTGTGCAAATGCAAGTTGGAACATCAACGGTATAACAGTTGCCGGTGGAAATGGTCAAGGCTCAGGATTACATCAACTAGATCATCCAATGGGATTGTTTGTTGATAAAAATGGTTTTATTTATGTGGCTGACACACATAACCATCGTATAGTTCGCTGGGCAGTCGGTGCTAAACGTGGTGAAATCCTTGTTGAGTCCCATGATGAAACAAATGTTAAAAATTACGTTTCAAGTGTTGTAGTTGATAGGAACAACACAATTTATGTATGCAATCGAGACGAAAACCGTATCGAACGATGGATCAAGAATGCTGAACGAGGAGAAACAATTCTTTCCAATATATCGTGTTGGGGTTTAGCTCTAGATCACAATGATAGATTATACATATCCGGTCATGAAGACAATCGGATTTTAACATGGCCAAGCTTGCAAGTATTGGCTGGTGGCAATGGCGAAGGTGATGAGGACAATCAATTATCAAGTCCGTATCAGATCTTTGTCGACAATAAACAATCGATTTATATAGCGGATTATTTCAATCATCGAATTATGAAATGGTTCAAGAATTCCAAAGAAGGGCTAGTTGTTGCTGGTGGAAGTGGTTATGGTGATGGTTTAGATCAATTGAAATTACCTCATTCCATCGTTGTGGATCAAATGGGCACGATGTATATTGTTGATTTTGGTAATGATCGCATTCTACGTTGGTTTAAACACTCGAAGATCGGTGTCGTTATCATTGGACATCATGGATCAGGAAACAAACCAACTCAATTATCTGATCCATATGATATTGCATTCGATAGACAAGGAAATCTATACGTGGCAGATACATCCAATCATCGCATACAAAAGTTTAGTATTGATAAAAGTTTATGCGTATGATAAGTGAGTTTGGAATTTTCTATTCAATTTAGCAATGATATGGTTAAGAATATGAAAGATTCTAAATGAGTTTATTGATCGTTGTTCGTTTTTTTTTCTTATTTTGTATGAGTTGATTCATTTATATCGTCCTGAGGTATCAGTGATGCTGAAGACGACACTCGTATTGGAGATTTCTTCACTTGAAATAAAGGCGAAGGCGGTTCATCTAGAAGTGCTTCTCTCTCGTCCATATTTTCATGTCTATTAGGCACTGGCGCTCTAAAGTTAAAAGAAAACGTCACGCATTCTTTTCTGAATTGAATTGACTCACGTGCGTAGAGTAATCATGCAAATCAGTGCTAACACATTGAAAACACAACACAGTATGTATACGGTAGATAGTGGAAAATGCTACAATGGAATGACGTATCAGTACACAAGAATATCTATTTTCAGGCTCTGAGTTGAACAACTTACACCCAACAAAACGATAATGGTGCAAATAAGTTGTGGTACACGCATGTAACTCATGATCGTTGTACGGGCTAATAAAAAGATAAAAATTAACGTGAATAACATCTAAAACTTATTCATACTTTCATTTGGAATATATACACTTCTTAGTATCGCCATCGATGGACGATAAAGGCCGATACAGAATTCGTATATTGCAAAAGCGCTTAGTATGATAATGAATGACTATAATCATCAAATGCATACCAATCGAGTTTATGAGAATCATGAATAAGCTCACTTTTGGAACAAGTACTGGTATCAAAACTACAATCGATGTCAGCACACTAATTATTCTATGTAAAAATACGAATAACAGGAAGAGGGAGTGTCGCAGTGTAAAAAAGCAGCAAATATTTACATCATGTATGATTGAACCTGAATTCGTTTAGCAAGTGGATAAAATACCAACGAACCAATCATGTCAAAAGCCTAGTTTTGATATAAAAATAGAAATAACTGATTTCTCAACTCTTACCATAAAAATAGCAAATATATAACCATATGGTAAATCTTTAGCACCAATAGAACCATTCGCATGATTCAGTGTTGGAGTCCATTCTGTGATGAATATATGTATTGACGCTTCGTTCAGTGCCGAACAAATTCCAACAACAACAATACGATAATCTGTTGTAGAATAGCAGAAGTTAGAAGATTCATTAGGTGAAATTCACAAACCAGCTCGAATGGCTTCAGAAGCCGAAGTAAAAGTTGTTGTAGGTTGCACTTTCTTATTTCCATAATTTTCCGGCCAAAAATTCCATACAAAGATTATCATCGCGACAAAAAAAACAATGCTCAAGTTGAATGGAGCCCTACACAAAGGTAAAAATAAATCATTTCCTCGAATACATTTATTGATTCGCCCACCTATAGCTACTAATTTCAACCAAAAGCTGAGCTGAAATACCCATAAAAATTGAAACAATCCCAGTGCCAACATCTATATTTCACAAAGAACAAAGAAATATATGAATTTTATTGGAAAATGGGTAACATACATGCATGTTGAAAAATTTGCGCTAAGATTTGATCACCAAGCAGGCGCTATGCCAAAAATAGGAAATAGAGTAGAATTTTTATTCAGCAACCTTACATTTCGATGTTCTTGAATCAGCCAAGCCTCAAATGCAGTAGCATGAAAAGCATGAGCTACACCCCATGCTAGATTCGCGATCAGGGCAACCCACACGATAGGAATATTCTAAATAGAAGAAGAATTTTGCAATTCAATGACGCCTTTTATTATAGTTACCAGTAAAACACTCATTATAATAAAGAATACAGCACAAAGTATGCATGCTAGACGACGCCCACTAAATATGCACAAATGACTGTGTCAGTACAGGAATTTAGTAAGAAAATAACTTACTATACGTCAGCAAGTGAAGCAGCTACAGTACCAAACAACAATGATGATGCATATCCGAGAACATACATCACTTCAATTATGGAACGACTCATGCCGTAACTTTTCAAAAGAGCATATCGATAAGAACCGTAGAGATTATCACCAGCTATTTATTTTTGCAAATAAACCGTTGGCAATACAATTAAAAAAGAAATTGAATGAAATATAGATATAATTACCGGCTGCAAATAGATAGCCAACTAAATAGACCCAGTTCAATTGAGATAAGAATGAAAGAGATGATGCTGGCATAGCTCTTTCTTCGTTATTACTGCTGTCTGTCATCGCTGTGAATTTCATAGTACGATCATATAAATAAAATATTCACATGTGCGTACGTCATGCTTGAATGATATGTATTTTGTCTTCGCTATATCATTGGTATTCAATTACGATGCTGAATCATCGTCTAAATATGCGTCACCTGTAACACACAAAAGCGTATGGGATAGAAGCAATTAGTGTTGTACGGGTAAATCTGTTTTGTATTCAGTATCCACTGTAGCAGACCAAATTCATTTTGTATCATTCGAAATTATTGATCACTTCCAATATCGGTAGAGATTGTACTCGATATATTTCAAAGCTGCACGTATATGTGTCTTATTTACACAGTTACTATCAGTGAGATGGTGCAAGAAAATATGCCATCGATTTATTTATGTGATTTATATCATATAAAACTTGACAAATAATATTGGTTGATGTCGAACGCGTCATAGAATCAGTAATTTTCTTTGAGTTTAGCCACCGTCAGTTCTATTAACTGTCATGTGCGTTGTATCTCATACTTGATTCTCGATCATGAAACACATGCTATTTGATTGAATAATATTGATTGCTGCAAGGTTAGTTGGCAAATAAATGCGAACAAAATCAAGACAAAAATGTGGAGAGAAAGCCAAGTCAACGAGTCGTTATCTATTTCAGTGAAGAATTTATCAGGATTCAAAAAAAGTAGTGACAGCGGTGAGATTCGAACTCACGCCCTTTCGGACCGGTGCCTTAAACCGGCGCCTTAGACCGCTCGGCCACGCTGCCTATGTAATCCAATAGCGCTAGTTGTCCAAAACATGAATCGTAGTATGCAATAGTAAGAACAAAACCAATGGTTTCCCTTCAAATCAAATGAATTCCAAATTGGCAGATCATTGAATATGAGTGTGTAGTACAATTATGCTCATACATATTTTATGTGTTTGTGTGTCTAGCAAACTATTTCTCATGTATTCCATCACACTTTTCTCGTTCAATCTGTCTTGTCAATGGTTAGAGAAGCCGATCGACCACTTCAGATGTGTTAATGTTCGATTTCAATTCTCAATAAAAAGTAGTGACAGCGGTGAGATTCGAACTCACGCCCTTTCGGACCGGTGCCTTAAACCGGCGCCTTAGACCGCTCGGCCACGCTGCCTGCTAATCTCATACTGATAATGATCTAAACAGCAGACTTTTTTCACAAAGTATCAGCCAATGAATAAGTCAGTTTCATTGCGAAATGGATAAGTAATCAAAACGACAAAACACCATAAAACAACGTTTTCTTTTGTCTACACTATTTATTCACCAATTAAAGTCGAATTAGACAGACAAAATAGCCAATTTTCATGAGATACTGTGTGATTCTGATAAAGCGCGGTTATCAAAGCTCTGGCAGATATTCTCCTTTGATAGCATGAAATATATTTCGCTTGTTTTTACTTCTCTCTGCTACTATTGCTGTCTGATGCTGCTATATATGTGCGCACAATTCGTTTTCCTAACTCACTCAAATTCTTTATAGATTTACAAACTAACAAAACGATATACGAAGCAAAAACTGACCGCTCTACTGTTCGGAAAACAATTTTTATGCACACTTTAAAGAATAAAAGAAAAATCTTTTCTGGTGAAGCATTCCACTCTGAAGAAATCCTATAAACGAACAACGGCGAAAAAGCAATGACAGCCACATAAAAAAAACAATACTCGTTCAATAAAAATTCTTATTCATGCATTCATATTTACTTCGGGATTAGCAATATTTCGCCTGAAGAACGAGAGCCGTTCTTTCCAATTGTATCAATGTATCTCAAACAAGTTGCTAATATATGTTAAGACACTAGATAATTCCCAATCGATTTGTATTTCCTCCTGTTTATGAAAGATAACATTGTTTATTGGCTTATCACTTTCATTAGAGTCCTGTAATGGTTTTCAATATTATCTCTATAGGGTTATCAAGAAGAAGCTATTTGAAGGTTCCAGAAATCGTTTGTTTTTCTTATCCACAGATATATACGTGCTCATTGAAGCAATATGAATACTTCCAGCCTAATTTTCTTCTTCTCTTCTACGTATGCAGACAAGAAAAGGGCATGTATAAACGCATGGATTTATTAAATAAATAACAGAGCGTGTTTTGCGCTACGGGATCGATATCGATTTCTTACTTTTATCCTTCACAAGATTATATTGTACTTTCGAAGAAAGTGAGTATTACATATGTCACAGATTATGAAATATTATTGTGTTATAACCGGTCGATAAAATACTTTATTCATATGATCAATTTTCATTCAATTGTACCAAAGATGAATCGTACGATGAGATCAAAACAGAAGTCTATCCTAATTTTCATGTTTCATTTTAGTATTTGCATCGATAGATTATACATTTATTTCTTACGCTATGACCTCTTCTCGAACTCCACGATCTGATACCGTGAAGTGCCATGCTTGTGGACATTTATGTGCGTCGCCACCGAATATGGCTCCTAATGAAAGCGCACTTAATGAACAACTCGATTGGTTAACTGTAGATCATGATGATTTGAGGCAAGACATATTAGAACAAAGTTCACGACCAAAATATCATCCGTCAATGTCGATTATCGATCACTGGGAACAAGAATCGATCAAACGTATTCAACGCACAGCATATCTTGCTCGGCAGGCATTAATTCACGCATTAGATGAACACATGTTAAAAATAGAGAAAATTTTACAATCTTTAACACCGAAATTGCGGCATGCACGACAATACATCAAGTTTTACAGTCAAAGTGATATAAAAGAATGGGCGAAAACACTCCAGAAGCTGAAGCAAATACCATCATTGCCTGTCACTATTGATGAAGATAACAAAATATATGGAATAATTGTTAGTCATGAACGATCAAAGCGAATCTCGCCTGCAAAATCGTTGACATTCAGTTTGAACTCAACATCATCGAATTGTACACTGAGCGGACACGAATACCAATCGATAAGGACACTAATTAATGATGATGACGATTCAATGCATACCGTTGAAGATTATTCGTCGAAAAATTCTCGAAATATCACACCAGGTGGTGTTCTTATTATAAGAGACTATGAAGATCATGACCATCAATGCACAACTCCTGTGAATGATGTATCACAAAATGCTTGATTGATTTGAATCGTCTTACACTAGCAATACTTTTCAAATAAACTAATCTTTATCTCAAATCTTGGAAAAAACTCGTAAGATGTATATGAATCACACCAAAAAAAGGCGAATTATCATTATAATGGCAATAACATGCTCTGAGACAGTTCTTCTCGGCTAAAACATGACTCAGTCATAGAATATTCCAATAAGCTGATTTTTGCCTCTCTTCAGAAGATATATTTATGATAATAAAATATACAGCGGTGAATTGTAGTCTATAATTTGTTTTCTTTTTGTGAGTCATATCGAACAGAACAGAGAAAGAACACACACTATGCTGTAAGCGAATGTTATTGCTTAATCTGACGTGGAAAATGATGCAATTATTTTCCTTTATAAACGTTTATCAATAAGGAAAGCATGTGATTCAGTCGAGTCGAGAAAAACAAAGTGTTCGTATAGCGACTTATGTTTGAACACGCTTTTTTGCCATTGCCATTTTAAGAAGTGCACGAGAGGAGGAAAAAAGAAGTGAAAACAATCACAAGTAGAACAAAACAAGGTGAGCGTTACCACGGTTTATTTTTTATAAGATATGATGTAAAAAAATGTTTAGTTCTTGTACGAAGTCTTTCGTATGTGAATGGTTTCGAGCAAAATCTCAACGCTCAAGTCGTACAGTCGAATATGCTCCATCGGCATTTCGACTGTATTTATCGCTTGATTTTAATCTATAGTTTTGTTTGTCGATGAGTCATGTCGCAATGAAAACATCTGAATCATGACAGAGTAAACTTACATAACGTTTCGTTCTCAAATTCAGGCGAGCAGTGCGTCTCAAGTCGAATATTTAAAAGGAAAATATGACTTATCTGCAAATCCTTCTCGGTTGGAAATTACCAAACAGGTAAACAAATGACATTTGTCATTTGATTTATCCATTCTGTATTGGATTGGCCAAAAGTGACATACGTATATATTTACATGTAAAGCGTTTAGTTTTAGATAAAAATATTTTTTTAATGGCTCAGTTTGAAAAAGACTTTCGACGTTTGACTCGTCAAATCAATTCTCTATCGAATGGTCAAGCGCGTGTCAGCTCAGAGAACATATTTGATCGTCCAAGTTCCGCCACGAAAACTTCCATGTCATCCGAATCGTCATCAGATACTGAAGATTCAACTACGAATTTAGGATTCTACGTGGAAATAAGTCCACATGATGGTCCCTATGCGCATGCCTCCTTCGTATTTCATATTGAATTCTCCTCAGAAAGTGACTATCCTGATTGTCAACCAACTGTATCGTGTTTAACGCGTATTTACCATCCAAATATTGATACGACATATGGAAATTATCATAATAATGTTTGTGTATCGACATTAAACGATTGGGACGGGGGAGCTAACTCAACATTTGAAGATCTTCTCCAAGGTTTGATGTTTCTTTTTCATTCGCCGAATCTCGAGGATCCACTAACATCAAATGTGACAACAGACGAAGATGAATTTCAGAAAAACATTCGCATATCTATTGAAGGTGGATTTATCGAAGATTTCGATCAAGACAATGTATTTGAAATGAATTATGGTTACAAGCGTTACTTAATTGAACTACAACAGCAGGAGAAGGAGGAGGAGGAACAGCAGGAACCACAGCCACAAACTGAAGAAAAAGAACAGCTCGATGATTATCTTGTTGAACTTCTAACCCGACAACCGAATTTCAAGCAAATCTTCAATTCTGATACTTTAGAACTTCTAATGAGCGCTCCTTGCGCTACTCCTTCAACAAGGCACAATAAAGAAACAACAATGAGCTCTTAAAAATTGATCGTGAATTTTTGTAATTTATTATTTCGAGTTTTTGAAACAAGTTTATATAAATCAGTATTTATTACGTAACAGTTTTCCAGAATTTTTTAGAAGAAAAAGGTTAGCCTATATCTGATCTTTGACAGCCGTTGTTCGATAGGATTTCAAAAGATCGCGCAGTTGCGTAGCAATCAACGGGAGACTTAAACAGAACAAACATGAGCTCAGTGATGATGACAGCCATTGAACACGATAAATCATACCATCGAATCGATTTTGAAGAACACCTTTGATGTAAAGGACAAAGTATGGTACTGTTACTCCACAGAGAATGAATGAATTCATTAGCATTCGACGTATAACAAGATAATCTCGTTGATTACGTTCACGAAGAGCTCGTGTTGTCGATTGACGAATTTCTCTTCCAATCCATACGTTAAAAGTGCATAGAAGACCGTATGGTATAAAGAAGCCAATCGTCGATACATAGAGCAATATATAGAACGGTCGAAGTACTAAGCTACAATAGGCTTCGTTCGGTAAAAGATGTATACCATCAAAAAGAAAGAGTACTGGGAGATTGCCGACGAGTTCTACTGATGATTGCAGAGGAATGAAGATGAAAAGGTAAAGAGATGGTCGATGAAGATATAACCGTTTGGGATGAACAACTCGAACAAAATGAAAGAATGCCAGAAGGACGTAGTTCCAGTAGAGTTGACCAATACTTGTCCATAGCAAATACGAACGAAAGCGGCAATAGAATGTTTCTTCAAATATCGTATCGATATGAAAATCTTTCTCCATTGTGGGAATACTCACATGAATAAGTTGTAAAATACTTTTCACGCTAATGAGACACAAAATATTGACTGAAAGAAGCGATGGAACATTAACCACTACATGGCTGTGGTGCAAGTGAGTATGAATAAGACGATAAATGATTAGAAATAGAAAGAAGAAACAAATGACAACGGCGATTAGATCAAGTAAAGACGAAAGTAGATTGAATATTACACTAAGATTAACAAAAGTCGAAGAATTCGATGTGATTTCAATGGTAGAAGAAACAGTAGCGGTTAACTTATTTAATGACATTGAAAAGCTCGATTGATAGTCAGACACCTGGCAAAAGAAACTAGTTTCCTTCGAATAATATCATTTTTTTTCGAGGATGTTGTTAAAAATTCAAAAACCGAGAGTGAATACGTAAAACTTAATAATTAATAATTTATCATTCAACAATCCAGAAAGAACAACTACTATTGCCCTGTCTCTGCTTGATTCTAACTCGTATAAAATTCCTATTTGTCAGAGTTATTTTTTAATCCTCTGATCCTTCGAGTTCGCGGCTTTCTTTTCACTATATTAAACTTAGCTTTGTCGTTGCTGAAGGCGATGATAATTCTACCTGATTATTTCAGTACTCATTGTCACGAGTTTCGACAGCAAGAAGAACGATTTGTATATGACTTCATACGAAAAGAGCAACACTTTTGCATCGTGAGCGCAAACATACTACATGCTCCATAACGTTTATCACTGAACATCGACGAAAACTAATAGATTATTCTAACTGTTTCAATGTTCCAATTGTCGGTTGCCTGTTACGCTACTCTCCCGTTTATTCAGGTAGACAAATAATTCATTTTCAAGTATGTTTGTATATGTAAAACAATAGGGTACTATCGTTGAGAGTGTTCCGTTTGTTTGAAATATAAGTATGACAGAAAAATGAGCATATTACAAGTATGTGACGTTAAATTAGTAACATAAAATACTTATTTTGAGCACAAATTCATTGCATTACTATAACCCAATGTGTTTTATACACATGTTTGAAAGAAGAAATACCATTTCCAATAGGAAACATAGATGAACGATCGAAATTCGTTTTACACTTTAGTACTTTTTACCAGACACATCTCGATGACAAAAAAGAAATATTCATATGGCGAGCTATATTTTCAATCGAAAACGAGTGATTAACAATGAATGACATTTGTGTTTCTGTCTCTCTTTTTCTTCTATTGGTATTCACAAATATGATTTATTCGAAAGTATCTCTCGAGGGCAACTATCAAATTTTTTTCTTCGTACATATCTATTTCTGTCCAACAGCAAATCATCTCTTCGGTATGCTTGGTCGCGCACGCCATGAGTATACATTCACTCTTAAGATCAATATATTGATCTTGTATGTGCTAATGAATAAACAAGTCGAATGTAAAACGAAAACAAGATCTAGGTATCGAGAAAGGATGCAGTTGAGTTCATAAGAGATGTCAAATATCAAATCGATATATCTTGTGTTGCGAATTTTTTTTTGTAACCTACTGGATCGAATTTATTCATAATATATCTCGCCAACACGTTTCTAACTTCGTAATATGTTGCTTGTTGTTTTTGTCACATGCACACTTAGAAGAAGATAAAAGTGACATTTCGAGAGAGCAGACTCTAATCGTCGAGTAAAATGTACCAATATTTTTTTACAATCACATCCGTAACCATCAGGTGATGCACGATGTACATGTAATCAATAGTGCGAGATAAAATATCTCGATAAAGGTAATACCAATCACCCACCTACTTTTTTCTAACTATATATACTGGCGTCAATTTCTCAGTAGATCACACAACGATATTACATTTACATTCTTCGTGTTTATTATCATTTATACAGACCAAAATGGTTGTCTCCACCGTCTTGAATCCTGAGCAAATCGAAGCATCGCAAGCATGGGTTTATCGATTTTATCGATTGTTCGATTCATTAGAAGTCGATCAATGGATTGAGGAGTTTTACAATCCAGATTCAGTAGTTCATTTCGGCAATTTTCCACCTATGGAAGGTGCTGAGGTGTTGCGTGCTCATTTCAAAAGACAAAACGCACAGTTGTTGTCGATGCGACACGATTTAAAGCATATCGACGTTTTCCCCGATCGTATCTATGTTCAAAACGAAGCAACGTTTGTTGTTAAAAACGATCCCGAACGAAAGGAAATCAAATTTCCAGCAGTGTGTCTGTTCTGGAAGAATATCAATGAGAAGAAATCTTCAACAATCGACGTCTATCTTGATCCATCACCGCTCTTGGAACGACTTCACATGTTTTCATCTCAAGACAGAGTCGAATAACGACCCTAACATAGATTGTTAATATTTTTTTCTGCATTTTGTAACCTAACCATTTTTGACAGTACGAATTATCAAGTCAAAATAAAATTATGATTGTGGAATCAAGACTATTTTCGAATTTATAGCTCAATAGAATGTCATCGAAACATTCTTTCTATGCAAATATATCTGAATCACGTTTCCTTTTGTTTTCTTTAAAAAATAGTCATAGATGAAGGTGAAGTGTAGTCAGCGACGAAATAGTTTCGTTAGCGGGCACTTTGGTCCTCGTTTAGATGAGTGATTAATCAAACTTCACATATACGTATGTGTTTTGTATTTTCATAACAAACTTATATTAGATTCTTTATTTGTTAGCAATCGCCCTTCTATTACGTCTACACGAATAAACAATCGAAAGTTTGTGTAATTAATGATTGCGAGCGAAGAAACGAAATGTACAATCATTATTGATCCGTCCGACGCTCAACTTGGACTTGATGATTGCGTTGGCTGAAGCGAGGATAAGTATCGAACTTTCTCATCATTTTGTACAACAATTGGATCTGTTAAGCTCATCGTTTGTTGATAGACATTCGCTATTTTCTTATAATAAATCAATGCATTCTGATAATCTTCCTTTTGTTCATAAATAAACGCGATATTTTTCAACATCACCAGAATATTCGGATGGTCCGGTGCTAACTTTTGTTCGTAAATTTTCAATGCTAAATGTAAATGTTCCAATGACAGATCGATCTGATGCAGACTTTTATACATTGAACTAATGTTACAATGTAAACTCGCTAGGTTCAAATGATCACTCGGTAGATAGTTTTCGAAAACAGTCAATGCCTGTAAATAATATTTCAATGCTTGAGAATAGTTCTTCTCTTGCGATATAACCGTACCCATGTTGTTCAAACACATAGCAACACTTGGATGATTCTCGTTATGTGCACATTTGAAAATGTCCAAAGCTTTTTGGAAGAAAACTAATGCTTGATGATAAGCACCTTTTTTCCAATGATTCGTCGCAATTGCATTGTGATTCTCGGCTAAATCAGGATCAGTTGGTTTCAAGTTTTTCTTCCAGATTTCAAGAGATTTATAATAAAAGCTTAAACTTGAGTCATAGTCTTGCTTGTCGGAATAGATGTGTCCTAGATTATAGTAGAGATCTGCTAACATTAACGAATCCGACGATAGAATTTGAATCAGATAGAGATAGTAGCTTTCGGCTTCGTCTAATTGATCCATTCGCCATAGAAGATTTCCTATCGTTAACAAACTGATTTGATCAGGATTGAAATTACATTTAGCTTGGAGATTTTCATTATTCAAACTCGTTAAATTCATTTGAATTATCCACACTTGGTCATTATTGACACAGATGTCGACTAAACGAAACAGTGATCCACACATGAATAGAATTTCCGAAGAATGGATCATTGAATATGGCTGAATATTTTTAATTCGTGAATCGACATCAATTTCGAAAAGTACTCGTCGTGCATTATCGAGTAAATCCAACGAATCAAGATCAGCCAATGCTTGATGACGATTCAGTTTCGCCAGAAAAAATGTTTTGATTAAAACCAGTCCACCAGTTGCATCTTTTAACGTTTGTAATTCTTGTTCCGATAGGATAAAACTTCGATAAAGTGTAATTGATGATGAATATTGATTATTTTTCAATTCTTGTTGTAAATCGTAGAGAAAGAACCGAATGAGCAAAAGTTTCTCGATCGTTTGTAAGCAAAGAAATGTGTCTATTAATTTCCGGATACACGTGTCTTTGAAATACCATGACAATGATTGATTTGAGGAGTACGTCTGTTCGAAATTATCGATATGAGTCAGTTGAGTTTGATTGGTTTTATAGATTTCTCGACAGAGAGAAATGAACGGTTTTCGATCGAGAAAGTTCATTTTAGGATGCAGAAGATACGTTAGGATTAAATTAGAGGATATAAAAGAGTTTGTTAACATCTGATCGAGATTTGCGTTGTATATCGAAATGGGAAGAACATCGTCGAGTTTGAACGATGCTGATTGAATCTTTGGGATTAAATCATCGATTTTCAACGTCGAAGATTTTATCTAAACGAAACGAACGAGTGAGAGAAGGTTTTCTTCTATGATAGATATACTTTAGAATATTGTTTACTGAAATCGATGTCTGAACCGTAAATATAAACAGAAGAAAGTGGTTGTAGTGTGCAAATACAAAGGAGAACGTCTTGAATGAATTGAGCATGAGTGACAAGGATAACTCGATCGTATGAAGATAGCTTTTGAATATATTCTTCACATTGATGAATATTTTCGAAGATTTTTACATAATTGAAAATAGTTCGGAACTTCTTTTCAGTTTCTGACCGGTTTATGCCATCAGAATCCAACCAAATGAGAGAAAATCGTTCATAATTGAAGTCTTCTTTGTATAATCCGTTTCCTGTTATCATTATAATCTCAATATCGTCTGTTATGCAGTTAGTTATTTTTTTATTAAGTCACATGCTCTCTTATTTTGACTACATACATTTATTGAAGCGTATCGTCACTCAGTCAACGTAGTTCTAAATTTAGAAGAAAAACGGAATGGAAAGAGCCGATTAGATTCATTCCCATGCCGAATATCAAAGAGTGTAAACGTATTTGGCCGGCAGTTTAAATCGGCGAGTAGTTACTGACCTCTATCGGAAGAATGTAAGCGTCATATTCATATATGTCTAACTGATTAAAAAAAACTTTTTAATTAGTTTCCCATTAGTCCTTTGAGTATGATGTCACAAAACATATACGCATCACTATTGATGTTGAAATATAGCTCTTCGAAGTCTGGCTTCATGATTATGCAATCACATATTTTCGAAAAGAACGGAAGTACTATGACGTATAGTCGGGTATTTTCAACAACTACTTTGATAAACTTTTTCGCGAGATAAGGCGGCTGACTTATATAACTAACAGTATGTTCTTGTATTGAAATACATTTTTCGACAATTCGTTGTATCCTGATGTGGATATGATTACACGGTTGGAAGATCTCTGTAATGAAATATTACTCGATATATTTGATTATGCGGATGCTCGAGATGTGTATCGAGGTTTTTGGAATTTGAATTCTCGTTTGAACAAACTACTTGCTTCGATTGATTATTTTTCGCTGGTTGTCGATCATGACGAAAATAATGAAACGATTGCTTTATTAGGCCCGCATATTGGCCAGTTGATAATTAACTCATGGGAGGAAATTGATCTGGAAAGATTTTCGAATTTATTTTCATTAATGTTAACTCGCCCGTCAGCGAGACAGTTAAAGCAAATTCGAGCTGATACGATGTCAAAACTAAGGTATATTTCATTATGTTCAAATATGTACCTATCTCTACCGAATCAACTTGCCCACGATATATTCTCCAGTCGATTTTCTCGTCTCCGATGGGCTCGATTAGGTCATATTGATACGCTCAACTCATTTCAATGGTCTCAGTCGTTATCACTTCGTCATCTTCAAGTTGACTGTTCACATACGACCATGATTCCATATATTCTCATGTTGTGTCCGAATCTGAGTCATCTACATGTCGACTTCCTACGACAAGGCGAGAGAATTTCTCCTTCACCATCAGCAATCTCTAATCATCCACTTCGTCGATTTATCCTACGAGATTATTGTCGTGTAGTATCTTACGATGATATTGAAACGCTGATTCGCCTTATTCCAAATACAGAAAAGATTGAATTGAGATTCTTATGTAAGACTCCATTTATGACTCTAATTCAATACCTTTGTTCACATCTGCATCGATTGCAGCGATTCGACTGTGACATAACTGAATGTCCTATTAGTGCAACAAATTTGGCCACCATTAGACAAGTTCATCCATGCTTCCAATCTATTGAATGTCGAACATCCGGTGTAGATTTCCGAATATTTTCTACAAAAACGTGAATTTAATTCATATGATTTTTATACGCGAATAAATTCGTTAAGATTCTGATCAAAGTTTACATGTTTGTTGACTGGTACATTGCTAACTACAAATCGTATTGTGATTTACGTGGTGATAAAGCATGCTCTGACAGAGCGGCAAAAGAAGAAAAATATAAGCAACTATCGTGTTTTTCCTTTCCTCTCTGTAGAGAAAGAGAAGAACGGAAGAAAAAAAACGCGATGAAAAAGAAAAAAAAGACATGATTATATAATGCTTACAGTGCACTTTCTATTCGTCTTCTCAGTTTATTTTTGTTTAACCAGTGCTTTGCTACAAGAAGACATGGCATCATCAGCAGCTAAAACTGGCGTTGAACTAGCGACTTTCGGAGCTGGTTGTTTTTGGGGAACGGAGAAATTCTTTCGTAAACAATTCGGCAATAATCTTCTCTCTGCTATGGTTGGTTATATGGGTGGCGCTTCGAAGACGACTTATGAAGATGTTTGTACAGGCACTACGAATCATGCAGAAGTCTTACAAGTTTCGTACGATCCAAGTAAAGTCGTCTATGCTGATCTCGTCCGATTCTTCTTTCGTATGCATGATCCAACGACATTAAATCGACAAGGAAATGATCGGGGTACTCAATATCGTTCGGTGATATTTACTCATACAAATGAACAGCAGAAAACAGCTGAACAAGTACGTGATGAAGTACAAGCAAGTGGTAAAGTTAAAGGACAAATTGTCACACAAATACAACCAGCGGATGGCCTTCAATTCTTCAAAGCTGAACAATATCATCAAAAATATTTAGAAGAAAATCCAGGTGGATATTGTAATCACCGACTTTATTACTAAGACAATGGGTTCTGTATTCATATGAAATGATTTTTAGTTACTTCAGAAGTATAAATAAATAAATATATAGAGAGAGAAAGAGAAACTCTTGACTAAAACATCAAAGATAATTAATTCTTGACATATGAATAAGTCTAACACGCTCCATGTGAAATAAATCCAATTACCAACTGTTTTGAAGAGTAGTTTGTGGTGTTTAACAAACTCGACAGACACAATTACCTGCTTCTTCCCGTGGAAGTATCGTCTTGCTGTAGTAGTATAAGGTTATCAACCATATTAAATATGAATGAGGTCGTATCTGAGAAAAAACCTACCGTCTATAATCTAAAAAAGTATTATTTGGAACTTTTATTATTGATTTAAAATATCATGATTTCACATAGTTTTTAAAAGAATGCGAAAATTTACAACCTATGCCGTGACCATAAATAGTAAGGAGAAAATTATTTATCTTAGTAAGTGCCTGCTACATCAGTCAGAGACGTTACTCTTTCTATACGATTTTTCAAGGATTATAAAAACGGGAACTCTCCGAGATATGTAATTTTATGTCGAAATACTCATATTAGAGCAAATGATTTTAACAGAAGCCTAGCACTAGGTAGATGAGTTAACTTTCGAATTCGCTGACAGATTGAAAGAAAAGCATAGTTCATTAGATATACCCCTATCAATTTTTGGTCATAGTATCTCGGGTGCGTCACATGAATATCCGTGTGGAAGATCAAAGATTTTGATTCGATTCTTTAGTTATCAAGGTGAAATTTCATATTAATTAGATCATTTTAATTCGCACCTCAGTTCACAGCACGTGCCACTGAACGATTTTCACAGCTATGCAACTACAAGGTAACCTAACTACGTAGTACATTTTGATATGGTCATTTTCTCTCTTTTCAAACTATTTATTAATCTTAGCTGTTTTTTCAATGCTTTGTTTCCTATCACAAGGGTCAATCCTCGTATTGACAAATGCAAACTCGACAGAACCAGACATTGCATCAATAAGCTCTGCGGTAACAGATTTTTTGGCAACAGTTTTTACGACAATAAGCACTTCTACGTTTACCGATTCCTTGATACCCTTAACTTATGAAACATCAGTATTTGAAGCAACAATCGCTACCGCAACGGCACTAGCAGGTGACTCCACTTCAATTTCCATAAATACCACTACAGTACTAAGCGATGCCACGATAATAACGAGCGATAACACAATAGCAACAAACAATACTGCACCAACAGTAGGTGGTACTACAGCAGCAACAAACGATACTGCACCAACAGTAGGTGGTACTACAGCAGCAACAAACGATACTGCACCAACAGTAGGTGGTACTACAGCAGCAACAAACGATACTGCACCAACAGTAGGTGGTACTACAGCAGCAACAAACGATACTGCACCAACAGTAGGTGGTACTACAGCAGCAACAAAAGATACTGTAACAAAAAATAATACAACACCCTCACCTTTACCCACAGCAGGAACAAGCAATACTGCAGCAACACCGACCAATACCGCAGCAACAGCCATAACATCTCAAAGCTCCACAATATCTTCTTTACTCGCGAACATTACTATAGTTAATTGCGATTGTTCCACATTCTGCTTTAATGGATCAGCGAATATTACAGACGGAAGCGAATTCAACAGAGATATTGTAGAAGGTAGAGAACCTCGAGCGCCTACGTCAGACGCAGCGTCTGTCCGTAAGTTCTATTCTTGTAATGATAAATAGATGATTCACGTTGAGCAAATTATATGTAGGCAACTCATTAGTTGACAACAACGGATGTCAAATACCCTATAATATTTCCCATTTAAATGTAAATGCCACTTCGTATATATGGTTCTGTTACAAAGACCAATGTTGGTCTAACGGCAACAACACATCGAATTGCCCATCAGGTGAGTTATTTTGCCAAGCCTGTCAATAAACATCATAGTTTGAAGACGTCTAAAAATATTGGTGGCTTAACCTATCATATTGTTTGCTAAAGTGTCCCTAGAAAGACGGCAAACGCTGTATGAACCACCGTGCCAAGTAAATGCTATGAAATATATTTTAATTTGCTAAAAAGATGATGTACATCAGCTGTTAGAGTGTATCGTCTAAATATTCTGATTTTATATAGGAAAATATGCATTGATTGAACTTACCTCGGATGAACCGAACAAAACGATTAGTATCAATGTTCAAAGTTTAAGTAAACGCAGCCGTTCGACGACTCAAGAACAAGAATGCCTTCATTATTATTATTATATGCCTATGTCGGATTACACAGAGGAAAACATTGAAGTACATATGATCAACAGTACAAAGAGCATTGTACTCCAAAATGTGACAAACCAGAGTACGACGAACAAGGGTTGGCAAAAAGTTAGTTTAAATATGTCTCGTTCTGAAGATAATTACACAGTAAATCAAGAAACTGGAATAGTTAATCGAAGTTCATTCTGTTTTTAACTTTAATAGCTTGAATTTCATTTCAAAACTACAAAAAATTCGACAAGTACTGATCCAGTTTATTTCGCACTTGATGAAATCGCTGTGTATAACGTTAGTTGTAAAGGTTAGTTGAGTTCAGCTGATGACGTACAAAACATATTCCAATTAATAACACTTACTTGCGTTTAAATATGTTTTAGTTGTTGATACATTGCAAAATCCATCTTCAACAACAACAACTTCACCTCTCCCATCGAGTTCGATAGAGGCTTTTGTTAAATTCACATCACTTCGTTTTCTTTTCATTTTTAGCGACAACCGATGTCGGCCTAATTGTGGCTCTGACGCTTGGTTTAGGAATTCCGTTCATTTTCGGAATTATGGCTGGCATTTTCTATTTGATGAAAAAATATTTGCATAAAAAACTACGCCACAGACAAGATAGTTATATACCGACTGCACAACTTCCAAGCAACCAATATGGTTATTACGGTATTGGACTATCGAGTTTCTGACAAATTTTCAACGTTATAATTTAGTTAGTATTTTTCACGGCTTTAATTAAAAACTTTACAAAAAATGATATGATTTGAAGAATTTTATACTTAATTGATAACCATATATGATTTCATAAGTCTGGAATCATGTTTATGCTTCGACTTTCTTCTCTCTAGTTCTAATATCGACCTTGTCAGAGTGTCTGTTTCTCTCCCATAAACAAAAATCATGTTTTCTAATAACATCAACGTCGTAGGTAACAAATTTTATTTCCGTGAGCAACGTTAGCACCCCCATCGTCAATTCGTCACAGTCGTAAAGACATCATTATATTTGAAATGACTTTATGGCAACTAAAAAGAGAACAAGTAAATGGTTTGAGACGAGTGCATGACAAAATAATCGACATTAAATGAAAGAGAATACATAGGTGAAAGTTGTAAATATATTGTAAAGGAAATTGGTTTTTCGACACAATAAACAACAAAATATTGTTAAGAATGGCTGGAAAAACAGATGAAAACAACGAAGTTACCATACCTTACACGACAACGTTTATTTTTCTCATTTTATTCACAAAAAAAATCAAATCTTCAATCAGCAGAAAAAGAATAAAAGGGTCTATAATTGAACTAAACACCTGTAGTGCTCATCAAAAGCATTGTGGTACTAGACTGTCGTAATTTTTTACGTGATCGTCTGCGTCGTGAATCTGTGTGATAATATTGCGTTGTTGCTAAACTTTGCATTGGTGGCGAATAATCCATTCGAGGTACAATTTGTGTTATAGCCCATGAATAATCTGGATAATTGACAAGACGTTCATCTAGTAAGTATTGGTATGGGAGAAAACAATAACCGTAATATCCCTAAAGAGAAATATGAATTCGTATTTTTCTATACAAAAAAGAAAAGGAAAATCCTTGCCCTACCCAATCGCGTCCCCATGAATTTCGTGCGATAAAATGCTCGGTATCATCGTCATATCCAACAATGAGTATAGCATGGGAAGTTAAATATGCAATTTCATAATCACTTGGATCGGGTATTGATATATAACCACCATTAGCATTAGCTTCGCCATTGATCTCATACTTCATTTTCACGGCTATAACTGCTGGTATTTGATTTGCTAAACACGTTCTTATTGCATTAACCTCAAGTGGAAAACGAAGTGGAATGATAGTATGTTGCCTTGCAGCCAGATACACATCAGGTGGTGGTTTTCGATTTAGTAAACGTCGATCATATGGCCAAATTTCTTCTTTACATATCCCGTATTTACGCATTCCAACGACAACATTCTTTCGTGATGCACCTGCATCTTCGACATTACGAGTTCTTTGATCGATGATTTGTCCATTGAAATATATAAATAAGCGAGATATTGGGGTATATACACCGCTTCGACGCTTTAGTAAATATTCACATGCACTGGCAAATGCACTCGATACACTAAAAGACATTAGTTCAAGTCGACTTTAAGTCCTAACGAAAACTAAAGAATTCCTACCAAGTATTCATGTAGTCTTGATTTACAATCGGTGACATCCATCGACGTAGGTCAACTTGACGTGGCAACGGGCCATAAGCTGCATTATCTGAAAATATTGCTGTGCGAAACAATTCCGCACTATCGAATGAACGATTCGATCTTGACTTATGAACTTTGGTAGTAGTTAACAGTTGGCTTCTTGATAACATTCTTGTCTACTAGTAAGAAATGTGCCTATGAAGTTAGAAAGAGAGAGACGCATTTAATGTTTGTTTTTGTCGATAGTGATCAACAACAGAAAGATACAGATCGATGTATGTTTATAGTCGTCAGCATGGCAAATTGAGTGCAGTGAGTAGGAGTCATACTAGTTTCGTTTGATAATTTTATTTTGATATACACCCGAAGAAACGTAGTTGACATATCTACCTTCATCATCGACAAAATGATGTCAATTAGAAGAAACATTACTGCTGCTTTCTCTCCACACATAATTCGACAAAGATGTGTAGATATCAGGTAATCATATAAACATAAATTAATATTTAAAAAATCAGAGAGATTATCAATCGTGTACACAAAAACCATAAGTTTCACTTTTTATTCGGAAAGAAAAATAATGGTTACAATTTGGAATTTATCTTGAATTAATTACCAACAGGAGATGTTCCATTCCACATTGTCAAGCCTCGAACAGGATTGAGACTATCGACTATTGACCATTTAAATCGCATCGTTCCACCAAAGATAACTGACACATTTCCAGTATCACCATGATGTACACCTAGATCAAATATATGTCTACCCGGACGTACAAGAACGACAGCAGATTGAATAATGGGCAAAGTTGCATATTCGTAAGGTAAGTGATGTTGACTGAGCCACTGATCAAAGTGAGCAGCGGTTTCTCCAGATATTGGATTAGTAAGAAGATGACGATTGGCTTTGTTTGGTGTACGTTGGTCGCCAACGATGAGGTGATCATCAACCAGTAATTTAATATGAACACCTTTACCTTTATATATTTCGCAAGAGCCTTGATAAGTTATCTCGAAAAGCGTCGATTCGGCAACATTGAAAACTGTTCGTAAACCAGGCACTGGAATGTATATATCAGAAACGGAAACCTTAAAATGGCTGGGATTTTGATATTTGAAGTAGAAATGAGTAGGCGACACAGACAAATCACGTTTCGTTCTTGCTGGAACATCAATAACTTCATCGTTCAATGTATTGTTGCATCGAACAACGACCAGTAGGATACAGCTAATAAAAAAAGTAATTGATGGCATTCTATTAATACTGGTATAGATGTATTACATGTCGATCGCATAGTTTTCATTGCTTTAAATACATAGGAACGATGGTCTGTACGGTGTTTTCAATTATAATTGAAATATTATCACGCGCATCTTATGTTCTCAAATCGCTTTCTTGGAAAAAGGGGAAGTGATTTGAAATGCAGTACCGTCTTTATTTGCTACAATTGGGGAACAACCGCTGGAAGAGATATTTTTGTTTTTCAAAAGATTAGTTTTAAAGCCGCTGTATCTTCGCCAGTTTTTCAAGCCGTCTGAAAAGTCAGGATTCGATTTATCTCATATTTCATGAAAAAGCTAACCGAAGGATTACTTCCCCGTTCGCGACAACACTAACATATAAATACACAGACATCAGTATCTATGAATTATTATTAGAAGATCAAAATGCGTACTTTTAATATGTATTCACTTTCTCTCATCGCCATCTTCAGTAAGAATATTAATTAAGGAAGAAGTAAAAAGAATTTGGAATTCATTCTTTTTCTAGTGATTGATCAAATCATGAGCAATCCTATGACAATGAGTAACTGTGTTCTTTGGGCAGATCCTCATCTACTGAAATTTGCTGCCCATCCAAGCTTATCAGATAGACGTCCATCTTTCTACTGTCAATCAGCGGGTCCCATGCTTGTGTTAAAGAATCGTTACATTGAAATCACTGTCAATGTTACTGATCGTCCATTTTGGAATGAAAATGTATATATAAAAACGAGTGATATTCTTTTTGAAATACTATTGACGAGTTCACTTATTTTAGTTTGAACTCAAACTATTCGCTGGACCTGACACTCTGTGTACCGTAAGTCCACAAAACTTTCAATGCTCTGATCAAAACTGTAAATATTCAGTTCGTGTAAAGGCATTAGTTCAATATATTTGTTTTAATGTTCTAGTTTTGAGAGTGAAAAGAATCCATTCGACAATGGTGATCAAATATGATGAGGCCGATGATCTCAGTGTTACTATCTATTCCAATGTAAGTGTACAGTGAAGCTTAGATTCAAATGTGCTATTCCATATATTCTCTGTGCATTTATAGATAATTAACGGCAGAAATACTTATGATATACATGTTTCACAATCATTTAACTTAATTCGGCAATCGTATGGTCTTTGTGTTAACGAAGATCCTGCATGTGAATTGGAGAATGCGCCTAATCCTGCGGGAAAACGTAAACGAAGTTTGAATGACGAAACCGCTATGAAAGTATGCGATGTATACATGCAAGAAGCGTATACAACTGCGAAAAAAGAACTAGGAAATGCGTCTAGTCCATTGAATGAATATGCTCGTACAGCTTGTATCAATGACGTATCATTAACAGGCAATCGAGAGGTTAGCTAAATGTTTACTTTCATAAATGGATATGTAACTTGTTGTTATGATTTTAGTGGGGACGAAGTTCAATTAGTTTCGTAGCTATGGAAGCTTTGAGACGTAGTGGATTGGTAGGCAAAGAACGTGAACGAAAACTCGAATCAGTTGTGTATGCTGTGAAAAACGCTATTTCTCGTGGTGACGAAAGTTCGTGCCTTCCTGGTGTGTCCTGTACGCCACGAAACCCTGCTGGAACTTTTTCATAGATAACACTGATGATAGAGTCAAGATATATAATAAAGACTTTTATTTACGTTTGATCTTTTTCTTTAATTTCTCGTATTCACTGAAACTTTCTGAAAAATCTTAAAATCTTAACATGTTCTCCATCCATTAAGTCCAAGACGAGTACGAATATCCCGTAATTGACCACCATTGATTTCCCTGACTTGCATATGCGCATGAACACCAGTTGACTGTCCAGATGTACCCATTAAACCAATCACTTGTGCCCGTGCAACTCGTTGACCAACAGATACTCTGATCGAATTGGCAGTCATATGACAATAGAGAACTTTAACTGTATTATGTTGAATTTCAACAAGATTACCACAAGCACCACAACGACTTTGATCAAAGTCACCTGCACCATTGCAAACACCAATGACTGTTCCATCCCAAATGGCATATAAATTAACTCGTTTAGCACCATATGAACCAATATCTACGGCTTGATGACCAGAATGAAATCCTTGTGTGACACATGCTTCACCGTACGAAACCGGTGGAAAATGTTCTTGGCCATAAACTGAAATTATTTCCAAGAGATAAGAATGCGAATTTCAAATATCAAGCGACGAACCTATGCCAATGAAAGCAGCAGCAAAGATCAATATTTTATACATCTTTTATTCACGAATAGTTGATTTGAATACATAAAAAATCGCATATTTATACGTCCATGATTGGAAATAGGCAATGAGAGCGATATCACCACATGGTAGCTTCTCATACTAAGACCTACTTAGTTTTCGTTCGATCGAAGTATTTTGTTCGCCATTCATAGTTAAGAGAATAATCAGTCTATGGGAAACAGTGACAGACGTTTTAAACTCAAAATAAACTATATTTTCAACCTGGGTAATACCAACATCTGGCAATGAATCTGTTATTGACGAAAAACTTTTCCACTGTTCTCACCTCATTTCATGTGCTCGTACGACCATAATGATTATATCATATCGACTACAGACGAGAATATAACTATGATAACATAGAAAGAGCTGAATGGACATTGGTCTGATCATGTTTTACGTAATATCTAGGAAAGAAAACGATGAAGAAGAGCAATCTGCGGTCATATCAATAAGAACTGTTATACGCCGCTCTTCCATTCTTTTTCTTCATTCACATCAACTGATTACATACGTCTGTGAATCGTTAAAAGTAACAGCATTGATTTATAGTAACGAACTCTTTCTATCGTAATTATGACGATGCATCTGCTCGTTTGGATTATTAATTTCGCTTTACTTTTTTCTAATCTTCATGGTCTCGACGAAACATGTCGTCATATTCAAAGTAAGGGAGAACGTTGCACTACGGGAACACGCTCAATACTTAAAGGCATGATCATTTCTCCAACAGCGACAGAAAATGAAGAATGTAAGAAATCGTGTATGCAATCAGGTTATCATGGTGGTGGGTATTGTTCAATTTCGAAAGACTGTTTTCGCTTTTGCTCATGTCATCATTCAGTTGTCAATTCTTCTTTGAATAAATAGATTTGTTTGAAGAGCAAAATGACCATGTAACACCTGCATTAGCCAATAATCTCTTCATTATAGAAAGATAATCTATCTTGACTTCTATAAGTTAAACATATATCTCAGTGGAATCGAGATCACTACTTATCCACGGAAACTCGTCAGAACATAAGTTTAACTTGCCGTAATCAACATTACATTTGTATTCAAATATAACGAAAACTTCGATGAATTATACACAAAAATTTTGCTCGATATTCTATAAATAATAACTAATCAGTATTATTCAGCAAAATGTCCGCGGGAATGTCAAGAAAACGTTAATCCAACGGCTCAATCCGGAAGCGACTGAGAATATATATATATAAGCACGGCATGCGTCACCTATCTTGAAAACCTGCCAATGTCAACATTCTTTTTGTACTGAGCCGATCATGAATAACTCTAGTAGCACATCAACTACTACTCGAATAACAACAACAGCAAGTCCGCTTGTTTCCATTCAGAATTTAATCACTCAGTACACATTTCTGGTAATATTTATACTTGGTAATATAAGTAATCTTGCCAATATCTCAGTATTTCTTCAAAAGTCTTTAAGAACAAATGCTTGTTCGTGGTATTTTGCATGTGTTTCACTCGGTCATTTAGTTTTTCTTTACTTTGGTTGTTTCACCCGAATTATAACTGCTTGGTCGGGTTATGATCTGAGTCGTACGTCGATCATCTATTGTCGTATTCGAATTTATTTTCTCACTGTTAGTTTATTAACTGCGCGTTGTTTCTTATGTTTCATCTCAATCGATCGTTGGATGGTGACATCCCGCCAACATGCAATTCGACAACTGAGTACGACGAAAACTGCACGATGGTTTATTCTAATTGGATTAGGTTTTTGCATTCTATTCAGTATTAACTTTCCCATTTGGTATCACATTGAAGGAACACGAGGATGTATTGGAGCACCGGATACGTTCTATCCATTGTTTTATACAATCTATAATTTAGTAATCACAATTGGTCCGTTTATAATCATGATTTTGTTTAGTTTGTTAGTTCTCAATAACCTTCGACGAAAACAACGACGGCAAGTATCAGGATCAACTCCGGCAGCAGTAACAACAATAACAAGACAACCTTATCAGCGAAAAGATGTCCAATTTATTAAATTATGTTTAATTCAAGTACTTCTCTATATCGTCTGCAATACATTCTATGCTTATAATGCAACTTATGCATTCGTAACACAAACAAACGTTAAAACAGCTGAAAGAGCCGCTCTGGATTCATTTCTCAGTACAATTGGTTTGATTATAAGTTATTTCTATATGGCAATCACGTTCTTTTTATATACATTAGTATCAAACACATTTCGAAAAGAATGTAAAGCTGCAATTAAACGTTTCACACAGTGTAGATATCAATGAACAAATCCTTCATAGTCTTCAGTCGATGAACTAAATGAAAATCATGGTTGCATGTGTAAAAAGATTGAAAAATACGTCATAAATAAATCTGCTCTCTAATTGCGCAAAAAGCAGCATAATTGTTTAAATTACACCTTTAGACCGAATGTTCGTCTGATGCACCTGCGCGCACACACACACACACTCTCTCTCGGTAAGAATGACGAACCTAACAGAATACATCCTGTTTGAAAGATACACATTTCTTACTGAACAAATGACAAAATATCTCGGCGTTCCTTTGTATACAATGTGTTTGTATGGAACGATTATGAATATGATCGTTTTAACACAACATACATATTCTCATCGGTCTGGTTCTCTCTATCTTCTGATTGCATCCTTGGGTGACTTTATGTATTTACACATCGGTCCGTTATCAAATATTTTACAGTACGGTTTTCATCATGATTGGACAATCAGTTCAATCGGATTCTGCAAAGTCAAAAGTTATTCGACTTTTGTTGTAACGGGTATATCAGCAACGTTAACAACATTAGCAAATGTCAATCAGTATATACTAAGTTCGAAGAAAAACAAACGATGGAAATATACAACAAAACGAACGATTATCCATTGCATTTGCATAACAATATTCATTTCATTGATAATCTCGATTCCAATCCCGTTTTGTTATACGCGATATAGTCATTTATCGAACAATGAACATCTGGTATGTTCGAATCCATTACATAATCAATTTTGTTTTTGGATACAAATTTTCTATATCTGCTTGTTTAATGGATATATTCATCCGTTCACGATGCTTTCCATTGGCTTACTTACGTACAGAAATATTCGTCAATTGAAGCAACGGTCACTTCTGAAATCGAAACGAGTCCGACAAGTTAATTATCAGATATCTTCGATGTTGGTCCTTCAATCGATTAAATCAAGTATAGCGTCGATTCCGTATGCGATGTTTAATTCATATCTTTTGATTACAATTAAGAAAGAGAAATCATTGTTTCATCAAGCGAAAGAGAATATTCTTAGTCAATTGGTTTACTTTCTGTTTTGGAGTAATTACACGAGCTTTTTTGTTTATCTCTATTCATCAAGCATTTTCAGAGAACAATGGAAAGAAACAATGAGGAAAATACTTTGTTGTGTGTTTGGTAAACACCGACGACGACGATCGATTTATGAAAATCAAATGAACACTATGCGGTCAATTGTAAATCCGAACTAATATTTTCTTTTGTAATACAATAAAATATCAGTCGCACGGTTAAACCGATGGATAGCTAGAGTGGACTCAGACAGTTATCAAATGCGAGACAACAAAGAATAAATTCAGTATTTGTAATCATTCGTATAAACTTCACCAGCCGAAAAGAAACGGAAGCTTAATCACTGTTAATACCTCGTAGCGGATTCTTTATCAACATTAAGAAAACATTCGGGAATAATTCCTTTACTTATCTATCAATTGAAGTTATGAACCATGAAAAAAGTGAAAGCTACATGGTTTTCCGTCATTGATATCGTGTCTTACGTTTGTATAATTTTACAACTTTGTGATTATTTTATGAAATTTAATGAAGGAAGGATTAGAAACAATTTGTCTAATAATCTTTCTACTTTTCTATTTCCTAATCGAAATTTATGTATTGATAATTATGAAACAGGAATAATTGTTCTTTCCATTGGATTTGCAATTTTTTGTTGATCTGACAAATAAGGTTTTCCATATAACTAAATGAAAAAGATATTTGATTAAATGAATTGAAATCGAATTATTTTACTATTGGTTCACAATCATTATAAAATTCAATATTCCATTCTAAGCGATGATCTATTGTTTGAGAATTGATTTGTTGATTTGAAAATTGTTCCACATATAACTTAACTTTGCCATGTATTTTTTTAGTAGAAGTAGAAATAGGTATTGAAACAGGCCCCAGTAAACAGAGTCTAAATGAAAAATATAGATTTTAGTTGAATCTTTGGTTAGATTCGCGAAATTATAATTCTCCCCAATGCTTTCTTGTAACCTGTGAGCATCTTTCATGTTTAAAGAATTTCAAATTTTACTAAACTAAACTCACGGTACAACGATGAATGTTAATATACTCAGCAGAACACCAATCCCATAATTATCATAATATATCAAAAGAAAAACATTCACTGGTATTAGAGTACAGACAATAATCATAGTCAATGCTGCAACACTTATTATGATATATTGATATAGAATTAATATTCTTGTTTCACGATTTATCATTGATATTAAATCTGAATAAACTTCATATGTTATGTAATTCTTGAATAGTTGTAAGTAAATTGAGCTAATATTGAATTGATTGTTGTTACCAATTTTAACTAAACAATTTCTTTTATATTCAAGAGAAAACAAACAAAATCAACTGACGCGCAAAAGAACCGGGAAGAAATTGAAGAATAAATTTTCCCTTGTCTGTATTTTTAGCTGTTTTGACTTTCCATGTTCCTTCAAATTGATTAGTCATATTATTCCATATTAATTGTGCTCTAGCTTCATATTTGGAGATTTCTTGACTTTTATTCCGAATTGTTTGATATTTTTTTATTAGAACAATTCGATTTGTGTTATCTGAATAAATTCCGTTGACATTAAAGGTTCCAATATCATCTGATCCATATCCTTTTATTTTGTTGTTTGAAGAAGAGAAAATAAGTGGGAATTGAAAAGGCCCATGACAATCTTCAGATCGATAATACTGACTTGACCAAACACCTGATTGAAATAGATTTACATTTGATGTTGTTTGTCCACCACAGTTATCCATAAGAAATTTTTCATCATCAAAAGATATGTTTACACATCCACAAAAATCCCCGAAGAGTTTACACAAGAGGATGAATAGAATTATAGAGGTAATTAAACCAACAATTGCGCTCGTAACTACGGCACCCTCGTGTTGACATTTAGGTGTATCACAACTACTGGTTGGACGATGAACACCATGAACCACAAAACTCTCTATCAACATGGAAACATGTAGTTGAAAAGGAAAGTAAATAAATTACTGAAACGACGACCGCCGACAGGTTTACAATGAACAAAAATACCAAAATAAATAGCAAACAGAAATGTATAATAAACGAGTTTCATTCCACTGTAAAAATAGAAAGAAATATTTTAATTGATATACATTAATCTCAACTTGATCGAAAGAATGCTCATGTTTTCAACTTTGATCGTCAATATTTCTTACTACTAGTACCTGAATTAGTCAATGTTAATGAAGATAATCGACTTGTATAAGTAACCACTTACAAAGAAAGTGATTGTTTACGCCTTTTTATAACCTGTGTCGAGATGTTTTTATCCTAACCTTTACACTATGTCTAGCGGAGAACACAAGATTCCTGATCATCAATCTAATTGGAAATATGTTATGTAGGTGGATATTGACATTTCTTGTTGATATCTAAAGGAGAAAAGTCAGTGTGAAAAAAGGCACGCACCACAAAATAAAGAAGCTCATGGAAAACACTCGCCTACAAAGAGAACAAAAAGAAAATATCATATCAAGATGGTATCGAAGAAAGAATATAAATAAGATAATCGATCAGAAGAGAACAACTGAAAAGGCAATTTATAGCATGATTGCAGAAGCATCACAACGATGATTAATTCATATATACGTAGATGTTTATAGACAAACACAAGAGAGTTATATTTTATTATCTAAACAAATCAAACTTTAATTTCACAATTTGAATTTGTTTATAAATTTTGAATAACTTATTATTGATAATAGATGATGAGTCATAACCATATTCCAATGGATATGAAAATTTTGTTTGAATAGAATAACTTGATGGTTGAAAGAGTATATAAGTTGTATGATGAAGTAATGTATAAAGAAATATTTGGTTTTCATTCTGATTTAGTGACCATTGATATTGCATAAACCGTTGATGATCTTTTATTCGGTGTGAGTCTAAATGTATATCGATGACATAGGTTTTAATGAGTTCTAAATGGAAATTTTTAAGATGAAATTGATTGAATAAAAGATTTTAATTGTATCGGCGGAATAAAATCAGGTAAACGAATATCGAATTGAAAGATATTTTGTGTTTTCTAGTAATTCGATAAAATTATTGAATGACCAATGAGAGTATATGGAATTCAGAGATATTTTGCAGATTGTGATGGAAGTTTTGGTAATGCTCAATAAGATTTGAATGTATCAAAATGAGATATATCATAATATCGAACATAACATTCAACAAAATGGAATGATCAAATGAAAAAATATTAAATTTATTCTAAATCTTATCCATTAACATCTGTCCGATAACCTGTACAAACGAAAATAGCTCTGTGCAAGTCAGATTTCATTCATTTGGTGCTTCACAGTACTCTTTTAATTGTAATATAAAACATATTTGAGGTAGTCTTTTTAGCTGCAGCGACGATATACTGTTATTTTTGTTTTATGTGAGAAGTAATTGAAAAAAAAATCATGGGGAACCTTTGCGCAGCTTTAGTTGTGTGTGTCGCAGAAAGTTTCATTTCGTTGAATACCAAAATGTTATTTTTTCCAACATAAAATTTGTTTTTGAGCGAGGATCGCAAGAAACAAGATTTTTTTATTGTTTTAATGTCGATAATGAAAGGAGCTTTGTTGGAAAAAAAAAAAACCTTTTATAATTCTGAAGCAGAATGTTTGCAATGCATCTTTGCGAATTTAGTATAAAAATGCGTCTGCAAGAAAGAACGAAAAACATCCAATAGAAGCTGTGCGAAGAAAAAGAAAAACATGCTTCATACGTTCGTCTGTTACAGGCAGACACTCTGCCTGAATCCGAAATACGATAACACATTTACCTTTCTTCGAAGAAAAGTAATACTTGAAACTGTTGATAGTGTTGAATATCGTGAAGCTTAACCAAGTTTGGAAGCGTTGGAAAAGAGAAACTTTTCTCTTATACTTCGTTTATGACCAAATAGGCTGTAGTTTGTTTGTTTTGTAGGATAACTAGTTCAAAGCAGTTTCTTCCTATGCCATGTATTGAAGGTATTAGTGACGATACGTAAAGCAAACTACTAATACCCTCACCTGATTCTTTTAGATACTCATGTTGACACTTCAAAAATAGAACGTCCTTTTACATTGTAGATTAGAGAATTGAATATGTTCGGACGATTTGTTCGAAATTCATCCAATGCACAGAAAGGTAGGATATTAATTCTGCGTGATCATAATAAGAATCGGTCTATTTTAGAGAGAGCAGCAAGTGCTAAACCACAGTTCTGTTTAATTCGTTGGTCAGACAAGAGCGGCTTTGATATTGTACTTGAACGACAAGTTCAAGAACCTTCCAACACAATTGAACATTATAAAGCATACCAAATTGATTTTAACGGAAAACAACGTAAAGGCGTTGTTCTCCTGAGAGGTAAATATCCACTTACTGACGTTAGTATAGCGAAGAAGTAATGATGTGATATTTGTAGGATCAAAAGAAGACTGCGAATCATTACTATACAATGTATCAGCACCAGAATCTGAAAGCTCAGCAGAGACAGGTATTTGTATCTTCGAATTCATATGTTTTCGAACTGCATTGATATATTGGTTTCCTTTCTAAATAGAAAAACCATTGAAATCTCAATCTAAGCCATCGCGAGAAAGGGGTGGTGCAAATGCTTCAGAAATTCTTGCCGATGTCCAACAATCTGGTAAAAATAACGTCAAACGACATGGAACAACATATATTTCTGTACTTTTCAATTCTTTATCTTTTAGAAGAAAAAGGTAGCAAGCAGGATATGCGTGAAGTTCAAAATCGAGCACTAATGCAAATCTTACAATTGGTATTGGCTAATGCTGTCGGTAGTACTAGCGGTAATGAAGAGGTACATAGGGTACGATGTGATGCCTGCGGTACGAAACCAATTCAAAGTGATCGCTACAAATGTTTAAATTGTGAGGATATCGATTTATGCGGTCCTTGCTTCGAACGTCGTAGAGAGTCAGAGGAGCATAAAAGTGGCCACGCTTTCGCTCATTTCAAATCACCGGGTGAACTTTTTGGGCAAACAGTCAAAAACGAGGATGTCACATTGTTGAAACTAAAAAAAGCCTATGGCAACGATGTTCACGAATCGATTTCTTGTGATGGATGCAGAGCCGAATCTATTAAAGGCTTACGATTTAAATGTGATTCGTGTCCGAACTATGACCTTTGTGAACGATGTGCTGAGAACGGTGTCACGACAAAGAACCATGACACTTCCCACTCGCTCATCCTCATACCACGTCGAGCGATACAGCAGATTCCGGTCGAAGATATCGAACTTGGAAAAGAACTTGGCAGTGGCGCATTTGGTACGTATAACTCGTTGATTATCTACGACCTCAATATGTACTTCTTTTTTCTTCTCTTTCAGGTGCTGTGTACAAAGGCCGTTGGATATCAAAGAATCGCCCCGTTGCATGTAAAGTTCTAACAATTCCTCGAACGAATGATGCTGAACGATTGGAAAAAAGTTTTTTGAAAGAAATTGCTGCGTACTCGGAACTTTCCGGTGCTTACATTCTCAAAACGTATGGCTTTGCTGCTTCTCGACAAGGTCCGAACAAGAAATACATGATCGTCATGGAATACATGTCTCGAGGTAGTCTTGCATCCGTCATTAAAGAAAAACCTGACCAATTATCCTTACGACGCAAACTTGAGATGGCGAGAAATATCGCGAGCGGTATGCGGAAAATTCACGAGCATCATATGATTCATCGAGATATTCGACCAGATAACATTCTCGTTAATGAAAACTACCTAGCTAAAATCGGTGATATGGGCATAGCAAGACAGGTTGATCCTTTTAATCAACATACTCAAATAGGATGTCAACCATATATGCCACCGGAGTTTTATCAGGGTAAATACGATCAGAAACTTGATATTTTTACCTTTGGTTTGACGATAAATGAACTTTTTACGGGCACGAAGCATTCGTTTCAACCATTTGTTAATGATAAAATCGCCTTTGCGGAAAAAAGCCCAGTCTTTGACGATCTTATCAGTCGATGTACACTCGATGATCCTAAACGACGCCCCTCAGCCATAGAAATCGAAAAAACTTTGGACATATATAGTGCCGGTTTCAATGAAATGGTCCTGAAGAAACATTCTAATTATGTTCATTTATCTACGAAGGATAAAGACGAAATATTCATTGCATTTTACCATAAATTTCATGAACCAGCAACAGAATTCATTCGTAAGAAATTTCCACGTGAATTTCTCGAAGACTCATCGGAAGACGCCGGTGTTCGAGTCGATAAATATGCCGGTGATGGAATACGTATTGAATGTCCCATGCAATGAGACTTATCTGCTCCTTTTTTTTAAACAAGTAACTACAATATTCCTTTCCTACACCAACAAAGTTTATTTAGAGATATATTTGCCATTTTTCTGAAATTTTCATCAACACAAATAAAACAGATCTCTTGTGAATATCTGAATTCTCATAATGGACGAAGTTTCTCATTATAGTGAGCAGAAAGGATGTGTGATTGATCTGATATAACTTACTTCTGCTTACTTGATTACTGATTTCCATTTTCACTGTTTTTCTCAGATCTTTTAGATATTCTAACATTAGAACGATGACTTCAGCATTTGCAGTTATGAATCAATGCGTTTCGTGTCGTAAGACTGACGGTATATCACCATGCGATGGATGTAGAAAATCCTTCTGTAATCATCATATTGCTGAACATCGACAACAGCTGAAAAATCAATTGGATACTCTCATTCAAGAACATGACCGTCTCCGACAAGATGTTAACGGCCGTTCAATTCATCATTCGGTTTACGACCAGATCGACAAATGGGAAAAACAAGCTATTGCTAGGATTCAAGCAGTAGCTCAAAAGACTCGAGAAGATTTACAACAGACTTTGCAAAAATCTAATGAACAATTGACAAGCGTATCTCAAGGGATGACAACTAGATTGCGCAGTGTACGTGCAGACGACAAGTTCACCGAAATTGAATTAGATCGATGGACAAAACAACTAAATGCCCTGAAATCGCATATGAAATTTGAGGCAAATATTTACGTCCCTGAAGAAAGTACTTCTGCTATTCATTTCATTAGAATAAAACAAAATGATACTGACAAGACTTCTACAGCGAGTGCAAGAGCGTCAACATCGAACCATCGAGAACGATTCGCAGATATCAATGGTCTAGCAAAACTAGAAGATGGAGGTGCTTGTGTAAGGCATACAGATGCAGACTCAAAATTTATTTATACGCGTGGTGAACGTTTATATTCAGAAGGTCGGCATGTGGTGAGATTTCGTATTGAAAATGGTTCTGCATCTTACAACGTTTTTATCGGTATTTGTTCCTCTAACGTTGGTTTTCGACAAATTATATACAACCTGGCGGTTGTGGCTGGTTGGTTTAGCAATAGTGAAGTATGGGTACATGGGAAAAGTAAAACTAATTCAAAAGTGAAAGAAGCCGAACAAGATGATTTGAGAGCGAACGATGTTTTACAACTGACAATCGATTGTGATAGGAAACAGTTGGAATTATTTCATGAACGAACGAATAAGAATCAAATTCTCAATGTTAATCTAGAGAAAGCACCTCTTCCATGGCATGTTCTTCTAGCACTGCGTCGTCAAAATGATTGCGTACGAATCTTGTCGGATACTTAAATCGATATATTCAATCGATTCTTAAAGATTAGTAGACTTTCTCCAATGCTTTAAGTTCAAATAAACAAAACAGTTTCTTTTCAAGTTTAAACATACATTTATGTGTATATTAAGGAGTATATGGGGTTACTTTTATGTTTTTGTCTTTGTTTTGTATCTTCCCCAACTCACCATTTGCAATCGGTGCAATCTGAATCGGGTTTCGAGTGAATATCTGTTTGATATTTCTCCGAAATGTCGACGAAGCCAATAAATATACATAAAACGTTATCGCATGAGTGCTGAAACCAACCAAGACACAAATTGTGTTTACTAAATTCTCCTGTGCACTACGTAGGGCACTTTTCGGTATCGAACTACTTGATACAGTATAAATCTGCCAAACCATATTCGGAATTGATGTGAGAAGTATCCCAATACTTTGTGCGATTAACATTCGAGTAACCTGATCGTACAAACGAACACCACCACGTAGGTACGTCGCTAGTTGTTGTCCTAAATTTTGCCATGTTAAAAAACAGAAAACCGATAAGACACTCAATGGTAAGATACTATAATGAAATAGATTGAAATACGGTGCGAAGTGAGAAAAAAATGGATCAACAATTGTACAAGACATTGGTGTAGGTGATGTATAGTAGATTGCATAGGTTGAAAATACACCTGACCAAAAACAGATCGAGATTAGTATAGCCCAACGCGCCCGTTTCATTGTTATCCATCTATGACGATTTACATTATGACAAGAGAGGAAATATCGATCGGCGGCTGCTAAACATACGCATGTTAATGAAACTGCACCACCAACAGTTCGAACCATCCACCGAATTTTACATAGAACAACAGAAGTATAGACCGGATCGACACCTGAAAAGCCGCGAACAACACGAGTAAGAAGACCGGTCGTTAGAACGACTTGACTACCAAGGAATGAAGCAAGTAGAAATAATGAACTAGCTAACGTTTTTAAACTTTCCAGACGAGTAAATAAGACAACATTAGTGAGATTTCCAAAAGTACCAAGTACAAATATAGTTAAACCAACGTATCCAAAAAGATATTCGGCGATATTGAGTAATTGAACAGTGTCATTTCGAGCAGTTGCACTCATTATAATTCTTTGAGAAATACAATATTCTTGGAAAAAGAGAAAGTAATGTTTGTACGTTATTAATTTTCGAAGGGTTAGAAGCAATCTCACGAAGAAGCATTCATGCGATTAAGTCTCTCTTAGTGGCTAAACAGAAAAATGAACTAGATCATAATGAACGCGTGTTTATCTTTTCATTCTCTAGATTTTAATTAGAAAAAGGAGGTAATCACGACGGAGTGCTTTCGGGATCGTACAGAACATTCTAGAAAATGTTTCGCAGATGATACGTGTTTAAAATTAATTGCCGCTGCTTCCAGAATTCTTTCTGTCTGTCTCGACTTATTTGCAGCAGAGAAAACTGAAAATATGCAAAAAAGAAAGAGTCTCTCATCTCTTAGGTTAATGACAAATCTCACTCATTGTCTAGGACGGAAGAGAAAATACAACTAATGGCTTTTCCCCGGATGATATCATTGAAATTAATTAATGTGAGGAAAAATGTTATCTGTCAGATAAAAATGAACTTTTGTAACAAAGGTTAAAGTATCTTTTTCCGTCGATGTTGATATGAAAAGGATTACAAAGCTCATGCTTGAGTGCTCTGATAAATTGTTTGTAGCGAATAACTTCTTTCACTTTCGTATTTGTACCGGATATTGCAGAAATGATATGAATATCAAGATCGGAAAATGAGAGGACATGTTGAGAAATGGGTGGAACAGGATGTGGATGATGAAAATTTCTACTCATTTCTTCCTCAACTGATTAACTGAGCTTATAATGAAACAGACGAGACAAGATGAATATCACTGTTTTACTTCTGAAGCTTAAAAATATCATTGCAATAAGTACTTTTAGCTTTATCTATTTAGAAATCAAATTTAGTACTGAATTATTTTCTGTGCTTTGAGGGCCATTTAGAGATGAAATCTTCTTATGACGCATTGAATTTGTCTTTACTGTGTAATTTTTTCCTCAAAAAACAAAGAATAATTTGGATAATAATAAACAAATATTTTCTAAATTCATATACATACACGTTTGAAAGAAAAGTCAACGCTGTCAAGATTCAAAACAAGCTGATTTGATAGATTAACCTATTTCAATAAAAAAAAGAATCTGTGTCATGTGTATATTTCATCAATCTTTAAATGTGATATTGATTTAAGTCACAAGAATCGGGTGTGCATTGGATGAAAAGTTTTTCTTTTGCAGAAATTCTCATTGATCTCATCGCAATTATCGCGCGAATGGTACGAAATAGCTGAAATGATTTTCATTGCTTAACAGTAAATACTGTCGCGATCATCTTTCTTCATTCAAGGGCGAATGCATAATGTCATTTATCAGGTACGACACATTGGGTAGTTATGCGAAAACAATTAAGTGTAAATACGCCTGTTAATATGTGAGGAACATGGTTTTTCTAACAAATTTTTTTTTGAAATGCACGACCTGTTTTAAAAACAGTTTGAGATTGTTGAATCTTCTAATCGATTTGTTTCGTTGATTAGATTTATCCAGAACTTATTCTGCAGCATAAATATCAGACAAATGAAAACTGCAGACGCAAAAAATAACAACAAAGTATGCTTTTCAGAATATTCTCCAAGAAATCGCATTGAGAGAATGTATGTGGTTCTGCGATATTGAACATTCGCAAACCGGTTCTATCGATTCCAATATTTTGTCTAGTCACCCTTTCATATATTTCTGGAATTCCGTAAGGGAACCATCCCCATTTCCTTCACTCTCACTTACTGTCTTATGAAGTAGTGGAATTCTACGAATGAAATTGGTTCGCAAGTGTTCGACATTACGGAATAGAATGTCTGCTTCTTATTTGTTCATTTCAGTTTTTGTCTACAATCACTGCGAGATTATCAACATTGTTTGTGTACACTTGGCTGACCGAGAAAACCTACCGATGGATCACAGCATGTGCTGTTGGTATTATTCTGATCGTATCAGTAATCACTATTCCCTCAGTAATTACATCGATAAACAAGGAAACCAACACACCAACAATAATCACTACGACGACTAGTCCAGCGCAAGGTATCACCCTCCATAGATCAGTGAAATATTCATACATTTGTTTATTGCGCAGATTCATGTCCAACACAAAAAGTGTTTTTTAACCTTATCGATTTGTCATACACAGTAGCTCTCGACATTAATAACGATAGCAAATTAGATTTCATCGTTGGACGAGAGAACAAAATGAATTTTATGATTCTATTCAATACTGACAATAGTACATTCCACAATCCTCAATTGTATGACCTGAATTTCACAATAAGTTTCTTAATGGAGATCAATTTCAACAAGGATAATCAACTCGATATTTTAGCCGTTTACATACCAACCGGCCAGCTATATATTTTGATCAACAATGCAAATGGCACGTTTAGTTTTTTCATGACCATTGAATTGCTTTCAATTATCACAACAATAAGAGTAGCTGATATCAACAACAATGGCATTGATGACATTGTTGCTATATCAAAAGAATATATTAAAATACTTATCAACATTGGCAACGATACATTCGTGAATGTAGCACAATTTAAGCTCGATTTCTCAGTTCATTTGATCGAAGTACATGATATAGATGCGGATGACTATCCTGATATTATTCTTATTGATTCTAATCAGAAGATGATCGTTCTTTTCAATATGAACAATGGAAGTTTCCAGCAGATAAGATATTTCCTTAGTATTGTAAACCGTCATACCATTATAATTGATGCTAATAATGATAATAGAAAGGACATTTTGATGTTTGGTAAAGCTGTCAAAGATTATCTTCTGTCGTTTAATACGAATCCGAGGAGTTTCACTTATCCAATACTGTATCCGATTGATTTGATCTACAGTTTTTCAGTAGTAAGTGATATGAACGATGACGATAGAACGGATATTATCTGGGCAAACAGTGACAATCATCAAATCGGTGTCATTTACAACGAAGAGAGTGGACATTTCATTAACAAAGTTTTATTTCACAATATTCAAGATCCAAGAATATTGTTAATAGCTGATATCAATAATGATCATCGAAAAGACATTGTGGTTTTATGTAAAAGACATCTTGAAATACTATTTATATCTTGCTAATAGAGATGAATATAAAGAATAAAAAAGCTCGACTCGATGAACGCATCTACCTACGGGACACAGTTTAAAAAAAAAGACCATTGCATTACCGGTTCTTAGTTGACGTAATAAGCACTCAGTACACAGCAACGGTTATATTTATCTTTCATCTATCGACTTTCGACGATAAACAACCTGTTAGTAAGTACGTGTTAAGCACAATTGACGTTTACCGCCTAAAAAAGCTTCTTGTGCTACGAAACTTTTCCCGCCTAGCGGTTCCTTCTTCAAATGAATGACGTGAACACTGAGACATACATAAATAGTATTTGCTAAATATAGCGCAGCTCCTGAAAACTACATATATATGGCATATGCGCGCCCACAGTGTATTTCCTGGTGATTGAAATAAATACCAAAGGAAAAAAAGACATTTGACTGCATTTTCTTTCTAGAGAAGCGAACGATAACTTACGTGCTGATTCTCTCTTGATCTACTACTGCTGATTAATATGAGCATCCAGTCGGTATCACATGATAATTTAAGTGTAAGGCTTAAGAATATCTATGGAAAAGCAATTCCATTTTTCAATTCAATTTTCGTTTAGAATTCCTCCGCGTTTGGCGATTTCACCGACGTGATCGGCGAACTAACACCAGAACAACAAGCAGAAAACCAAAGAAGACGACGCAAACGAATTATATGTTTGACGCTGATAGTATTTACGATTGTTTTAGTCACTATCACTCCTGTGATCTATATCTGTTTGGTGAATCCAACTTCAACAACATTAGTTTCATTGGCAACTACACCAGTGACACCAGCAATGAGAAACTTAAGTAAAATTTCAATGATATCTTTCTCTAAACACGACTCTTTCGTTTAGATCATTGCACAGCAACTTCGAAAAATGTTGTTTACTATAATTCATCAGCGCAGTTGACGACGATGTTAACTGCTGATGTAAATGAAGATCATAAAGTGGACATCATTGCTGGAAACAGCATCGGCAAAGGAAATCTTTTGATCTTTTTCAATGTCGACGATAATCAATTCACTAAACCAACAATTTATCACACTGATATTCAACCAATGTTCATAACCATCGGCGACCTAAATTACGACGATAGATTTGATATTGTTCTTACAAATAATCAATCTAAGAGCGTACAAATTTTCTTCAATATGGGCTACGGTAAATTCGATAAGCAATCGATAATTTCCACCAGTATAACCATCGACGGCATCACAATAGTCGACGTTAATCTAGATAAGAAACTTGATATCGTTATTACAAACAAACGCACGAATTCCGTGGTTATGATCATCAATGATGATGATAATATGTTTCGACACCAGATAACATATTCAATCGGATTAAATACCGAATTACTTTCCATAGTTGATATAGATCACGATGGAATGATTGATTTTCTTCTCAGAGAACAAATTGATAATGTCAGTCATGTTTTCGTACGATTCAATGCGGCGAACGGAACTTTTATTAATCAAACAACTTATATTCAAAATGATAATATACAATCGCTTCGAACTGTCGACATGAACGCTGACGATCAAATTGATCTTGTATCAACGGAACGCTCGCCTGAGATCAACGTATACATGAATTCAGGTAATGGTTCGTTCAATCAACCAATAAAACTTTCAACAACATCAACTGAGAATACTTTATCAATTGCCGATATAAACAAAGATAAAAAACTGGATCTTATACTTTCATCACAAATTACTAATCAAATCAGTATTCATATGAACGAAATCAATGGAACGTTTGTTAAACAGATGACTATTCCTGTTACGTTTCATCCGCTATGTACAACTTCAATTGATGGTAATAATCACAATCAAACAGGATTAATTGTTTTAGGCGATCAAACAATTGAATTATTGTCGATAAATTGTATATAGTTCCAAATACGTTGATTTTTCTGTAGATAATTACTCTTCTCTCTCAGTTATTTTTTATATAAAAATTGAAATAAATCTCATTCTTAACTACCGCTAAACAGATAAAGAATAACATATCACTAACTCCCGCGTCATAGCAACATTGTTGAGCGGTATTATCATTTGTTGTTTCACTGATGAATGATAAATAAGATTTCCATTTGATAAGATTAGTATTTCGTATTTATATTTGAATAAAATCGTATTATGTGCGTCGCGAATAGAGTGAAGTCTCGTGTTGCTATAGTTATGTTGATGAATCCATCCTATATTGTATTTAGATAGGCAAAGTAAGGATGTGGACAAAAAGAATTAATCGTCTTGTTATCTGAAATTGATAATAAATATTTTTTTAACGTGGAAATTTTGAAATGACGACTGACGAAAGTCAAATGCAAATAGCCTTATATAAGTATATAATCACCTGTTTTTCAATACGAGCCGACGATACGAGTCCATACCGTAGACATTTCTTCTTCAAATCTTTGCTTGAAAACTATCATCGCTCCTGAGAAACTATGCGAAAACGCGTCGTTATTCCAATTGCTGTTGCTGCTGTAGTCATCATTGCTGTTACTGTTACATTATCGGTGGTGCTAACAAGAAAAAAGGATAACTCAGAAAGCACGTCCCCTTCGGGAATGTTATCGACACCAGAATCTACTACTACTACCACAAAAAGAATATCTGCTGCAACTGTTAGGACGACGACAACAACAACAACACTTGCTAGAATTACAACAACGCCTGCTCGAACTACAACTACAACAACGCCTGCTCGAATTACAACTACAACAACGCCTGATCGAACTACGACTACATCAACAGATGCGGTAGCAACAGACACAGCAACGACGACATCGATATCTATTACGGAAATCGGAACAGCACCAGGTAAGATACATTTAGCATTGATGTAGAGTATGATTCAGTAGGACAGGAAACAAATTGTTAGGCTTTTCCATCATTTTTCAAAAAGTAAACTGAATGACTTTCGTCACATCACTCATATTCTGCTGCTAAAAGTCGACACAATATCTGTTGATAAAGTTTTTCTTATAAAATAAATTCTCCATTCTAGCATTTTGCCTTCAACAAGTATTTTCTTACGCAAATTACTCTTTACTTAACTTCCAAACGTCTCTAGTGGTTACTGATATAAATGGCGATAACTATGATGACATCATTGTGTCCAATGTTATCGGAAACAGCATTGCAGTTTTTATGAACATGGGTGGTGGCGTCTTCTCGAATGAGACTGTTTACAGCACTACTGTTGCGCCAGGTTCATTGATCGTGGATGATATCAATAACGATCAATATCTGGACATCATTATTGTAGATTCATTTAACAACGAAGTCGAACTACATCTTGGTGAAGCTGATGGTGGTTTTTCATCTGGGCAAATTGTATCGATTCGCTCACGTCCGAATGATGTCATAGTCGCTACCGTTTTGAATAGCAATAACAAAGAAATGATCGTCATTTATGACAACCATAACGTAACTGATATTTACTATAGTAGTGGCATGAGTACATTCTCCAATTATACAACATTTCTCACTGGTGATGACACTCTTCGTATTCAAGCGGTCGATATAACTAATGATGCGAAAGTAGATCTTGTTATTACTCATACAACGGGTACTATTGGCGTGCTGGTGAATAATGGTGACGATACTTTCACATATGAGACTCTTTTCAAAGCTAGCATTACTCCACGGGATTTTCAAGTTGCTGACATGAACAATGATGGTCAACCTGACATGATCTATACAGATTATTCAGATGGTTATTATATTTTATACAATCGAGGTTATGGTTCGCGACCGCAAGAACTTTGGTACAGTGTCAATGCTAAGATAAACTCTTTCAATGTCACAGATATGAACAATGACAACAGATTGGATATTATATTAGTACATAGTGATGATCGAACAGTTGGCATTGAATATAATCAAGGAAATGAACGATTTGTTTATCAACCTATTCAACTTCAATTGCTCTCGCTGAATGATTCTACTCCGATAGCTCGTGCAACAGCAGTTGATATTGATAACGATCGCAACAAAGAACTTATTGTGATGAGTGACAAAGAAATTATCATATATTCCTTAAAATGCCAATAATAACAGGCATTTACCAAAGAATTTTTCGTAAATCTATTCGTGATTGTTTTGCACTATTTTCTCAACTTTTTTTATTCTCATCTAATAAAATCAAGAAATCCGGATCATAATTTATATTTATTTGATTTGTAACTTGAGAGAAAATAAGATCTGTTATTTTCTATCGTTCGAACGCGTAAACGTCAATTCAGCACCGACAAAAAACATTCAAACCAAGTTCTTCGCATTATGTGCTACATAACAAATCTAACGTTAACGATAGTTGAACCAAAACGTTGACCCCATTCCGTTCCTAGCACTCACTTTGATTGATTTTTTCCTTTTCCATGGTGCAAATATTTCTTCATTTGAGAGTTGCGAATCTAACCTATTTTTTTATCTTCTGAATATCATGATCTTAGTGCCCTATCATACGTGTTTAAAAGGCAAATTCATTCTTTCGACCATTTGAATCATTCTATCAGTTCAACAAAGGAACGAAGAAAGAAAAAGTGAAGGATAGGCATATGATATTATCTTTGTTTACAGATAATATATATATACGAAGGTAAAACAAGCACACATGTGCACCTATTTCTTCTAGTCGAAACGTAGAGCAAAAGAAAAAGGCAAAAACGAAGAGAAGTAGATGAAATTGATAAGAAATCGCAAAAGAGAGTGAGAAGAAAAAGAATATTTTTCTCGAACTACAATCAACACGTTATTCAATCAACCATCACCAATGAATAATGCAATCGCTAAGTAAGATTTCATTTCTTAATGCAACAATGTCTGCGTCATTGGTCTCCTCGGTTTTAAACAGAGTAACAAGTGGAAGCAAACGGGATGCAATGCCTTTACTTGATATTTCCCTTGAAGAGTCAATTGTTGATACAAATCCAGCTGAGATCCCAGCGATTCGCATCGAACAACCATCAACTGCAACAGCGAATGGAAATTGTACATATGATCCCGCAACACATCTGCGTGCGAAACTAAGGTATTTTTTCATGTCGCCATGCTGGAAATGGCATTTAAAACGACAATTCCCTTGGAAAGCTTGGTTTCAATTTGTAAAAATCATTATTGTCACTGCTCAGGTAAGTCAAGATAAGAAAGAGATTGGATTGATCGGTATGTTTTTTGTTTAGTTAATATTGTTTGGTATCGAAAGACAAACTCATGTGGTATTTATATCCGAAAGCAATACGACATTCCATCATTTATTCGTACGTGATTGGAGCTCAAGTCTCGAAACATTACCATACCCACGTGCATCAGGAGACTTTGCTGTTTATACCGCGAGTGAATTCCTTGATTCGATTAATTATCCTATTCGTCGTGTAAGAAAGCAGAACTTGTTGAAAATGCATGAATCTTCATTGAAATTTTCGTTTAGTTTTACAATCTAACTGATATATCATTAGGTTTGTTCGATTTTCACGATCATTCTGTGCAAAAACCGTTCACGACGGACAATGATACCAGTGAACGGTTTGTTACTTTATGTATGAATCAATTTAAAACCTGCCGCATTGATCCAAGCTCCCATGCATATATTTTGGACAGCGAGGTTGAAAATGGTAAGACGCATCTCTTTCGAAATCGTTCTCATAAGAATATATTTGCTCCTAGTTTGTTTTACATTCAATGCAACTGTTGATTTCGATGTGGAAAAGTATCTGACCGATGAGCATAATACAACGATCAGCTACTGTGGATTGAACGAGTTAACACTTGAATTTGTTATTCATGCAATTCAGTTAAAAAATCAGAAACCTTTTAGTCTGCCGGATTGTTATCATTTTCTAATCAAAGTAAATACTCACTGGGAACATGCAGCAAAGTTCTGTGTATGCTTTTAGATTACCTTTGATAACAATGCGCGAACAGGTAAAATTCGTCAACATTTGAATTCGCAAGCACACTTTCGTACCTGTAATCGACAACTTATCAATCACCATTCAAGTTGGACGTTTATTCGTCGAGATTTGTTAATTATATTCGATAGTATCGTACTATTTATCAGTACTATTTCGCTCATTCTTTGCGTCAGATCGTTGTGGCATGGTCACTGCTTATGTAAAGAAATCCGCTTGTTCTACGCAACAGAACGCAACCGTGAGAAACCATTGACATGGAGAGAATTGCAAGTTTTCTATTCATTATGGTACTTTCTGATGGTGCTAACTGATCTAATGGTCATTGCGGGAACGGCGATTAAGGTGGCCATTCTATGTAAAGTAAGTGAAAAGAAAGTGTCGCTCTGTGAAAAATCATCGCAGTCGTTAGGCCACGGATGAATATGATGCTGCTGGTTTACTACTTGGCTTAAGCAGTCTCTTCTCTTGGATAAGTTTTCTTCGATATTTATCATTTTTTCGTAAATACAATGTAAGTTATTGACGGCTCTCTCGCACAATTAAGATCTTCTGTTCTACTTAGCTACTATTTATTACAATTCAAAAGGCTCTACCACTATTACTTCGTTTTCTCTTTTGTGCAATTATTATCTATTGTGGCTTTATGTTTTGTGGATGGATTGTCTTAGGTCCGTATCATTCGAAATTTCGAACACTATCAACAACCTGTGAAACAGTTTTTGGATTAATTAATGGTGATGATATGTACACAACATTCGCTAATATTGAAACTGAATCAATTTATATTTGGGTTTTCTCAGAGATTTACTTGTATTCATTTTCATTTCTATTTATTTACGTTGTTTCCAGTTTAATTATTGCATTGATTATTGATGGATATGAAACAGTGAAGGTAAACCGAATAAATCATAGATTGTGAGGTGTGTACGCAGGACATGTTGTCGTTTTATTTCAGGAGTATTACACTTGTGGTTTTCCTAAAAGTCGTTTACAAAAATTCAGTGAAGAAGATATTTCCGAACTAGCCAATAATCAGGATTGGCAGGATTTAACAACAGCTATACAATCACGATCAGTTTGCTTACCGTGCTGTTTCAAAGCGTAAGTAATAAATCGAGCAGTTCGTTCCAAATCCTTCATTTTTCTCTCAGTCCGAAAGAACTTGCAGAAATAGCAGCAAGAGATACACAGCTCATTCACCATCTAAGAACACTTGAATAAGTTCAAAAGGTCTAACCAGGTATGATACTTAGAAACATGCTGCTATGCTCACGCTTTGCTTCGACTATAAAATCAACTGTTACTTTTCATGATTTATTTTAGTGTTTGATATTGACAATCGAATGTGCGTTATTTTGCCAATACTTTTGTTCCTCGCCAAAAAAAACATGCATTTCGTTAGATACATATAATATTTTTGCGTAATTTTTTAATCCTCGTCTTCTTCTCTAATATATTATATAAATCGTAATCAAATTGAAAATAACTCATCGACACGATATATAACAGAGATATACTCACAGATGTTATCGAATTTGAAAGTTTATATCAATAAGTTCGATTAGACTAAATGATTTATGTGTTGGAGTATGATATCTATTTTCTTAACAGCTTGTTGATAGTTTTATTACCGTTGCCAGATGTTGAGAAAATACCTTGTCGCCAATTTCAATACTCAATAGTTTATTTCGCATTATGCACTTCTCAAACCATGATTGACAATACTGAACATGTTTTTATCATCTTCGATCACAACAACTACATTAAATCTGATATTACTTCATTTGTATCGTATTGGTGGTCCATTATTGATCCTTATTGGGACAATTGGTAGTACAATGATGATAATTTTATTCACACGAAAAGCGTTTTGTCAATATCCTTCGTCAATCTATATCATTTCTCGAAATATCTCAAATCTCTGCTTTATTTACTTCTCGATCCTTTATGAAACATTAGTTGTTGGTTACAGCATCGCGCTTAGCTCAACAAATCTGGCTTATTGTCGTTTCAGTTGCTATACAACTCTTGTCTTCGATATTTTGAGTCCGTTTTATTTACTTTTAGCGCTAATTGATCGATATCTAGTCACATCAGTCAATGTTAATATTCGTAAATATAGCACACATCGTCTTGCTTGTCCCTTATCGATTTGTATATTGATATTTTGGCTGCTATTTCATATTCACGCATTGTTCAATTCGAAAATTATTCAAACAGAATCAGAATTTACCTACTGTTACTATCAACCTGGTCTTTATTCGACTTTCATCACGTATTACTCGTTGATAAGCAAAGGAATTCTCGCTCCACTGTCACTCATATATTTCGGATTGCAAATTGTGAGAAACTATCGGCGTCGTTCTCATCAAGTATCGATATCCAGTTCAACTGTTGATAAAAATCATTTCTCATCAACCGTACGATGCCGAGATCGTGCAACTGTTTTAATCTTACTGAAGGATATTCTCATGTATATCTTATTTAGTTCAATCATGTCGATTTATTTCATGTATGAATTAATAACGGAGCATCAAGCGAAAAATCTTGAACAGAGAGACATTGAATACATCATTCGATATTTGGGGATCTTTTGTGTTTGTATTCCGTTTTGTATTGGCTTCTATACGAATCTGCTGATTTCAAAAACATTTCGACGCGAAGTGAGGAATTTGATGTGTATTCATCGTAGAAAATGATCAGATTAACACATTCTATTGTAAATCCGGTAAATTGAAATGTTTTATTCAAATAAAAAAAAAATAAGTGAAATACATGAGAGGTGGAATATCTTCATATCGATAAAATCTTATGTGGTAAGAAGTGAAGATGAAGAAATCATTTTCGATTGTGCTATGAAAGCGTTTAAAAAAAAACTAACGAGAGTTTTTTTGGGATCAATAAAAGCCAAACAACACGAATCTCTTCTTGTAGTCTACATGGAGACGGGAAGAGACAGAATAGTTAAAAAATTTTGCCATTACAATCTTACCTGTTGTCATAAGTTACTTGAAGAAATATATTCATGCTATCTATGAAAGAAAGTGAGACCTCGAGTGAATAATATAGTTTGCTATTGGCTTTTGAAGTAGACGCACATTTCGTTTTAAAATCAAAGTCTTGCTTATCGCAATTCAGCATATCTCGAGTCGAAACTAACCATGGATGGGCAAGTCAGCGATAATAAAGAAAACATCACTCTAATCTGGTTCGATCCCACGATTGGCTCGCACGAAGACCATGAACGAACAAAACAGCGACTTCGTGAAATCAATGATTATGTTGTGTTTCATCTTGAACCGGACCAATGCATCGCATATATTCAAACAATTAGTAAAGAAAAGGTCTTTTTGGTTACTTCTGGCGCACATGCATTAGAATTATTAAAACAAGTGCATGAATTACCTCAAGTAGATTCAATATTTGTCTTTTGCATGAAGAAACCTAAATACGAATATCTTCCCGACACGTATCCGAAAATTGTTGATGTTTTTACAGATCGTGCTTCGTTGTGTGCATCGATTCTGAAGCAAGTCAGTCTTCTGAATAAGCAACTAGCAGCGTTCAGCTTCTTCGATCAAAATCAGCGAGCGATTAAAGATCTGTCAAAGCGATCCGCCGAATTTCTTTGGTTTAAACTCTTCAACGATGTGATTCTGCGTTTGCCTCACAGTTTAGAGGCTAAACAAGAAATGATCGATGCATGTCGTCATTATTATCGTGGCAATTTCAAAGAACAGACGCTGATCGATGAGTTTGAAAGAGATTATCAGCCCGAACAAGCAATTAGATGGTATTCGAAACAGTCGTTCGTCTATAAACTGATCAATAAAGCTTTGCGCAGTGAAGATATCGATAATCTACATACATTTCGTTACTTTATCGGTGATCTTTCGAATAGTCTCAAGCGTGAACGTGACAAATTTGAACATTCAGGAGAGACTTCATTAACTGTCTACCGTGGAGCGTACTTAACGAAGAAAGATTTCGATGATATCCGAGACAATGAGGGAAAGCTCATTTCTACAAACGGATTTCTGTCCACAAGTCGATCACGTGAACGAGCACTAAGATTTGCTCAGCAGACTACGAAACGTACTGATGTAGTGCCAGTACTCTATGTTATTCAATGTCCAGTGCGAGAACTAGATGAAAGCTTTGTCTTTGCCGATATTACGAAGTTGAGTGTGTATCCTGTAGAACAAGAAGTGTTGTTTGATCTCAGTGCTGCCTTTAAAATTAATAGTGTGCAGAAAGATGGAGCAATATGGATAATAAACTTGACCGCATCTAACGAAGCATATTCAATCGTCAAAGAATACTTACAGTTACAACGAAAAGAAATACAAGAGAAAAGTGCAGCCATATTGCTTGGCAGATTGATGTGTAATATGGGTCAATATGATAAATCATTGCAATACTTTCGGAAATTATTAGCTGATCCTAATGGAGAAGACGTTGCATGGATTGAATTCAACATTGGTCGAGCTTTCGTTTGGAAATGCGATTGGCTTGCTGCAAGAGAGTGTTTCGATAAGGTCTATGCCCGAATGATGCAGAATAGACCACCACGCGTTAAAGACTCGGCAGCTGTTCTTCGTAGCATCGGCGTCACCTTGTATAGACAAGGTGTATATGATGAAGCTCTCAAGTATTATCGACAAGCACTTGCCATACAGAAAGAATTCTATCCAGATGGTCATAGCGATACGGCTTGGATTCTCAACTGTATAGGTTCTGTCTTTCGAGCTCAAAACAAATATGATAAGGCTCTGAAGTATTATCAACGTGCGCTTTCAATGCAAAAGAGATTTTTGCCATCCGATCATGTAGATATTGCCTGGAATTTGAACAACATCGGCTCTATCTTCCAGGACCAAGAAAAGTATGAAGATGCACTAAACCATCATCAGTGTGCGCTCAACATCCAACAAAAAATATATCCTGATGGCCATGCCGGCACTGCTTATAGTCTCGCCAGCATTGCTGCTATTATTCTAGAGACGGAAGATTACGAAAAATCTCTTGATCTTTATCACCGAGCATTTAATATGCAACTAAAGTTCTACTCGGCCGGGCACGTCGATGTTGCTCGCAGTCTTCATGGTATTGGTCTTGTTTATTTCCGACAACAGCAATACGATCGTGCTCGGGAATATTTCGAGAAGTCATTGGAAATGAGGGAACGGTTTTTACCATCAGATCATTTGCAAATTGCAGAAAGTCTTACGGCAATCGGAAACACCGATAAAGAGCTTCACGATACAAAAGCAGCATTAAAAGACTACGAACGTGCTTTGGCGATCTATAGAAAAACCGTTCCTCGGACACATCCTGATCGAGAAAAAACTGAAGAATGCGTTCGTCGACTTCGCCGCAGCAATTAAAATGTTTCAATTGTACAACAGATTTTCTACACCGAATAAAATCATAATTGTCATAAAAAGTAGATCTTTTTTTCGCTTCATACTCTGTATGCAAAGTAAAATTATCATTGATGAAATGGATCGCCACCGTTTAGGAGTCTATTCTTCGAGCATATTGCAAGATTAATATATCAGTACGACACGAGGCAATCATGACCGCGCATCTGTCATTGAAAAAACACAGAGAACTTGTCATGTTATCATCAACGACTGAAACAACACTTATCGTCATTCGGACTTAGTTTCATTCGTGGTTTCTCCGAATGACACCTGATGACGTGTGTATGATGGTGCAATTACGTGAAACATAAGATAAATTCTAAAGAAGTTGCTATTTGTATTTTAAAAAGTTTCCAGAATGATAAATCTTTTTCGGTCACGTCTTCCGCCACAACTAATGCCATCTCAGATAACTCGTCTGTCCGAGCAATCGAAACTATCATTCGAAGAAGTACAAGAATGGCATGATCGGTTTCTTCTTTGTTATCCTTATGGTTACGTTTCATTCGAAGAATTTCATATCTATTTGAAACGGTTACATATTTATAATGGAAATTACTCGTACCAGCATGAACAGATACCTAAGAGGATAGTTAAGCAATTGTTCTACAAGTTCAAAACCAGTGGAAGTAGGAGATTAAATTTCGAAGAATTCTTTCGTTGCAATATGCTTATTGCTGAAGAATCAAATGAAATCAAATTGACATTTCTTTTGAAATTATTCGATCAAGAAAAGAAGTATTATTATTATTCTCGAAAAGATATCCATCAAATTTTCACGACAATGTTTCATCTGTTCAATATATCTCCATCAAATGATGATTTACTCCAAAGAATTGATACTATTCTTACGCGTCTTCATCTACACGATTCAAATGTGAAGATATGCTGGAATACATTTTGTGTATCTATACTCAATCAATCATCATTATTCGAATTGTTAATATCGTCACCAGATGAAGACTCCTGTGAGATCTTTATCACCCATTTGTAAATAAATTAGTATAATCAATACGTTTCTGTTGATATTCCTAGATTTATTTGAAGAAGTTTTCTTCAACATTTACGGATGACTAGCACGTATAATAAATTCCCTCAGTTTCTGTCGAAAATCCGCGTCACTTGGACAATAATGTCCTCCTTTATGTGTATAGAATTCTGCTAATGACGGATTAAAATATTTGCATACTTCTTCACTCATCTCCCGTGTAATCAGAGTATCATTCAGTCCAGAGACGTGTAGCGTAGGAAGTTGATCTGGTTGCTGATTTAATGCTTCTAAATTCGCCTTCACAGTTGCATCGTTAATCGGAGGACAGCCGACAAAAATAATGAATTTAACGCAACTCGGAAGTGTAGGCCACTGAGGTATATTTAACATCATAGTAACACAAACAATTGCACCTTGAGAAAATCCTAATAAACCATCAAATGGGCCATTGCTATTGATATAATTAATGACGTATTCAATGCTTTCTTTGTTCGTATCGTAGTGATAGGATGTTACGTCCCATTCTGGTCTATATGAAAACCATTGATACCGTGGTTCGTTGGTTGCGTCACTCGGTGATTTCAAAAATCCATAATTAACAAACTGAAATGGAGCATCGATGAAAACAAATTCAATCTCTTTCATAGATCGAGCTAAATTGCGCATTTGATATTGACGATTCTGAGCACTATCGTAAAAGCCATGTAAAACTAAGATTCGAGTTTTCGTTGGTCCCGTGTTAGTCGCCATATTTCATCTAAATTTCGCAAAACGATGGCAGGCAGAGAAAGACAAACGGTGTCTTCATTCGTTCGAGGAGAATATCCAGTGAGAATCATTATTTGTACATGTCGCTATGTGACGCAGTTCGAATTGAATACAAACTTTTTTGTTGTGACGTGCGAAAAGTATGATGCCTTCTTTTTTGGTGTTTGGATATCTTTAAAATAAAAATATGAATATAGACTATTGCTATGTATTCTTCAGAATATCAAGGTCTTCTCTCAATAAACAGTACCCGATCTGGCTCATGGATATGATTGAAACAAAAGAAAACCCAGTCTGTAGAAATGAAGCCAAACATTCGATAAAAATTGATTATGTTCGGAAGACAACAACAAAAAAAAGCAATTTTTAAATAACTAGTCGAACGCCAGGGAATAAATATCTGTGATTCAATATTTCGATTTGTTTCATTTCGAGTATTCAACATGTAAGTAACGGACAAAAGAAATATTCTTTCCAAATTCGTATATTTAGAACAATGACTACCGCATCTGACAATCTATCCATAGTGTGGACTGAAGAATCGGTTTCAAGTTCATTTGATACAAATTCATATTCGGCAACAAGTAACAATACAACGAAAGAACGACTCTCATCATCCAAGTAAAATCTCGGATGTTTGTGTTCAATCATACTATTTACTGTATATTTTCAGACGAACACGATATATGTTGCTAATCATGATTGCTATAGTCGTATTGATGATAGTCGCGATAGTAGTTGCTGCACTTTCATTTCTTTACATGAATAAAGTATCTACAACTGAACCAACGATAGTAGCAAACGATAATCTAACAGGTATTAATAGTTTCTATTTATTTTCCGTCGTTGATTTCAAAACCTTACTAACCTTTTCAGCATCAGCATATAGTCGAGCGCCAATCATATACGAAGTCGGCGAAGGCGGTGAAAGTGGCCATTCACCATGCACATCGTATACAGCCATCGACGATCCACTACGCAACGTAGCTGCACCATCAATAGGAAGCGCTTGCGATACAGGGCCTTTTTTTAACACAAGTATCGGTGGACGATGGATTAGATTCGTTGGTACTGGTGGCACCATGATACCTGTAACATCGGTAGGAACTCAACATTGTGGTGCCTATCTAACAGCTTGGATCAATGGAACGTTACCAACCACATCCAATGTAATTGTCAATTCAACAGTATGCATAGATAGTCTCATAGGTACATGTCTAGTATCACTACCAGTATCACTTATCAAATGCAACAATTTCTATGTCTACTTTCTACCACCCCTTCCATTCTGTAATGCACGTTACTGTACAGTTTAAAATGATTTGAACCATAAATTATGTTTTAAAAGTTTCAACAAATATTTTTGATTCGGAATAAAAATCGCCCATCAGTTATTTTAAACAAAACAGATCTGCCAAGGTTACATATATTACGTGGAAGGAAAAGAAAATAAAGCCATTTTGTTTTTTGCTTTCTGTAAGAAAAAAAAACACAATCACATAATTTTGATTCCACACTTAGTTCTTTCACATAGTAGAATTATTGACACGAGAGAATCAAATCAAATCAAATCAAACAATAATCTATGCATTATTCGAACGGTTTTGCTGACGGATAGTACGTGAATCATGATATGTAAATTATTTTGTTTCATAATGTTATATCGTGAGTAGGATGATACATAACGGAATATATTTCACTGTTTTCGTCATGAAATAGTCATTCCTTTTTATCATACGTTACGATGCTATTCTTGTCGCGGAGAGAAACGATGTGAACTTTTATTATCATCAACGACTGTGAAATTAGTCTATGGAGATGATTTTTATGATTCATGTTCTGTGAGTAGAAGTTTAGTCAGAGATGGAAGAAAATAACGAATTCTATTCAATAGATAACAAGGAATGTCAATGGTTCAATCATTCGAGATATTGTACCGTCATATCGTTGTCAAAGTTCACCATCCCAATTCTGTTGTAATCAAGATCTGTGTAATTCACTTTCATCGCCGCCACTACCAGCCTTGACAAAGCTTACATGTACCATCAGTATCTGCCCACCGCATAGTAGTACATGCAATCAGACGATCGTCTATCGAGGCAGTGCAACTCAATCATGTGTCGTAAGTAGAGACCTGATTAGAGCTGTAATTAAAGATATATACGGTTTAGACAAGATATGGTAAATTTACGTATAAATCATATCAAACAGGGTGCTTGTCCAATGCTACCACATCTCTTAATGCATCATGTTGTTATTCTCCTGGATGTAATAACCAAATTCTTACTCGAAATGAAGCAAGATACTGTTATACATGTGATTCACGGATAACTGGTTTGAAAGGTTGTGACATTCTGAATACATCAAGTCCTTTTGTCTACAATTCGATATCGTCCGATCCATCAGAATCGTGTGCAGTAAGTGCAACAACCACTTGATTTATATGACATATATATGTATCCGCTTTTTGCCAGATGATTATTGGTCTATCAGGAAAGGATTTTGTTACAGGACAAAACTACCCTGCTTTTACAATACGGACTTTTATCAGTAATTGTACGAATCAATCATCAGGTGATGTGACGTATGGCGGAATTCGATTCCAAGGTCGTATCGATTGCTGTTCAACTGCGCTCTGTAACACAGACCGTAAGTTTCATTGAAAACCTTCCCAAAACTTCGGTGACTCTGTCCTTTCATTTAGCCTTATATATAAATATAACTATTCCATTAAACATAACACGCGCTACCAATCGTATTTTGAAAGTGACGATATTTATCACAATCTTCATTCTCGGCATTGGCTTTGTTATAATTGGCATGGCTATATCTATATATCGATTTATACTTAAAAACTCTCTTCATCGTTATCTGCCAATTGTTCGAAGTGGTTGAAATACTGCCCTCTTCTTCTTGTGACATGGTACGTCTTTATTCAACTGTCTTTCAGCAAATTTATAATAAGAAGGAAAACGAATTCATTTTTTCATAAGAACTAATCTACTAAAATGATACCCTCAGAAGAAGAAAAATAATTATATTGCATTTTTTCAAATTCATACGTCATCAACTATTCGGGGAAAAAAAGAATTTGTTCTTTCTAAAAGAAAACTTTGAAGTTTATATATTCAGTAAACAATCATAATTAATATCACGAAAAATATGATTGTATCTCATTCATAAATGGACCGGGCACGACTTGTCCAGTTTGTGGATCGCCGTATCCTTGAACAAAGCTTGTTCGATTGATCGCTGGTTGTCCGATGCATTTGCCACGAACAGTTATTGAATATTCAGTATATTTATTTTCGCCATTCATTGTTAATGAAAGCTTTTCTACGTTCGGATCGACAATGAAATGTACGACAGTAACACGAATGCCACTACCATCGATCAGTGATGGATCCGATTGACGATTAGGATAGATTATATCCCACGATAGATTAACCTAATAAACAACATTCCATTTTGAAAAGAGAAATTGCCGATTAGCCCACCCCCCCCCCCCCCCCCCCCAACCCACCTGAGTTGCAGCGCCATTGAATACACCGAACCATAACTGTGGAGAGATATTTCCCGCATTGTATTGTATTGAAGGACCATCGGTTCGTTGTTGGCACACTGCAGTATCCGCATCTTCACAATAACGTGTATTACCTGCACAACTCCACCAGTAATAATATTCACCACCATAGCCAGGACCTTTTAGAGTGACTGGCCACTGTGGAACCAAATTAGTGATATCATAAACAGAACCATTTCCGTATGCACGACATGGATTTTTCCGGTCAATTAGTAATAAACTGCCTGAACAAATATTCATCAAACATATGCTCAAAACAATGGTCGATATTTTTATCATGACTCGATTCAAATAAGAGTGAAAAACAAAAGAATAAAGATAAGAGTTACATTGTTGATTGCTCTTATCGAAAACATGTCACTATATCTGCTTTTACTGGCTGATTATTTCGAGAGAGAAGAGTGTTAACATAATTCATATTTGTTAACATGAAATCGTATTAAGTCGTTTTTTCGATCAAAAAAACATAATTTCGTTAATGGAATAAATCGAAAAAGAGCAAATATGTCAATAGTTAACATAATTTTTTCAGAACATTTATTTGTACTATTAAAATGAAGTAACAAAAGAAGTTTAGTCAACGAATTCAAGGACAAAGGTAAATTCGATCGTTTATCGAAATGTTCTACCAAGGATTCAGTTGATGTCGACATTCTTAACGGATTCGTGCTGACAGTTCGACTTCATTTGACTGAGAATAACGAAGCATAATAATATTCCAATCTACTATCGTTCACACAGATGCCTGTCACTAGTCAAGCGAAAGTGGCACCCTACTCTCATCGTATAACTAGTTTTGAAAAAAATGACGACGAATATCCATGGGATCAGCGGTATGTATGAAAAAACGGCTTGTCTTCCTCGGGTGTATCATGATCTGTTGTTCTGTCTCCAGGCGGCGAAATCGACCTAAATCGTTAGCAACATGTTGCACACGCCCTTGCGCATGTTTTGGTGGATTGATCCTATTGCTGCTACTTTGCCTGGCTATTGGAATTCCAGTCTTAAGTAGTATTATTGATGCAACAACAACAACAACTACTACTACAACTACTACCACTACGACAACGACGTCAACGTCAACGTCAACGACAACCAGCAGTAGTAGTACAAGTAGTACAAGCACTACAACGAAAACCACAACAACAACTACCATCAGTAGTGAGTAAAGTGGAAGCGTGCTACAGACAGATATGCGTGCCTATCATTTATTCTCTTAGAAATCCCTTGTTCACCTACTTGTAATGCTGAGCAACTATGTGTGCTGGGCAAATGTGTAGGTATTGGATATTTATCTTTCACTTTGACATGGTCTCGGAATGGAGATGGAGATTTGGTCGTCAAAACACCAAATGGCAAAGTCATTTGTTTTAATAATACAGGCCCATCACCAGCCACTGATCAAGGAAGATTAGATGTAGACGACCAAACTGGAACAGGACCTGAAAATATTTTCTGGTCCAATTCGGGATCCAAGCCACCAACTGGCATCTATCATGCTTGCTTTGAACCATATAATTTTAATCCAAATATTACTAATCTCAGTCCTATCTCTGTAACACTGAATATCAAGGGATCGAATAATACGTTCAGTACTACGGTGAATTTTACATCTACAATCAAAAATAAATATGATTGTAATGCGAATGCGCCAAATCTTCTTGCTTCCTATACTTACCCATAACTCTTCTTAATGTGTACAAACGAATCAGTCGTATTTGTGTTATGTTTATTTATATGAATTGTTCTGTCACGATGTAAATTTTATAAGAAACCGTTTAAAAAATCATGTATGTATCTTCATTCAGTAATACAAGAACAGGAAAAGCTCGACAAAAAAACAAGATTTACAGTTTGAAATCTTTGAAACTTTATATGAGCGTCTTGTTTAGCTAGCGAATCGAGAATTTACCACCCACCCAGGGGGAATACAATGTCCCTTTCTGACATGTATGTTGCTGCTCGAGACACAAGCGACACACATTCGTCTATTTATTTAAACTAATGCAATTGGAATATGAACAGCACCATACACAGAATAAGAAAGAAAAATGTACGTAACTTAATTGGTTACTTGTGTTCGTTAAACGATAACAGTGCGTTTATGATTCATCATGAGAACAGTGTTTGCTCAATTTGTTTCTTAGCAAATATTTTTTTCGTTTGGAAGATAATGAAGGAAATGCATAACAAAAAAGAAACATAGATGAATCTTTCAATATTTAACTAAGAGATGATAATTTTGCTCCAGTTCGTTTATTCGAAGGACTTTTCTCTCTTTTCTCTTGTTCTTATCAACGACAACGTCCATTCAGGTGACGAACAGAATGAAACACATGACATGATATATGTAGTGTGAATATGGCCTGATCCAGTTTAGATCGAGTTGAATACAAAATATGTGTGCAATGACGCAAGATAATGACAAACCAGACCTTTCCCAAAGATATACATCCAAAGGAAAAATCCTTCTAATTATCCTTAGTCTATCCGTCCTGACCATTGCTTTGGTGTATCAACCGTTACCAGAAAATTTTCCGCAACCATGGAAATATCGATTTCTTTCATTTGGAGCACATCTATTTTCTAAACTAGTACGACATTCGATTGGACTTCAAATATTGACTTATTTCTATGTTTTTTATTTGTAGGGCTATCTAGGCGAACAAGTAAACTTATTTGATCGTATTCATGTTCTCCGTTTTCTTTATTATACATTCGTTGGTTGTTTTAAAATACGAAATCCTGAACACCATTTACAAGTAAACAGAAAACATGAGCGGAACTGTTCTCGATGCTGACTGGAATCTATTTTTTCTCTCTAGATTTACGATAGGAAAATACTCAATGTGAGCGTTCGAATATTTGAACCGGAAGAATTAGCAAATGTTGATCAAATGCCAACGATCATTCATTTTCATGGCGGAGGTTTTCTTCTAGGCTGTCGAGATACCTATGATCAAGTGACGTATGCATTAGCAAATTTAACGCGTGCCCTTGTCATATCAGTAGAGTAAGGACGAAACCCAAGAGTTCTTTGTTAAAATCAGGAATTTCAATACTATTTCAGATATCGCCGAGTACCAGAACATTATTTCCCTGCTGCATTCGACGACTGTAAATTAGTAGCGTATGAATTATTTCAAAATGCTTTAAAATACCGTATCGATGTCAATCGAATAGCATTGGCAGGAGATTCAGCAGGAGGAAATTTAGCTTTGGTCATCACTCAATCATTAATTAGAGATGGTTTCAATCCTCGTACTGCATGTCTTATCTATCCTGCTCTACAATTTTTCGATTTTACTTTACCATCATACCGTTTGTACTTACCGCGGAACATTCTCGGTGTCATCAATGAAGAAAACTTTCTTTCCGTCATGTCAGAATTGAGCGAAAGCAAAGTTAAAGTCACACGTGATATTCTTTTCAATAATCATACATCAGCCGAAGATAAGAGACGCTTACGTCCATATGTAAATGCTGGAAAACATCTACCGATATCGCTTCCATTTGATACCGATGCAGAAGGAAACGAAAATTTAGTTAAAAATTTAAATTTTCTTATTTCACCGAAAATGTCACCATTGTTGGTATCAGATGAAGAATTGATGCAATTACCACCGATTATACTTTTTACAACTGAATTCGATATACTCAGAGATGAAGGTAAAGACGAGAAATTATTTAATATCAAGTTTCATCTATTCTTTCGTAGGTTTTATCCTCGCCGAACGTTTGAAATCTTTGAATAAAACTCTTTATCATCACCATTTTCCTGCGACGTTTCACGGTGCACATCTTTTACTCTACGGTCCATTGAAATTCGATATTGCCTATGAAATGGTCGAACATATATCGAGAAAAATACGCGAAAATCTTTAATTAATCTTTTTCCCTCTCTAGTTCCTTTCAAAAGTAGATATGCATTTCATCCGTTTTCTTTATCGATGCCTTCACTTCCAGTGAATAAGAATTTTTTCTATTTTTCTATTGCGATAATCAAAATGATCATGTCTATCTGCTTTCACTTACATGTTTCTCTATCTTTTGAACAATAAATATCAACCATGAAATTATTTGCATACATTATTTCAGTACATTTTGGAAAATATGAAAAATTATCAGTTCTAATGTATAGTAGTTGATTTTAATGCATATCCGAACATGGTGATTGTCACGAAAGTACCAATCGCCAGGGTATAGCTCACTCCTGTGCAAAATTGGCGAAGTGTCGAGTGACAAAAGAGATTTTTCCCATTTATGTAATAATATGTTGTGTCTTTTGTTGATGTTGCATTTATCCATGATACACCCTGGAAGAAAAAGTAGCATTTGAATAGAACGTAATTCTTTCGATGTGGATACGTACTACTATACTCCAAATGGCACCGAAACATAATAATATAACGATTCCTGCGATGCAAAAAGTGAAGATATAACGTCGTCGATGATTATCTCGATCGATGCATCTTTCGATCGCCTAAGAAATAGGTGGGCACAAAGAGAAAGTCAAATAAAGATTAATTGATGATTATTTTACAGTTATCAAGGTTAGCCAGACAAATAAAACACCGTAGATACCAAAACCGAGTAACCATTGAAGAATACGTGGATTACCAGGGCATTTCCAAAATTTTCCTGTGCTCATGATCAGAGAAACAACTGCCAAGACAGTGATGGATATGATCACCAAGAAGAAGGTCACGATTAAACAGACTTTGATTGCAGACATTTCAGTTTCTCGTTGTATCGAAGCAAAGTTGACGAAATGTAAAAGTCAACTGCAGTCTTTTTTTTTCGATTTCTGCTCATCGACAGCAGAGTAAAGTGCGCATTTTTTGTAAATAAAGTCAGCAAAATGACGTACGAACGCACACGTGAAGCCGAGAAATATTTTTTCAAAACAAGTACCATCTATCAGTGTTACAGCAGCGTACAATGACCATAATTTTCTCATTACTTGAAGGTGTGATTATTCCGAGACATTGAGATTACTATGCCAACTTAAAGAAACGTGAATATGTCTTTCAATTGAAATCTTTACGGCGGTTTACAGCATATGACGATTTTTACGATGTCATAACATTTTTGAATTGGTTGGTATACGTAACAAATCGTGTAGATACTGACGTAAATCACCCGTGTTTCAAATAGAAGCATGACTCATATATATTTTTTTGTTATGTTGGTTCACAGAATCTATTTCTGCTAAAGTTAACTATCTGAACGTATAGAGAAAAATAATATAGTTAATAGAGGGTACAAGCTGAGTACATGGATTTCTCTATATATTCCTTATCTGATTACTTGTGAATAAACCAGTGTAGTGTGTTATTGACACTATTTACGAGTTGTATAAGAACGTCAAAAGTCAAGATAAATCCGATTATTATTGAATGGCGACACTTTCTCTTTCATACTAAGTTAATACAACATTGAGTCAGCTTCGTTGATAACGAGCTCAGTATTCGTCGACTAACTCAATAATAAGTTGAGGATATCTATAAAAATGTCAACGAATGTTGATATTTTATCACTATTTCGATAAGAAATCGCTTCCTTCGTATTATGATCACTAATTCTGTGCAACGACGAATTCGGACACATTTAACGACGTTTAGTTGTCAAAACAGTACCTGTCATCAGCAGATAATCACCATTGGTGATCAGCAGTCGCGGCAGCTCTTAATCATATCCATCAATGATTTCGAAAATTTGTTGTATAGAAATAAAAAATAATCGGAGGCGTTGTTATCAACGTCCCATTTAGAAAGAGAATGAGAAAGCGAGTATAATCATAATTCAGCGGACGAAGTAGTATATATATATAAGTGGTAACAGCAGAGAATATTGTATTCAGTCGAAGTTATCCTTTCAAATCAGGCAGAACTACAATGAAGATCTTCTATTTTATCTCAGGTTTGGATAAAGCTCAAATTACTGAACACGAATGTATTTATTCATAATATCTTCTTGTTTAGTTCTACTTCTCACATTGACATTAGCTGACAGTCAAACTACCGACTCGAGTAGTCTTGGTGAAACGACTACAAATTTATTCACCGTATCAAATGCATCGTACGCTGTTCCACCCGATCCGAACCAAAACAGTACATTCATATTAAACACAGCTGATATATCTACAGAGGCTACAACACCTGATGGAAATACAACTGCTATTACCACATCTGGTATGCTGTTACGCTTTTTCCTAGCTTAAACCTACATTCTTCTGATGTTTCTTTTAGTTGTGACAATGGAAACTTCAACAAGTACTTCCAGTAGCACAAGTACGACAACGAAACCAGAAACAACTACAAGTAAGTAACGAAGCACTTCGACTTCTATATAACTATTATTTTTAAACGTCATTTTTTCAAGAAAAGAAAAATTTGGGTCTTATTCTTGGCCTTTCTTTGGGTCTGGGTATTCCAGCACTGATTGCTACTGTTGCTGGTGTTACCTTCTATTGTTACAAGCGAAAAAACTCAAATATTACTCTGTGATACAAAACGGATTTCTAGGAACGATATCCATGTCGTACAATTCTCTTTTTTATACATTAATCTGTGATTTTTTCGTACGGATGTTTGAAATTCGAAAATTTATATTGATGTGAACAGCTAGATAATTTACCACAACGAAAAATGAGATAATAAATAAACATTTTCTAAACAAGACAAAAGCTAGTTACGTTTCCCTACGGACCATGCCTTTAAAACTGGATATTTGCACGAAAAGACTTGTTTCATATAAACGTTAGAGATTGTGCCTTTTGTTGTTGTTGTTCTTTCTTTTATTCATTAATAAAATATTCCTATTGCGTCAAGCAAAAGGATACCAGTGTGGGATAAACGCTGACATATGATTCAAGTCATGGGGATGGAACTGTATCTAATCACGACGAAACTAGATGCATTTGACCCCGTGACCGAGAATAGCTGTTCATGCATCGGTCATCTCAACATATCTCTCTCCTGTGTAATACGACACCCACTTTTTGTCACAAAGGCGGCAGGTATGAGGGTGTGGGTGGCTTGCACAATTCGGGGAATAAATGTAACGTGATTATTGTGCTTCAAACGAAGAAAAAACTTCATTTGTACCAAGCTTTGTTTTTTTTTTATTGAGTGAAATCACGCTGTACTGTGTACGTCTGAATCAAACAAAGCATACTTCCGCGAATCGTCACTTCTTTCCAACCATTTGTCAGTGACATTTTCTAGATAGGAAGCAGAAATTGTAAAATATAGTATGACTTGTCTTTATTCTCCTCTTCCTCGTCACATCATTTGCCAACTAACACGTTTTCGACGAAAAACAGTAAATATTATTCATGTAAAATAAAATCAGATAGGCATATATAAACGAAAGGAAATAAACTTCCTATGGTGAGCAAGTATGCATTTAAGGAAGGAATTAATCTAGCTGACAGGTCTCTTTCTAGGCGAGACAATAACGGTTCGTACCATTTCATCTCTCAGAGCCTTTACAGTAGATGTCCGTTGCGAACTTAATGACGAGAAAAAACAGTGAAAATTTCTTCATGGAATCCATAATCGGAAAATTGAAACAAGTGAGTAGAATGTTTGCGAGCGTGAAATTAGTACTCGTGTTAAGCGGTGGTGCCCAGATCCACCCAGTCCTTCATTTAATTGAGTATGATTTTTGGTAGCACACTCTTGACAACATCACTACTCATATGCAGATCCGTTAGAAAAAGAATTTCCGTGCATCCACCGTAAGATATCTTAGCGACCGATTCGAGATCTTTAAAAATTTTTCCGTTCAGATATGCCATCCAACTATAGTCCCATCGATTTCAAGTAGAACTCTGTTCTGTTACGGCATATTCCACGATGTGAGATATGGAATTCTCCAATATGTTTTCTTTCGCTCTTCTCATATATATATATATATATATATATATATATACATATGTTTTGTTCGTTCTTCTCACCCCGATGTATTTCAGTGGTCTTTTCCTATGAGTCATGTATATATGTAATAGTACAGGTATTTTCCGATATAATCATATTGGAAATATCTGGCGGATCAGACATATATATATAGTCCACGTTCCTTTGCTTAAGGATGTGTATTTTAGTCGTTAACTTTAATTTGCTATTCATCATTAACAATAAAACCTTGCTTACACTCTTAAACGAATCTAACAAACTCGAAGTCCTCTATAGATTCCAATCATAAAACTCTTCATCCTCACCCCATTCACACCTTCACCCCCCCCCCACCCCCCCCCCCCCCCCCCCCCCCCCCCCCCCCCCCCCCCCCCCCCCCCCCCCCCCCCCCCCCCCCCCCCCCCCCCCNCGACCCCAAGCCCCCCATCCCCTCACCCCATCCACGCCCGCACCCTCACCCCACCCACACCCTCACCCCACCCTCACCCCACCCTCACCCACACCCACACCCTTACCCAATGGCGTCAATGGGATTATTACCGAATATTTCACGATATGTCATATGGGATTTTCCCACATATTTTCTTTCATTCCTGTCAAGTATAAGTTACACGTGATGTTTGTTCGTTCTGCAGATTTCGATGTGTGTCTGATAGGTGTGTTTGGTAATGGCCCACTCCTACAGATGTCCTTGTTGCATTGCTTGGAAATATCATAAGTAAATACTCTCGAATTTTTTTTCCTTTCGATTGCATGTGATGTGTTTTCCCCTCCCCTGTTTGTCAGGACTTTTCCATTATACACGTATATATATTAGAGATGTTATTTTACTAGGAAATACAAAAGCGTTCTTTATGAGTTCCTTGGTGTTTTTTAGCAGTTCTTCTGCAGTTCCCCAGAGACTTTTTTGTGCGTTTTCATAAAATACATTGAATTGTCTCTGGAGAACTGTAGAAGAACTGCAAAAAACACCAAGGAACGCATAAAGAACGCTTTTGCGTTCCCTAGTAAATTGACGTCCCTAATATATATTATACACCTGCGTTTTATATCTGTTCGCTTTCTCTTCAATAAAGCACTCTTTCTGAAGATCGCCCTTTGTTGATAGGACGAGCGGTGACGATGTAAGTATGCAGTGCGAGATTTTTTCATGTAGTTGTTCGTTTTCGTTTGTTTCCAATGTAAACATTTCATTCACAATAACACATGATAGTGACACATATTATTATTGATCGAACAATGTAAATTTCGTTTTAGATTTATACTCTTCTTATAACACACGGAAAACGATTCCGAATTTAGTATTAATTTGAAAAAACATTGAATACTCAAACAAAAAAATGACGACTATGGTAGACATAAGTAACTGTAGACAAAGTGGCGTTGATATGCTGTCTGATGTGCATCCGTATGTAGCAAGAATATGTGATGATATAAAGAAACATGGAATTTATACAATAAACCGCATGAGATCAGCAGGGTTTGAATATACTGGGATGGGTGACGTAGCTAAATGTAATGCATGTGGTTTAGAAGTATCAACGTGGACTAGGGAAAAAGACCCTTTTCAAGTCCATGCAGAATGTAAACCAAATTGCACTTTTGTTGAATCTGTCCTAGCAAAAACTGCAGCGAAATTGAATGATGCGAAACATTTAGGTAAGTACCATGAATTGAGTGACACTACAGAGAAATCTGATGAACAAATTATACCGTTCGAATTGGAATCACTCAAACAAGCACGTCAACGAACGTTTTCACATTACCCATCGAGTGCAATTTCATTGAAAGATCAACTGATTCGTTCTGGTTTCTTCGGATGCAATGTCCATGACCGTGTCATATGTATTTACTGCAATTTAATATGTCAACAATGGGATAAAGATATTGATGATCCCGCGAAAGTTCATAGCAGTCTTTCGTCTCAGTGCCCGTATGTTTTAAATGTATTGAACAAAGAGGCAGCAGCGTCAACATGTATTCTTAATGGAACTTTAACGAATAACGATGTAGATAACCAAACTGTATCGGACACTGTTGGACGACTTTCTTCTGATCCTGTTGTATATACATCGCCGCGTCATGCTGAATATATGAGTCTAGTCGATCGGAAAGCAAGTTTTCAAACATGGCCTGCAAAATCAATGCCATCTGTTGAAGATTTAGTCAAAGCTGGTTTTTTCTACACTGGTCAACAAAATATAGTGAAATGCTTTCATTGTGATGGTTCACTGGAAAAGTGGGGTGCGAACGACAATCCATTGATTGAGCATGTCAGACGGTTTCCTTGTTGTTTGTACGCAAAGCAACTAGCTGGAGATCAACTCTATAATCGAATTCGACAAGCACAAAATGATTTGACAGGTTGGACGATCTTTCGTTTCATTAAAACTAAATAAAATATCAATTTTGAATTTCTTTGACAGCACAAACACACATGCAAATTTCGTCAACGACAGGCAGGACACAATTGGAAATACCTAACGAAGCGCTGCTTTCGCGTCTGGTTGCTGCTCGACTTGACCTGCCGATAACACAGCGATTAATCAGCCAGAATTTCAAATTGTCCATCATTAAACGTTGCTGGGAAGATCAACTTCGCTTGAAACGTAAGCTATTTTAGATTCTACTGGAAACTAAATTTATCACTTCGCCGTTTACTTATTTCTTGTCGTTCTTTAGGCGATGATTTTGTTAGCGATTGTGATCTATACATTGCTTGCCTCGTTCTCCAAAAACAAGTTGAACATATTGCTGGTAATAAAAACAAAGTCGTCATACCGAGCGTTAAAATGAAAGAAGACCAAGAAAAGAAACAGCCAGGTTTGTACTTTGCGGCGTACATGGCATATTTATGTATTTGTATACTTATCCATTTGTAGGTGTATTCAGTGCTGCACAAACAACCCCTTTGATGTCTATCCAATGTCCATCAAATATAAATAATTCATCAATAAGACAAGGTGCACCACCCAATCCACCGAACGCAACGAATTCGCACGAGTTATCCACGTCCGGAGCCGCTGCCAGTGAAACGGAAAGAGTCGTACTAAACAATCCATGTCTTCTGTGCGCAGAAGCGGAGAAGCGTGTAGCATGTGTCCCTTGTGGGCATTTGGCAGTGTGTGTTAATTGTTCTCGAACACTACGTGCATGTCCAACATGTCGACGGAGCATCGAAGCATTTGTTCGCATTTATATTTGAGCTCTAATTATAGGTCTATATTAAACAAATAAAAAGTCTCTAACTACAATTTGGAAACTTTTATCATACAGCTAATAACCCTACATTAAAGTTCGCCGGGTAGACCCGGATGTGGACCTCTAAAAATTTTACAAGAAATTTCACACGATTTTCTTTTTTCAATAAAAGTGTCACTGAAAAGATTTTAACGTATGTGGAATAAATAAATCACAGATATCAATAACTTAGGAGTAAAACTATGCGTTAGTAGAATGATCGTAACAAATAATTTTAGTATAAGAGTTAATTAAAACTTCCGTATAAATGAAGTTCGAGTTCGTATCTAAACATTGCATTGGTGGATCCCGACGGGCTCTAACCTCGAGCAAGAAACCGTATCTGTAACAGTACGAGTAAATATGTATTTGTTTCTTACTACAAAACTAAATCTGAAAGCTTTATATGAATTTTCGGATCAGATAGAGGTCGACAAGACTAGAGAAAAGCAACGTATCTTACGAGGGTTTCAAACAAAGAGTCCATGTGCTCGATAGGCTACTAAGTTTTAACTCACATGTTTATTAGCTAGCCTTGCCCATCGAGTTTTTATATTTGCCTCTGAAACCTTTTGAATTATGCAACTATACGTGCTCGACACCTGCACTCCTCTTCAAGCCATTCTTAGAGTAAATATAGATAGAAAAAACTATCTTGCGACAATGATTCATCTCGGAAAAAGCCAGAAAGAACATACGAAGTCATGTGCTTTGTTCTCTGTCAAGATACGAGTGTAAGTTGACGATGAAGATACTGATATCTATCAGTTATCACAAAATTAGACGACGAACCCTAAGTCAAAACAAATTTCTCTTCGAAATGACTGCCTCTTATGTAAATGATGTACCGTACCTGCCAACAACTCGTGCTAAAAAGCTAGAATTAGTTCCACTTGTCCTATGTTCTTTATGTCAGGGAATTCTTTGGTCTCCTGTAGCTTGCCGAAATTGTGATACACCTTACTGTGCAGCATGTATCGAAAATTGACATAGAGAACAAGATAATTCATTCCGTTGTCCACAAGAAGAATGTTCTTCTTATATTCAACGTCCTTGTCCGTCAGCAAATCTGCTTGTGCTGAAAACCTTACAAATAACATGTCGATTCAATGAGCACGGATGTCCAGAGACGTTGATGTACAATGATTTGAAACAACACGAGGAACAATGTGGGTATTATTTGATGACGTGCAATGGTTGTGAAGCGAAAATCATTAAAAACGATTTTCAACAGCATCACACAACATGTCCATTGGTTGTCTTGAAATGTAACGAATGTGCCAGTCTATATAAACGTCGAGATGAAAGTGAACATACTGAAGCCCGTTGTTTACGAGTGCAATTACATCAAATTCGAGAAATTATAGAGCAAACCAAGCAAGAAAACACGAGCAAAATTAACAAGGTGGAAACGCAAGTTCAACATCTAAGAGATCAGATCAACAAAACATTGTAATTTCTTATTTCTCTCTTTTCTTATTGGCATCTACATTTCAGCTGTTCACAAATGATGCACATATACTATTTCGCATTTATTTTCCTTGCAATATGAACGCAAAAAATGCATAATAAAGCTTCTTTTGTCATATTCTTCTGTACACTAGAGTCATCTGTTAAACTGATTCATAATAGAGTGGTTTTGTTTTTCTATTCTGTCGCCGAAAACATGTGTCATGACTTGCGCAATACCAGAAACGATCCTATATACCATATGCATAACTAAATCTCTTGTTGAGATTCAAAATAGAAAAACTATGACTGAGTTTGAAGGCTACGGCAAAATTAGCGAAAGTAGCAGCCATTGGATTCTAGATAAAACTGATAACACAACATTCAAACGAACATTATGGTGCGTAACAGAAAAGATCCATGGTGCTAATTTCTGTTTTTTCTGTGATAACAACGGTCAACGTGTTCGATGTGGCAAACGAACAGGTTTATTAGATGACGCAGATGATTTCTTCGGTTACAAACGTCGATTGTTCAACGAGATTACGCCAAAAATCCAACAACTATATGAATTTATTCGAAATGATCATCCCAATCTCGACAAAATGTATGTTTTTGGCGAAATCTTTGGTGGTGCATATCCACATCCCGATGTACCAAAAGTGCCTCATGTTACTGCAGTACAAACTGGTATTTGGTATTGTCCTGATATTGAATTTTGTGCATTTGACTTGGCCATCTCGATCGCTAATAAACAAATCTACATGGATTATCAAGATGCGATTGCTGCTTTTCAGCACGTCAATTTATTCCATGCCGAACCATTGTTCATTGGTAAATATGAAGAAGCCATCGAATATAAACTTGGTTTCAATTCTACAGCTCCGATGAGACTTGGTCTTCCATCATTATCCGAAACGAATAAAGCCGAAGGGATCGTGATTAAGCCTATGCACGAAATTCTCGTTAAAACAAGCAAAGGTTCTTTGGTTCGTGCGATTGTTAAGAGAAAGATCGAAGAGTTTTCCGAAGAAAAATATAGTCAAGCACAAAAGCAAGAAGTAAAAAATGATGGAGAGCTTTCCAATATTGATTTATTACGATTTGAAATCGATGCATTAATTACAGAGAATCGGTTGAACAACGCACTTAGCAAAATTGGACATGTAACAGCGAATGACAAAGAAAAAGCCAAAGAGCTATTGAATCTATACAGAAAAGATGTAATAGATCAATTAATCGAAAATGGAAACGAAGATATGTGGACAAGTTTAACAGCAAATGAACGTGATGTTTTGACTGAAGAAATAACTCATAGTTCGAAGAGAATTATTATAGAATATTTAAAACAGAATAAATAAGATGTTAATAGTCAAAGTGTAAACGTTCGGGACACGCTTGATCAATGGCATGTTTGATTACTGATTCGTTGTTGCTGATTTCACACAGGTTCGCGATTGTCCATAATTTGTGAAGAGCAAATTCATTCTAGAGAATAAGTGATGGCTTTATAAAAGATGGTTTTTTTCCTTTGTTCTTACTTGAAGATCAAAACACTGCTTGTGAATATACTGAGTAACCGATTTGTAGCATTTAAATTGAGTCAACTTCATTCGATTCTGTGTGATTGTTGTGAAGAATTGTATGTTATTCATCGATGACAAAGAAAATGAGATAATCTGTTCCAATCGACTTTGAATAACATGTTTGTCCTAACAATTCGTTCACAGTTATATCAGAAAACAGAACAAGTTTTGTATACGTACGTTGATTGTTCGAGCAAGTTCCTTTTCTAAAATTTTTCGTTCATTGGAATTTTCCTTACTGGCAGCTAAACGATGTGACAGGATTGAAATACGAACATCTTCCATGGGAACAGCATTTCGCTTCAAGAAAAATATTAAATCAATCTTTCGAATAAAATACACCTCTTACGTTTCGCCTGTTGCCATAAAACGATCTCTTTTCCGACGATCCCGTATTATTACCTTGAAATTCGTTCACATCATGAGTTCGACCGAGATTCTACATACAAATGCGCATGATGCTTTTTAAACAAAACTCTCGTCATTATCCTACGAGGTCACCATATTGCATAACATGACTTTCATGAGTCTTTCGTTTTGTAATTTCATACTGATCATACAGTGTCTCTTTCGCAGATTTCTTCTCATCAGAATTTTCCATCCAAGCTACTGAATAACAATCACCTAAGTACGTTGAAAGTTTATTATCAAGATAGCATGCATAGGATGACTCTTCGGCATTCGATGCTGTGGTCGCGTAAACATTAATATTATTGGGTACAATATTTTCGAGCATCGATCCTGATTCACATGATTCGATGTAGATAACCATCTGTAGCGAATCATTAGCAATTGCATACTAAGGAAAACAAAATGATATGTTTAGTTACTTGTTTGTATTTTTTGCCCGTATACATTTTGGTAATTGTGTCATTCAAATCAGTTGCATAGAGCTAGAGGGGAAAATGTACGGAGATGATTATGGGTTAGACACCATGAAAAACTCACAAAACTACTGGGAAAAGCCACCAGACCTAAGAGAAAAAAAGGTACATATGACACATAACAAGGAGTTTTTAACATATCGTTACCAGTAGCACCGTGATCTGTGAAATAAACGAATACGTTATCATCTGGACCGCTATAAGAAAGAAATAAGAACGAGTTGTGATACATCAGAAGAAATATTACCTTTCAATAACCTTTCCACTGCCGATCCCTTGCATGGGTGTTTTATTTCCAAGTAAGATATTCACAAAATTCTCTGGTGTTACCGTCTGTTGAAAGTATTTACAGAATATAAATAACACTAACGAGTAAGAATAACTTTACCGCGCCTGTATAATCTTTCGGAACACCGTGATACACGTCGTGACCATGTGGATGATTGATAATAATACCTTTCGTAGGGTTACTGGAAAGAGCGAGTACAGACAATAAATGCATTGTTTTCCAAGAACTTTTATTGACTTACGCTGGATTTTGAGCTATATCATCGTACATCATCACCACAATATTTGAATCAGGAATACCACGATTATGTAAAATTTGATATGCGTGACAAACATCTGCTTGATGTCGATAATTATACCATCCATTAGAACCAGCAACTAGCAATGCCCAATTTGCTGCATTAGCTAATTTAATACACAAAACTAAACAGCTAAGAACGATCAAAAAGCTGCCTCGATGCATGCTAAACGGCCCGGTATCAGCTATGAAAATGATAAAGAAATTTTATAAATAGGCGTTCTATTGCTTATCTTTTCAAGTAGGTAAACAAAAAGAAGACACTCTCGTGTGTATTAGTAATAATTAGATAATTTTTGTTCTCATACAAACATGAAAATAAATGAATAACTGTTTTATGTGAAATATAAGTAAGCAGGAATAATTAGAATAAGAGAATGATGAGCGAACAGCTGTTTTTCATGTTGCTGAGTAGAATATAAGACCATCTCTTAGAATTGCAACCAGAACGAATAGGAAAATCAGCATCGCAGGAGTTGTGGATGACGTGACATGATTATTGGTTAAATAGTGAAGCATTCAACTTACTACGAAATGCTATAGAATGTTAATTAAACTAAGAACACGTGGAAGATCCGTGGTTATGAAAATTCAAGCGAATTCAAAAGTAAGATCTTGCCAATTACACTCTAGTAAGTCGTATCTTTACTGAGAGACGACACACTAAACAAAACTTCTTTTCTTTTCGGATAGAAACGACAAGAGTGAGCTGTTTCTATGTATTTGTTAAAGACTCGTACGATCAAACTCAGTTCTTTATTGAAAAGACAGTCGAGAACATACAGAAAAAAAGACATGTAACTAATTGATATTAACGTCAAATTTTTGCACTCGATTATTGTCCCAGTCGGCAACATATATATTGCCTTGTCGATCGAAAGCTAAACCTTTGGGATAATGGAATTGATTTGACTGTTTTCCTTGTCCATTTCCACCAAGAACGAGACTTCCTTCAGTTGCATCTTTCGACCAGCGCATAACACGATTATTTCGAGAATCAGCAACATAAACATTATCGAAATGATCCACAATCACTCCACGAGGATAAGATAATTGTGTTGAATTCTCACCTTGGTCATTTCCACCAGCAACAACAATACCTTCTTTAGCATATTTAATCCATTTGACAACACGATGGTTTTTCTCATCGGATATATAAATTGATTGATTCTGGTCAAGAAAGATCGCTGTTGGAAGATACAATTGATTCAACTGATTTCCTTCTCCATTACCACCAGCGACTAAAACACCTTTCGTATCTCCTATTTTCCAACGCCGGACTTCATTTTTCATCAAATCAGAGACATATAAATCATCGTTATTATCCATAGCTAAGCCAAAACAATCAATATCAAAAATAATCGTATGTCCGTTCGTATTATCCTGACGATGCCATTGCACAACTCGTCGATTGCGACAGTCACAAATTACTAACGAATCATTCTGCTTACTAACAGTAACGTCCGTTGGATAGTCTAATTGATCAACGCGGTTACCTTGACCATTGCCGCCAGCTACGATCCGTCCTCTGTATGCATCGAATTTCCATTCAATTATTCGATGATTGTCTGAATCGGATATGTAAATCGTTTGTTGATCATCGTCGACACAAACACTTTCGGGCCAATTCAATTGACTTAATCCTTCACCTTTTCCAATTCCACCGGCGATCGTACTTCCATTTTGTACCCATGTTGTATTATAGTTGATATTAAGCGAAGAATGTGTTCGTTCTAGAATTCAACACAGTGAAAAGTATGACACGTATTCTGGTAACTTACGATTTACTCGTAGATCATTAAGAATCTTCTTAAAAGAATTCGCTTGTTTCGATGAGGGTGTTTTCAAATAACTTGTGTTTTTCATTGGTAGTTCGCGTAATTGTTCCACAAGATGTTCTAATAATTTTGGATCGGAATCAATAAATACATCATTATCTCGAGGATGAGAAGACGAGGAATTTAGATGAACTGTGGCATTTGACATTTGTGTAAGTGTGCTACGGTGGTGAGTAAACGTTTGTCCACCAATATTGATTCGAACAATATTTTTTTCCAAGAGAACTATAAGCTTAAGTAAACCTAGTTTGCGTAGCATTCTTTTGAAAGGCTCAACTTGCGATGGTTCCAATGGTGGATAGAACTGCTTTGTATCAGAAAGCTGCAATTGATCGAGTAGATGACGAAAGAGAATTGGATTACAATCGAGAAAGATATTTCCGTTGCGATCTTTCGGCAATCGAGATTCCCATGTATCTTTGAACATAATTGCTAAAGTTGATTTTGGAATACGTGTCAAAGTTCGACGAGTTGTTAGAATTAGTTCACCTCCGATGTTCAGCGAAATAATATCGTGACTTTTCAACGATTGATGAAGTCTGACATCCGGTGCTGCTTTTTTATGCAATAGTGAAACTTTGGTTGATTCATCGAAAATCATCGATGAGCTGCATAGGTACACCGATGTCACAATACACAAAATCGACTGCATTCAAAAAATAGGATACTATCGTTGATACGAGATGAAATATACTTACTATTCTTTGGAGAAACCGCATCATCTTATTTATTGATGACAAAATAATGTTATTTTTATCTGGACTGTATATATATATGCTTTAGTTTTTGCAACACTATCTCAAGAGACGTTGTCATCGACAATATCTGTCAACTCTTTGTATAAAGCGTATTCTGTATGTATTTACACCGTCAGGACAGTTAGTACCAAAGTTGTTTTTCTGATATTATCTGAAATCTTTCAGATTTTTATTTTATTTATCGTTATTCCACATTTATCAATGTTATTGTTGTTGTAAAACGGCCATTACTCGAGGTAAAACATCAATAAGTGTCGCCTTCCAGCATGGCCAAGAATGTGTGCCATCACAACCATATCCAATCGATTGTCCATTCCCATAATCATTGAAATAAAGAGGAATATTCAAGGATGATAATGCTTGTCGTAAACGATTATTTGCATCACGTATGATTAATTCAAGTGAATCGGCATTGCCTGTGTAGAGTGCAACATTTAAGGTACGTAATGATGAAGCATGTGTGATCGGATCTTGTGCAAACCATCCGTTCAATCCAAGTGGCTCCAACGGTGAACCGAATGGACCCAGAAACGGTTTTCCATTATATGGTGTATTTAGAATAGTTTGTTGCATACGTGAATCGAGTAGATCAAGCGCACCTGAAAAAGCAAATGTATAAGAGAAATTAGTCGAGTATTGTTGAGCATAACGAATAGCACCAAATCCACCCATGGAGAGACCACCGATAGCACGTCCTTCTTTCGTGGCTACAGTTCGAAAATTAGCATCGATCCACGGAACTAATTTTTCCATATGATAAGTACGCCAGTTTTGGGGAGCAGCCTCGGCTGGACTAATCCAGTTCGTGTACCATCCAAATGAATCACCGTTTGGCATGACAGTTATCAATGAGGCATTGCTGGTGATAGTTTGAGCATCAGCAGCCATAGTCCAATCTGTTGCACCACCATATGCTCCATGTAATAAGTAGAGAACTGGATATCGGCGATTTGCACCGGTAGTAGCATAGTCACGTGGAACCAGAACACGAATTTTCTGCATACCACGAACTTCTGCCGATGATAGGTAGATTTCATATAGTTCATTATTCAGTCGAATAGACGAAAGTACGGCGAGATCATGAGCGGATACAAAATAAGGTGCGTCAGCAGTAACATTGCTGACCCAAGTACTGCAGATAAGTATGCATACGAACAGGAGTAAATACCAATGCATTATTACGTTTGATAAACGTATGTTGATTCTTATATTCTCACAAAAAAGCATCGCCAGATTTAAATTAGCAGACAGGTGGCAAGATTTTCAGTATCGTTTTTCAAATGAAATACTTAATAATCACTGGCTTTATTCTCACGACAGTTGGCTAATAGTCTCCGCCTCCAGTAAAAAAACCAAAAAGGTACATTCTTGTATATTTCCATCGTATGATCTTGGTACTGATCGGTGTGATGATGAATATTTTTTTCGAATTGTATACTAAAAGTGAAATTGTTGAGTTGAGACTGGATGATTCGACCGTTGATAAACGACACACCTGGATATTACGTCAATAGAGAACCTTCTACCGAGCTATTTTTAAATAAGCTAATTTATCAGCTGAGAAAAAGAGTGCGCCAAGTAAACAAAATTTACCTATTACCGAGTTGTGCCCATAATCATGCATTTCGAAAGTGTGATAAGCAACTTCCGAGTTTTTAAAATACGTAGAAATCAGAGAATAAAGACGAAAAACTCAACGACGTCATTGATCATGTGCATAATAAGCTGCTGTAATACACTTCTGTATAAATACGAGATGTGATTCTAGCTACTGGACAATTTCGCTGATATATCAATATGTTTCGCCAAGCAGTATTCATCGCATTTGCTTTTCTTGCTACTGTCGATGTTCTCACAGAAGCAAAAGTGGTTTCAAATCTCGCTGTTCAGGACATAGTGGATACTGGTCCTACCTTACCAGTAACTGATAAACCATCTCATCGATATCAAACATGCACTTATATTGGAGATCCTCATTTGATTCCATTTTCCCAACCATACACCCAATATTGGTGTAAAAAATCAGGCTGGGAATTACTTGTCAGTAACAAATATGTCACACTATATGTACTAGTTGACAGTACTAATACTTACTATCGAATTCAAGACGTAAGCAAATAGAGTTCTGAAGTTCTACACTCACTTCGTGTCCTTATTCTTCATAGTATGTGTAAATCTTTCCCGAGCCAGCATCATGCATCACAGGAACTTCTTCAAATTCTGTACCGTGTACTGGTTCTAGCAGTCCCATCGTTACTCAAACCATCGGCAATACATACACTCACTTTCATAATTCGCAAGAACTTATAATCAAAATCGACTATGAGGTAAGCAAAACAAACAAGATTTGCATTTTTAAACCAAACTTCACTTTTCCCGAAAATGCTTATAGGGAGCTTATAAAAACTTCTTTATCTGGCAATCACCTAAGCTCGTGGACGAATCGTGTGGTGTATGCGTAAGATGGAATTGCGACCAGGAAGGATCACGAATGACTCCAAATCCCGTTGTTCCACAACTTTGCCAGATTTATGCAGATAGCGCACGCGCACACGCAATCGGTAAAGTTGATGAACGCATCATAGAACTTAGTCAAACTCAATGCATTAATGACGTACAAACAACATTCGATCCTAAGGTAGATATACACATTTTGCGTGAGTTTGAATTGATTCCATTGAGTTGTCTAGGCTGCTGAAACAGCTCTTACACTTGTTTTGCAAGATGGTCTTACTAATCTCTTCAACAGCGGTGAATCTCAGCAGGCACTATTAGAAAAAGTTGAATCAGTAAAACAAGAAGCAATCAAAAATGCAGAAACAAAGAGTAGAGAACTACTTGCTAATTCGAAGTCCATATGCAATGACAGGAAGATGTGTTTATCGTTCGATGCGTCATCAGTTGCTGAAAGCACCGTTAAAGCAAAAAAATAAATGAAACATCATCATTAAAACTTTCTCATATTCTTCTCTTTTATTATACTAATAACTTTACTCTAAAGATCAGTTTCTCGTTTCTTCACTACTAACTAATAAGACAATTATCTTTTTGCATTTTTTTAAATTATTTCCTTGTCGACAAATATAATCTCGTTCTTACTGAAAAGAAAGCTCCTTCTCATAATCTACAAGGACACGTCCTGAAAGATCCATCGAGTGTATGAGAGGAAAGCAAAAGAAGAAAAAACGTATGCGACACGTGTCTTTCTCTTAATGCAAAAGAAAACATTTGTATTGACTCATATAGCAAAAGTGTCGCTCTCCTCTATAAATTATACGTTACTTCACACGTTTTTATCCTGCAAAATAGGCTAAATGACAAAGTTGGAATCATTCGCCAATGAACTTCTCCTGGATTTGTTCGAATATTTTGATGGAATTCATCTTTTGAATGCATTCTATGGTCTCAATCATCGTTTCAATCAACTTCTTTTACATCATTTTCATAATTATTCTTTCGATTTTCGTTCGATATCAAAACGTCATTTCAATTTAGCTTGCCGGGAATACTTACCACTCGTTAACGATCAAATCGTCTCATTGCATTTATCTGATGATGATGAAACACCAAAACTACCTGAACTTTTCCTCTCTCAAATCTTTACTTTCGAATATTTTATTTACTTGAAGTCTCTCTCACTCTACTGTATTCGTTCTCTTGATCTATTGAATCAAATCGTCATTCAATGTCGTCAATTATCATCATTAACTCGATTAAATATCATTAACTTCTATGTTGATTACGAAGAAAACATAGCTGTTATTTTAATGAATAACATATGGAGCTTGAATTTAATTCAGTGTCATTTAGACAACTTTTATTCAGGTGGACGATGCTTTTTCGGAATTGACACCGTTTGTACGACAATGAAATATCTTTCGATTGAAAATATTTATTGCGATTTAACTGTTGTGTATCATCTATTTCAATATACACCTAATCTTCGGCAATTGTCTACCGCAAGTGATTACTGTTCAGATGATCAATCAATTTATGCGAAGGGTTTGCTGATAAGCAAATTCGAACTTTCGTTTGAAGGCTCAATTCAATGTTTAACAAATCTTTTTCAACACATGCCTAATTTACGTTCTTTAACATTGAAAACATCAGATATTAAGCTGAACGGATACCAGTTGGAAGACATTTTTCGTGAATACCTACCGAAATTGAAAGTCTTTCGATTGAAAATGAACTTTCACTTTAATGAAAGCACAGACAAAGCTCGACAAATCGATGAGTTGCTAAATACTTATCGAACCGCGTTTTGGCTCGAACAACATCGTTGGTTTGTACAATGTGACTGGGATCCACATGATATCTTCGATCGAGTTATTCTATACACTTTACCGTACGCTTTCAGTGACTTTTTCTATATCGACACGATCCAATCGCAATCAACAGCTTCGAATCAACTAAACAATTCATCCTACGATCGTGTCAATACTCTTCGATATTGTTATGGTCCAACGGTATCAACATTAGGTTCAATATGCAAAACATACCGATTTGATCGGATCTGTCGATTAAAACTTCATATTCCTTGTCGGAATAGTTTTTGGTTAAGTATTCCCACGCTTAATTATCTAAAATATCTTGAAGTAACAATTCATGATGAATCGAATCTTGTACAGCTACAATCGTTATTGAATCGAGTACCACATCTTTATTCTTTGACAATCCGTTCCTCGTTGAAATCGCCAATAACTCTAGATCAAATGTATAGTAACTCATCGATTCGTCGTCTTGACCTCATGACAAAATCAGCTGTTCGTTTACGATATTTTACTACGGAAGAGTGCCATCTATTGATTCACTCCTCGTTAATTCAGCAATGCGAAGTACTCTTAATCAGTGTAGAAAATCGAATGGTGATTTGTGACATTGTTAAAACAATGAACAATCTTCGCGCTTTAACTTTTCAATGTCAAGATGATAAATGGAATTATTGCGATTTATGGGCAACAGGTGATGAATTAGTTCACTGGTTAGTCGAATGTTTTCCATCGACATTCTTTATCGTTAGAGATAAAACCCAAACGTCGAAAATTCATCTCTGGATTCGTTGATGTAAAGAGTGATGTTTCTCATGGAAGCAAAAGAATACAGCTCACTGAAACTTAAGGTTTATTGTATCAATAAAATATAGAAGCAAGCGACTTTCGGAATCATAATTAGTCGTAAAATCTACATATTTGAAAGACCAATGATGAATATATTGAGTCAGTCATTTGGCATTTTCAATTTCATAAATAATCTTATTAAAAATAAAAGTAAAATCTTCCATATCAATATGGATGGGTTCAGCGTAATTTCCATGTCCTTTACAAATCCAATAATGATGATCCAAATGGAGGCTCATTTCTGCGTACATGTCCGGAAATCTCATTCCATCTGTGTATCCAACTTCGACGACATGTGTTCCAGGC